GGCTGGAGATCGGAGGACACAATGTACCCCGCGCGTCTAGTTTGCGCCTGTAATGAGTTTATGCGCCACCTATAACGGTCGAACATTCGCTAGATAAACGCTTCTATATCGGTTAAATTATTAGTCCATACAAAGGACGTCGTTATTTCAGAGTAAGATTTAACCGATATAACTATTATAATTACATCATTAAGATTACATTTCAAGTTGGTATTATAAAAACATTTTCAAACAAAATTAAACATAAAAACCAATTTTCGCTTTATAAATAAAGTCGTCGGATTAACTGTGGGGATTAGGTGGCCTCAGCTGACAATTTCGCTTTTCCGCTTGCGACCCGTTTCGGGAACATAATGCAATTATAAGTAAATTCCATGCAAATCCCAAAAATTCGAGCAGGGAATTAAATTCAATTATCCATCTTGATTATGTCCTCGAGGCCGGATCCGGAGGTTTTCCCGAGCTTGAAACGCGTGTGTCTCGTTGGAGGAACACCGTGAAAGGGTCAACTTAAGACCCCCCGGGGGCTTAACAACAAAACGATTCTCGTACTAACCTACTAAACTTCCATTTTCACTTATCAACAGAACGTAACTGTCTCATCATCATCTGTGTAATCATAATTTATTTTAATTTAATGATAATCGACATACTTATTAGTAGATTCAGTTATAATTTAATTATAAGTAGATTAAGAGAAATCAAATCAAGACAGCGTCACACCCGTTACATCACAATGTCACACCCGTTACAAATTTAAGAATTTATAATCTTATAATTTCATCATGAAATATATATCAACAAATTTCAATAATGACTTATGATTTATCTGTACCTATTTATAATTTTTTTGGATTTTCGAAAGAAGATCAATTTTCAAAAATGAATCAATATCGTTATTCGAGTAAGTGCACAAAAGGAGGGTCGGCTTTGATGAAGCGAAGGTTAAAAATAGTTTTCGATTCGAGCCACTAACTCCCAGGCAACTATAATTAATGCTATCCATGGCAAAGTCAATTTGCGGGACGGCCGTACGAACCTAGAACAGAACATATTGAGCTGGCAGCGGATTTTCAGCAGAGAAAAGCCAGGGTCGAATTACCTTTTCTGTTCCGGCTAATGGCGTTGCGATTCTGGGGATAGATCTTCGACGATATTGTTCGGGCTGGCGTGGGCACACCAACACCGACGAAATTAATTTGTTCTTATAGGAAAACCGGGGGTGAGAGTGTTTTCTTCTTCTCTGCCGTGGGAGGGTTTATTTGATCGAAATAGGTTGCGATATTGGGCCGATACTAGATACAAGAAATGTCATTAAAGGGAAGCGATCCTTTTGTCCCTAAAACCAGCACATCTTACCCTCGTTTTCTTTGAATCAGTACAACACATTTCGATTTACTCAACATTATTCGGCTGTGATTTAAAGACAAACAAATTTAATCGAATGTCTAAATTGTTTTAATAACGTTTACCATTCTAATGTGAAATTGAAATGACATCGATCCCAATGGTGATTTTGAAACTAACGCTTTTGTTCTTCGAGGTCTTTTCACGACGATGGCCTTTTTGTGTCGTGCAAACGACAGGTTTCTACCGTTTAGAACTCAGTAACCGATTAAAACCTTGTGTCGAACGGTCGTACTAATCGCCTTCATAACGTAAACTGGAGCAACCCATTCAAATGCCTTTAAAATCGCTGCTGCTTAATTGAAATTTACGAGGCGCATTGATGTGCAATGGATCGTTCGCTAAACCAACCGTTTTTTCCATCATTCATATCCCGACTAAACCTGCAAATTGGATTTGCTTCGTTAATTCTTCCTAACGCCAACAAAACTTTTTTCCCCGATAACAATTTTGAAATATCCTGACATATTTACGTATTGTAATGAATAAATTTTTAATTAAATCGTTGATGATAATGGCTCGTTAATCTGTTTGTTTGGCGACTTGCGAACCATTTCATCCTGAACACTTGAGTAGCAACCAAATCCGTTACACAACGAGGATTCGCCGATTTGGTTTCGAATACGGCCATTCTGGTAATCCTTACTTAATTAACCGCGTGGATTGATTGTCAGATGTAAATGCGACAAAACACAATACTTCCTATCTTTCACGAGATAATTTTAAAAAAAAATTAAATGAAATTTGAAATGTACTACAGAAATACGAATTCTAAATGTATTCAAATACGTGGTTTCTCCGATTCACGACCCGTCGAATGGGGTGTAACTTCGTCGGAAATGGGTAGATTTACTTCTATTGTATCGAGGGATTTCGCGTCGCCAACGCAAATACTGCCCCCTTTTTGTTTAAATGCGAGGGTGGGCCAAGAAACAGAAACGTAAAGAAAAGAGAAAATCGCAGAAAGGATTACCAACATCTTCGTCCAAAATTTTCTGGTTTGCAAATTCAATTAAACTCAATTGCCTGCTCTATCCTCTGAACCTTGATCAAAAAGAGGGTACAAAAGAACATTTAAATTTGTTGCATCTACATTTATTTTTCGTCGTGTTTGTTTTGATATTGAGTGCCGAAATAAATCTTCGAGATTGTGTTTTTAAATTGTGTTTTTAACGGTTCCCCATTCCGCGTTGTCGATTTCATTTCGAATCCATTAGGAATCCGGTGAATGAATACATCTAGATTGTAAGGGACACGGTGATATATTTTAATAATTTTTGCTGAGTTTAGATAAATTGTTTGCACACAACGTTGTAACGTGGTGAAATATATCTGGCAATTCTACAAGTTGTTTATGAGCTCTGCCAGATACAATATACGATAGCAGCTTTAGAAATGGAGATATCATTAGAGCCTGGTATATTATTGATTTATTTCTTTACACGATAATATGATTTTTTTTTAACTTTAAAATTTTAAGGCAAAAATCTTAAAAATGAAGATGTGTATGAAAAGATTTGAATCTCCTTTTGCCATTTAAAAATCTCTTTGACTTGAAATGTTAGTTTTACGAGGTTAACTTTTATTTGTTCATCGCCGAATACGTTATGATGGGTTGGTTTCTCAGCCACTCCAGGATCGTTTTCTAGTAGAAAAATGGATTTAAAATCGATAATAAAGAATAACATTTTATCGTATTTCCTTTCATTCTTTAGATATTCCCCTTTAAATTATGCCATGTTGGCATTTTTTACAAAAATTAATACTTTCAAGGTAAATATCTCAAGAACTAAGGTTAATATGAAAAAATGTTGTTCTTCTTTTTCGATTTAAAATTGATTTTCCTATTCGAATAACCCATACGTTCTGCTTTAAAAATGATTATTAATCAACACTATTCAAAAAAATAAATAAAAATGTAATGTACTTTTATTTCTTTATCTCCGAATACGTTATGATGAGTTTTTCAGACACTCTAAGATTGTTTTCTGGTAGAAAAATGAATTTAAAATTGATAATAAAGAATAACATTTTATCGTATTCGCTTTCATTCTTTAGATATTCCCCTTTAAATTGTGCCATGTTGGCATTTTTTACAAAAATTAATACTTGCAAGGTAAATATCTTAAGAACCAAGGTTGATATGAAAAAATTATATTCTTCCTTTTCGATTTAAAATCCAAAAAAGATTTATAATAACCGAAAATTGTGAATAAAAATGTTAAAATTTCTGGAATTCCACTTTACCTAAATAATATTTAATTTCGTTTTAATTTCTTACAAAGTAGGTCACGTAGTATTTGAAAATCTTCTGAATTTCTACCCCAATTTAATTCGAAACCACAAAACTTTGCGAATTTCTTGGTATGCAAAGCAGTTTGTATGTTGATCAGAGTCGATTTCTTCATGCAAAAACAAAAGGAAAGTTATTCCAGGAAATTCGTTCTTCTCTAGATATTCCCAACGAGAGTTATTGGGGAATTTATATAGAGAGTGAATTCCAGATTGAATTCGTATGGGAGTTTGTTTTTCTTTCTCGTCGTCGTCAGCTCGATGCGAATATTATTTACATGGATATCCCCTTCAAGTATTGCATATTTAGGATGACAATAAAGTTATAAAAAAGATTTTCTATTTGATCAATAAGAAGTTGGCTAAGCCGGGTTTAGTTTGAAAAAGAGAAAGTTCTTAACTAGAAAAGGATAAAAAAATAAAGAGGTTTCTTGATGATTGAAGTTGGAATTCGCCGTCGTCGTCTTGGGATTATCCGCAGGATTTAGTGGGAACCGCGAAAACAAATGTCTTCCCCTGCTTATGATTTCGAATTCGTCCAAAATGCGACGCGGCAGAAACGAAATTATAATTTACCCCGAGAATATGGCCATCATTTTCGAAACTGAAACCACTTTTCTTAATTAAACTTACAAGCCTAGAGGAGAGGAAGAACCGGGGCGTAATTTGTTCGCCGTTTCGCATTGTGAAAAATCGATTTGCGTTCGCCATCTCTTTTCGTCTGGTGTGGCGTGTGCCGTCTTTTGAGAACCGCAATCCGGAAAAATCTTTTCCAATCTCAGGATGCAATTAGGCGAGATGCTGTTCCGTTCAATTTTTCTATATACACTCGGGGAACCAGAGTGAAACGATGAGAGAGAATTCGGGTTAGTCTAATTGGATTATGAAATTTCCATTTCCAACGGCGCTCAGATTCAACTACAGATCCATTTTGAAGAACTAACTGAAAGCTCTTCATAAATTATTTACACTTAACGAATTTAATCATTTACAGAGCGCAAAAATTCCTGTACTCGTTCAAATTTACGTATGCAATATCACCAAGCTATTTATCACTACAGGAAATATACGACGCGTATCCCTTCAAAGCGTATGTCATGTTCAAAAACAGTGTTCGAAATTTCACGTTTAATTTTGCGAGTTGAGTCGACCAAAATCTATGTCCGGAGGTTTTTGTTACGGGGCGAATAAATTTTTCGCTTTGGACAAGCGCTTTTTAATCAACTTCTAGTTAATATTTTTTGTTCATCGCAATATATTAACCGCCTCGGGGGTTAAGGGTAAAAATAAAAGACCCTGACTTGAAAATTAAACATTTATTTGTCCGAAAGTGCACTAAATGTAGTACATAATTGGCTAAAAGTACCGTTCTAAATACGGTTTTTTTTATTTTTTCAAAACCTATAAATATAAAACAGACTAAAAACATCGTTTATTTTTTTATTTTGACTAGTCGTATAGTCTCTGGTATTTTTTTACATCACAATTATTATTAATTATTTCGCTTTATAATCGTATAATACAAACTTACATACTTCTCCATTTTATAATTTTTTGATTACTTATATTTAACATTACCCTCTAATATAAAAGAAACAATAACGAAAAATTAAATTTTTTTTGGCAACACTTCACTTATCTGAATATTAGGGCTAACAACACAATTATCGATACAAAAGTCTTTGGCGAGAAGAACGCTACAGAAGAGTTGTGCGGAAATGTAACTGAAAAATTTTAATTAATATTGGCCGATAAAACTTGAAATTACTCACCTCTTTCCGGAATAGGATCTTTTGTATTGTCGAGCCTCATTTCCGTATGGGTTTGGTAAATATCTGAAATCGCGGCTACGCATCTAAGAACTAAACGACCTTCTAAAAAATGGGATGGAAACAGAGGCAGCTGAAGCGAAATCTCACTCCAAAAGAGATCATCTACTGGGTATTTTCTAGTTTCACATTTTTCACACACCTGAAACAATTAATCATAAATAAATTGAGTTAAATTAGTCAAAAATATTGAATATTCAAAATCAAAAATATTTTTGAGACTCCAAGTATTATTGTGGTTTTGAATCCTATCGATTTTTTTAAAATATTCTGGAATAAAGCAATGTTCGATATTTTATTTAATTTCTCATAAATTCAATTATAAGCATATTAATATCTATATAAATTCTTAAAAAGGATAACTTTGGCTTCAATTCGATATGAAAATTATTTTTGAATCCCCAAGAATACTCTTTCAGTGATTTTTTGAATTATATCGATTTTTTAAACATGCTTGAATAGAGTTCCATATTTTATTTAATTTCTCATAAATTGAATTATAAACATATTAATATCTATATAAATTCTTAAAAAGGGTAACTTTGGTTTAAATTTGATATCAAAATCATGTTTGAATTTCCAATAATACCTTTTCAGTAATTTTTGGAACGTTATCATTTTGTTAAATTAAAATTGATAGTTTTAATTTATATTAATTAATAGTTATAATTACAATATTGAATGAGTTTAAATTTGTTTATAATTTAAAAATTTATTGTACAGTGTACTAAAACAGCCATAACAAAATCTACATCGAAATAAATTAAATAGAAAATATTATTATTTAATTTACGTGTTAGTAGTATTCGCCGATCATCGAAAAGTATTGAAAACGGCCGGAAATAAATATTATCCCACGTTCATTTTTATTGCAGCTATTTTAAATAGCAAATCCGGGGGATTACCGGTGATAAAATATACACAACCCCACCAACCCTCGGTCGATTAAGGAGAAAAACGGGAAACAAAATTGACCACCGCATAAATATTCAATATATATTTCAACTATAAAAATATAGAATTTGTCCATGCATAAAAAAACGAAAATTGGAATTGAAATAAAAATGAATCAGTTGTTTTTCCTTTTTATAGTTAATAAAATTAGTTGAGATAGGTTAAGTTAATAAAACATCAAAGATCAAAATGAAATATTTGTGTCATGAACGAAAAAAGTTTTGTGTAATTTTTCAATTTAAATTTTGGAGAGATTGTTTTAATTTCAGTTGAGTTTTCGAATGTTCATGGATATCGACATCGAGAGTGATGCGGTTCGTTTACAATTTGAAGAGTAATTGATAGAAAGAGATGGAAATCGAAGTTTCGATAGAGAATGGAAATATGTAGCAGGTGTTTTTTATTGTAGCTTTAGAATGTCATGATTTGTTAGTGACGCGGATTGTTTGTTTATATTTCGATTTTCTGGGATCCATTTCAGTTTGTTGATTAACATTTTGGGTAGAGGTGGATTTTTTTTGTTAAAGGAGATTATTTAATGTGTTCGCCAACTAAAACTAGTGGATTAATCAAAACACTTTATTCCTGTAATTTATGAATGATTTATTTAATAAATTACTAATATTATTTGCGTTTACCCGCACACATGTGGTAAATATTTAATTTTAATTAAATGTTTTACCCCCTTTTAATCTCGTTATGATATTTTAGAGTACGTATCCGATAAATTAAATTAATGAGAGCGCTCCGCAAATTATGATTTCAATAAACGAATATTTTAATAAATTAAATTCAAAACATTTCGAAAGCTTTCGGAATATTCTCTATCTCTATATAATATATAAAGGTAGTGGTCAAAATCCCAATTAAACCGAACTTTTAAAACTTTTTCTATTTGTAATCATCCGCTAATACTTCCATTTATGTTAATTAGGGCAACATTTTAATAACCACAGGACACAACGTTGACATTATGCTGCCAGTTCATCGCATCATCACATTAATCACAATGTGAGAGACAACTCGCGTTTCATGGGGTGAGAGATGACAGCGAAATTGTAAATTATGCAACATCCTTCGCTGTCAAAACCAAAATTGACTTGCGTTCAATGTGAAAACGTTTACCAATCGTCACTCTCCCTTACTCACACACACACAATCAGATTATAACGTGGCATAATCTTGACATATGGCTTATTTTGCATTTATGACCACTACAAATTTCAAATAGATCTTTAATTTAATACTGGGTATAGAAGTGAAATTAGATTAAGTTAAGCGAGCTTATTGCTTTGAGGAAATTTAACGGTTGTCTGCCCTTTTGACCTACAGCACACCACTAGAATCCGTCATTTATTGCTCACTTGGACCCGTTCCGTATGGGTTTGTTGCTCGAACATTACACCAGAAACGGTGGTGGTGTTGTCGATGGGGTGGCCGAGCTGATTCAGTGTTAATTGCCCGAGCAGGTTTTCAACGGGCCCTGTAATCACCGCGACTGGTCACGGTCGATAGCAACTCGGTTTAATCTGGAAATCCTTTTACCCACCTGTCAATAAAGACCGTTCAGCTTTTGGATTATGTATTAGGGCCCATTTCAGGCGAACCGGTCAGCTTTTATTTGGCGCGCTGCGTTCAGCTCGATTTATAACCGAGATTTATTGGCCGGCAGTCAATTAGACGTGACAGCTTTGCTCGATCTCGGGGCGACAACGGTGTAAAACTAACTTGCACCCAGTCTCACTCGATTCGTATTGATGTGTATTGGAAATCCTATTAATTAGATTTATAAAGTTAACATAACTTTCAACTTGAAGTGCATCGGATATTAGACACCACCATTGTTCCTTGCTAATTAGAAATTTATACCTAAACATCATCATTACTGAAATTCTAATCTTGTTTGAAAACTTTGTCAAAAATTCTAAAAATTATAACATATAATATTCCATTTTTATCTTTTATTATTCATTAAAAAGCTTCGCTATTGATAAATATTTAAAGAAGCGCATCGAATGAACCACCAACATGGAGATTGTATAAATTAACGTTTAAATGCAGATTCGTCGCAAATGTAGCGATGAAAGCTTTTCAGCCGACCGACGTCCGTTCGTTCGTTCGCGGTCTGTGAAAATTCCTGTAATAAAATGAAACCGTCAGGACTCGCCCAGGAGATTTCTCGCGGAAAAATGCAAATCTAACCTCAGCTAGGAAAACCACCCAGCTTAAAATAAAAAAACAGGCGAGTTTAGTTCGGTTTAAAATTAAACGTTTTTCGGTATATACTCGTTACGACGTGTAAAATCGGATGTTGTGGATTCCTAATTTAAGTTTTTTAAAATTAATTCGATAACGAAAATTGCAACCCCTAATTTCCTTATTATGCGTGTCGACGTGCGATTTAAATAAAGATTTATGGTCGTTTTGATTACTAGTCATCTCCTACTCACACCTCAGTTCGATTTTGAATTGATTACCGTGTAGACAGGCTCAGAGGGGAGACTCTCTTATACCCTCGAAGAATATTAATAGTCGACAGGGATCATTTTTGAAACGTCCGAACGAGCGCGCCCCGAGCATAAATTCATACCCGCCTCGAGTACCGGAGAAACCCTAAGAAAAAGGTGGCAGCGCTGGCAAAAGACGGCGGATATAAATAAGTGGGGCAAAGGGTGCACTCTCGGGGGTTACCATCGGATGAAAATTTAAGTGAGTTGATGTATTGGTCGACGAGCTTGGGCGATATGCTTAAAGGAGATTGAAACTGAGTGTGCGTTTTGAGGTTTTTATCGATCAAATCCTTCTGTCTCTAAAATATTAAAAAAATATGAAAAATAGGAATTCTTGGCAATCCATACCATTATCCCCGGAAATATGTTTCTATTGTGTTGAAAGTATCGGGACACAATAGGGGTAGAAAATACTTGAAAATATGCTGAAGCTGTCGTCGTTAACGCCGTTCCGTGCATAGCAAGTGTCCGACGAGGTCTGCTTTCAAAATGCGGGCAAGCTCTTATATGCAGAAATGCCACAGAGTCGACGCCTAACAATAATGCAAGTGGTTCTGTCTCGTTAATGCACAGTGTCGACGAGCGAGGCGCCATAAGCCGACAATTGGACTACGCTAGATCGGTAATAGGGTTATTTGGCTTTGGGGGTTGGGGTAAAATGGCTTAGGTAACAATTGACCCCTTTAATAAAGCGCTTATTTAACTACCAATTTGTAACTTTAACCACATTGTTACAAATTGAATATAAACGTCAAATTAGTAAATTTGTGAAAAAACATTGTTGATATAGTAGAAACCACGAAAAGTGGCAGTGAATCATCGTTTTTCGCTCTTACAAATTTAATGCCATACGTAGTCAATTAAAATTCACAAACCGCCAGAAAGTAATGTGTTAAAAATAGATAGCATTTGTTTAATATGTCTGCTATAAAATTCAAACAACCACGTCGAAAAGGTACGTCTGTTCTTCTAACGGATGTACCTACCGTAATCCTACCCTCAAATCGAAACGTCTTGTGAGCGTTGTCGTGAATCTGTTAGTGTTTTCACAAGCCGAAAATGTTTTCTCTATTATTGTCTTTTTAAATAATCATTTTTGAACAACCATACATAATTATATCTTTCTTGTTTGTTTCATTATATAAATAAATGTTCCATCTTATGGCGTAATTTTGTTCTCCTATCTTTGATAATGTTTGACATATACCCTCCAATACTAACATAACCTACATTTAAATGTATGTGGTGAAATAATCTTAAAAAAGTCCATATCTTGATTCATACCATTTTTAAGCGATGACTCACTGCCAGCTCTCGTGGTTTCTACTATATATTCATTTCTGATTCTATACGGGGTTGTTATGGTTTAACTAAAATTTAAATAATAATATTCAAACCATTTTTTTAAATTGAATTTTACCATAATAAAATGGATACATTTCTTTATAAATCCTGAAACTTATCCTGAAATGTATTTTAATGAATTTTTTATTTTCTTAAAATGTTACAGCAATTGATTCCTTTACAAAATCGTTTCCCTTTTATGATGTGTAAACTGAATCGAAGGGGAGAACGCCTGTTTTGACCTTTTCCACCCTCTAAAACTAAAATTCATTCCAGCCTATATGCCTTCTATTGTACGTAATAACCGTTTCAAATCAACGATTCGAAGCAAACCATTTTTTCTATTTTGAAATCAAACCGAAAATTGAATAGAAACAGTTTAAAAAAGACTCAAACGATTTTTGTCGATTCTGAACACGAACGTTCCCGTTATTTTTCCACCCAGTTTTTTTTAAGTTTTCGAAACGAGATCGAACTCGTTCATCATCTTTGGAAGACGGGGACGAACCCCGATATTCATCTTTAATTATGACTTGTTTATTCCACTCTCGGAGTTTGTGCTGCAACTTGTTCCGTTTCCCACTCCCCCTTTAGTAGTACCTCGCTAAACCCCCCGGATGTAATCTAGTCGATTTGGGGCGAATTTGCTCGTAAAAACGGGGGCAAATTTCCAACGGTCGTTACGGCAAAATTCGGTGATTTATGGTTTTTCGTTTTTTTTTATTATTTTTCCCTTTTTTATTTTACCGATACTAATAACTAAACAGGTTACGAGTTTTTATCCCCTTTTTAACAAACTTCAATTTATAACAATTTGTTTAAGATTACAAATTACCCACATTGATAAATATTAATGAATAAATACTTTATATTTAAAAGACAATTGGGGGGATATCGTGTTGGCCAGCAGGCGTCAACTTTCGCACAGTCATTTGAATACCTAATTTATGGTAGCCATAATTTTTCGCGAGCGACTCAATTACGCCTCCGTGCTTCACGTTTATAATCTTGCCGGCGATAAATTTCAATTTTTATCCACAGGTTGGCCGGCCGTTTCCTCTTTGACGATAAGTGGCCCATAAATCTCGACCGCCACCCGTTGTAAGAAAACCCCAAAAATTCCATCCACCCCAAAACCCCAAAAACGAGTTATTCTTTGCTGCGTTTCTCTGATTTCATTTCAAAAAAATATCTTGAGAGTTACTTACCACAAGGTTGTTCATCAAAAAACTGAGAATCACTGCTGGCCTTGCTGGGGAGGATGAACAATTTACTTTTAAAACATCCCCAACGACATAAAAACTTTTATCCGTCGTTAAACTTGGGGGATGTTCTGGTAAAACTGTAATTAAAAGTTAATGTAAATTTTAATTTGAAACAATTATTACATGAACTTACCAACGACAGTCATATTAGTATCCGCTGTCACTGTCAGTATTGGAGTTTCCGTGGTGACCTCGCAGCTGAACTTTCCGGATAACTGGAAGTCGACGTTCCTCAGAACCACCTGGTGTTCGTTCGACAGGTCGAGCTGCAATTTCACGTTTTAGAGGCGTATAGAACGCCTTTGGCGCGACACAGCTTCGGTTATTTGCCATGTACTCACGTCTATGTCCACGTTGACACCCCTGAAGGGGAACGTCTTTGTGCTGGGGTGTTCGCTAGGAGTGTACCGATAGAACTCGTGTTGCCCTCTGTACCACTTTACCGTGTACAGTTGCGATTCACCCAAATCGTATGAACAGCTCAATGTCGAATATCCGCCACGTTGGACGACTTTTGGTTCGATATCCAAGATTACATTCCGTAACGATATCGATTCTGAAAATAATAAAAATGTTATGTATAAGAGATAATAATATATGACAAGTTATTACACTTTACGACATTAAAGCATTAACCAGTAAAACAAAAAAATTTTAAATTAAAAACATTCGACATAAAAATCTTTGTGATTTCTTACTATTTCTCCAATTCTTGTTATAGCAACATATGAAACCACCTGTTGCCTTTACAGGAAAACTCGGTCTTTTGACAGTTTTGCGGTCGAGTTTTCAGTTTCCATGAGGTTTTTTCGGTTCGTTCAAATTTAATCTACAGCGTTTTTTTTTTTTTCGTTTCGTTTTCAACTCCCCAATTGGATAACTTCTTTATCGAGCTAACGAAATACGGCTTTTAGCCGTCTTCCGCATTCTCTTCACTTCTCGTTGCCTTTCGCAAAACAAAACGAGAACATATAGCGAATGGATAAATTGAATTTTCACGTACGCCTTTAGTACCATTTGTAAGAAATTCACCTTCTTTAACCATTTTTAACCAATAATATATTTAAATTGGCTATGACAAGGATGCATGACCAATTTGTCATATCGAGGATTTAAAGGTTCTATTTATGGAAGTTTGCCATTTTTTTTCTAAAAATATTCTTTATCTAACCCAATCTGATACACAGTAAATTTTATTTAAGATACAATTTTGCATGTCAATAGGTATAATTTGATATTACAGTAAAATCTCGATATAGCGGATCAATCCGGAGAACGCAGACCGTTAAGCTCAATAAAAATATACAACAATGTAGCGCTAAATAACAAATAAAACTAGACTAAACACTAGAACTAGAAACATTCCGTTTAGCCGTGCCTCTCTTAAGACTGGTAGGTAGTAGATAGCACTTGTTAGCATAAAATATTGCTAACAAGCGCTTGTTGCATATTTTTATTGCACTACAACTAGAACTAACACTAGACCTAGAACTAGAATCATTCGGGTTTAGCCGTCTTAAGAGACGTGCGGCTAAATCCGAATGTTTCTAGTTCTCGGTCTAGTGTTAGTTCTAGTTTTACACTAGCAATATCACTAGAACTAACACAAGACCTAGAACTAGCATCATTTGGGTTTAACCGTCTTGAAAGACGTGCGGCTAAATCCGAATGGTTCTAGTTCTCGGTCTAGTGTTAGTTCTAGTTCTACACTAGCAACTTTTTAATGAATAAGTCCGGTGTTAAAAATCACTGTTAGCATTTCAGACATAAATTTTTAAATTCAATTGAAATTTCTGGTAATTTGTGACTTAGTTCACATAAATATTTTTTGAAACCAAATTAATCAAGAATCATCAGATTTCTACCAAAAATAAAATATATCTGATGTATTAGACATAAAAATTTTATTTCTGTCGTCAAAGTGAACACAAAAAAATCTGTCTGAAATCGATATTAAATACGTGACAAGTTAATTGGTGCCGTTATCCGTTTTTGGCTGGTAGGTTGACAGGTCAATTATTGAAAATACTTTTCCAGCTGTCCGGAGCGACTCCGAAAAAGGGAAAGTGATTTCTGAAACGACGAAAGAAGAGAAAAGGGGGAAAACGTAAAAGAAGCCAAAATGAAGCTAGAGGTTCGCTCTTTTATAGTTAAGCCTCTCCCCATTCTCTGCTTCTTTCTTTTTCTTTTTGAGATTTTTTCCGCTTAAAATCCGTTTCTTTTGTGGGTTTATAATGTGAATGTCAAAAAAAATTTTAAGGTTTATATTTTGTATTTTGATATTTATAAATTTCAGATAAATTTATTATTTAATAATATTCGGTTATTATTGGATCAAATTTATTGTAAAATAGAAATACACAAACTGCTATTGTTGTTATATTAAATTGTTGTTTCATAATTTAATTGATTAATGAAATATTTAGACTAATTGCATGTTAAACAAGTGAAATCCATACAATTTTGAATATTAATTAAATTATTTAATGAAGTCGATTGTTTGGTATCAATTAAATATTAAAGGTCCCTTAATTATTTTATAATAATCTTTTCATATTAACGGTATTATATTTTATGTTCATTAAAGCTTAAAACTTCCTAACATGATTAATTAGTTCATTAGTTCGTTAAAGAACATAACTTATTTCCCAGTATTTTCTAACTTTATAAAGCAATAAGGTATCTTAAAGTAAGGAAACTTTATTCATTCACAAATAATGTTTTAATTAAGACAACAATAAATTTGTTATGTTTATCTTTAAACTGAAAATAATTGTTGTAATAAATTGTTGTTGTCATTTCCACGGAGTAGAAAACAGCATCATATCAATTTAGAGGGGTTAAAGTGGGATATCGAAATACGAGAATATAAAAGGAGAAAAACTTCTGACCACACCACAAGAGCTTTTCCATTTCTCGAGCTTTCTCCGCTATCGCGTACTTTTCGCGCACTTCTTCGAATATATGTGACCCATATCTATAACTATCCTTCTCGTTTCCTGCGGCGATCGTATCCTTATAATTTTCGCTTAGACGTGATCCGAACCGGGGAAGATGAATTATGTATGAAGCTTATTTGCAAACAGGCATAACAATGGAGATTTCAGGCACGAATATATCAATTGGTAGGCGTCGAAAATATGCCCTCTCTGTATTGAGTCCGGGAGCGAACCTCCGGAAAAGAGCACGCTAGGGGAATATCAAAAACGAAATCCCTTTTTCCGTCCATTTTTTTTTACGGCGATAGGCTTGAATATATATTACGAGTTTTATAAAATTTATAAAAATTGAGAGTGTACTTGATTAAAATGTAAATAACTTTAACGTTAGATCGCCTTATTATCGGATTTTTTTGGGGTTAAAAAGAGGTTAAGAAAAATTTCAAAATCCCCCTTGGTTTTGAATTTATAATTCGCTATAAATATTAATTTTTTTAAGAAGGGGGTGGTTAACTTGTTTGTGACTTTTTTTTAAAAACTTCATTAAATTTTATATTTTTAACGTATTGTCGTATCACCCAGACGACATTGATATGATTTTAATAATGATTTAAACATCAAAATAAAGTTTGAAATCTGCTCTTTAATTTGATGTGAAAGTTGTAGTTTAATTCCCATTAATTAATTAGATATGATTTTTTTAAAGTAATATTACCAAAAAATATCCATTTTTAACCCTAAAATTTTAAGTTTTCTTTTTAATTTGATATAAGATTGACTTCTTAGTTCGTATAAAGTCATTACTTATATTTTTTTAATTTATTCTATTAGAAAAAAGTGATTTGAGTTTTCTAATTTTTTATCCCAGCTATAACAATTCACGATCCATCTATATTGGTGGTCGTTTTCAGTTTATTTATTCAATGCCGTCGTCGTCGCACAAAGCAAGATGCAAGGAAGGCTTTCCTTGTATCGGTTAACAGCTGGAAACGAGCCGGAGAACCTTCTAGTGAGCTGAAAACTGATATGCCTCGGTGGTTGCACCCAGTAAGTGGGTACTCTGGAAGAGGTAGTATCTCCCAGAGGCTGCGAGCCCTTGTTTATTGAGACAACAAACGTTACGAGCTCAACAACGAAAGAATTCATAGAATCTATTACAAGACGGGACACAAATTTGTCTCTTTTTTCCCCTACTTCAACTAAATTAATGTTATAAAATTGAACTTTTCTTATTAATTATTTTTGAATTTATAGAATATTTCCGGTCATTACTTGGTTTGAAAATATACAAACTAAACGAACATTTGTCGTCGTCAAATATACAAACTCCGGAACCGAAAACAAATAATTCGTGTATAGGGAGACATAAATATTTGAGAAGTGATCATTTTCGAAACATTTCTCGTATTCACTTCTTCTTTTGTGATAAATTTGATATTAAGCAAGAATAAAAGTTATTTTTAGATGGAATTAGAAAAACGTTTATATTTCGTAATCTCGCGAACGTTTTACGACTTCCAATAAAACCCCATAATTATAACTTTTTTCTTATTTTAAGAGTGGTAAACATTTCAATAACACTCAAACACCTCCAATTCGTGATTTTGAAAGTTTTAAAATAAATGTATTATTAGCGAAAACGAAAGATGAGATTGAAGTTAGTTTCCGGTTGCAATTACATTACGTAGTCCTTCTAATGGTCAATACACTTAATTAATCCAGTTCTCATCTGGCACATTATCGGACTGTCAACTGACTGTTATTAGCACTCTGGCTGAGCAATTACACGATGGGAGAATAGAATTTCATCACTACCTCCCCGACTACTACCCTTTAAAACGGGCTCGGGGTCATTAAAGCTTTCAGGAGCTAGCATAAATTACCAAAGGGCTACCCCACGACTAACAATTAGTCTAAGTGCCGATATTAAATGCACGGTGACGCGTTTGATAAAACTATCGAAGTGCAGTGTTGATTTAGGTAAATGAGTTCAAACAAACTCAATTTGATGTTGATCCTGCCGTGTAATATATTTTTAGGCAAATTTAATCGAAATTAAACATAAAATCTGACTCAAATGAACAATTTGATGACGGTTAAAGACAGAAATAAAACGGGAGGCGGAGAAGATATAGTGGGAAACGGCTAAAGTACAAATTATCCAATTACGTCGTTCGACACTTCAAATGGAGTGCATCGTGACAAAGGCGAGTTGAAATTGTCGATCGGGCGTGGTGGTAATTTCGCGACGTTCTCGCCTCCAAAGTCGAGTCGTTTCTCTACAGCTAAATATTTTTCACTTTGCGAACCTTCATTCGAGTGAACACTGAACGCTTTATGTTCGATTCAAAAGTTTTTAACATCAAAGAAATGAGTAACAAAGAATTGGAGGAATTTAAAAAGATTTTAGTGTCATTGAAAAAGTTAATCGTTGGATCACTTAACAAAAAAATAAAATTTTTGCTATTAAATATTAATAGCTGCAAGGAATAGAGATATAACTGTTCGAAAAACTGTTCTTGGACACCAAAGTAATGAAAGTATGTAAAAGCTTCATCACACCACACCAGAAGATGTCTTTTCCAAATAACCAGCAGATTTTGCAAAATGAAAAACGACTTGTAAAGGACTACAAGAAGGAGAAGCAACAAATAACAGATGTAATAAGTACTTAATCGTGGTTTCATCTGTATTTCCTTTCATTTAAATGTAACTGAATGAATACTCTGAGAAATTTATCCTGGATATATAGATCCTGGAATGAAGACATCGCAAAGACAAAGCGAGGGAAACAACTCAAGGTAGAAGATACGCAGGATAGAGAGACTTGGAGAAAGGGATTGAGTAGACAACACCTATATATGTATATCTATGTATCTATGTATATCTATATATATATCTATATTCTATATATCGTATAGAACTCAGCCAAACCTGAAAAATATAACTGAACTGGATTCCTTCACCCCAAATGGAAACGTAGAAATAGCGAATAGTAATTAGTTTATTAATTAATTAATAATTAGTTACTAGGGTTAATTAAGGTTGTTTCAAGTTTCAGAATTATTTCTAAACATTCTGGAATTAATCATGACAGTACCACAGTAAATGCTAAGCCATGACATCTTCTGCACCGAATGTTCGTTTTACTTTCATTTTCGTGATATGGAATAGTCACATTTTAGTTAGATTTTACGATTTCGTGGGGTATTCTGGACGATATTGGGATTTCTGCGTCTGCTATGAGCAGACAGTGTTGGAGATGATTTCGAAGATCAGTTATGCTACATTGAGAGATGATCGGGACGACGAAAATTAATACTAACAAGAAATGGTAACAAGTTGCAACTTAGTAGATGTAAATCTTTTTCATTACGAGTCACAATTAAATAGTATTCGAATAATTAAATTATTAAAACATTAAACCAAATCTCATTCACAAAAAAATTTTTTTCTTACAAATTTTTAACAAAATTTTCAGCACTACCGATGAAAACTGAAAGGTTGTCACAAACACGTTCCGATGAATTTCAGTCACGTTTTTTATGTGTTCCTAAAAACATGAAATTTAATTTTTTAAAATTAAACAAATAAAAATCTAATTGTAATCAAAGTTGATTATCCTTCATTTGAAAAACAAGTTTTTCGTACCCTGAACGTCTCCTTTGTCTGAAACTCTTTTGAACGGCGCACTTCTAAGAAAATTTGGCGTATTTTTACATCTCGCGACGGTTCGCTTTGATCACGGACGGTTTTATAACGAAAGGGTTAATCAGTATGCCTTGGTTACTTTGACACCTTTTTTAACAAAAATTGCTTTAATGAGCATTAAATTTCACCATCTAATTTTTTTATATCATTAAAAATGCACTTTATGGTTTAAAATAAAGTTGTAATGAGAATTTCTGTTAATTTACATTTAATATAAAAATAAAAAAAGACTTAATTACTTTTAAAACATAGATCGTACAAATAATTTACATTTAAATTAGAAATTAAACTTGTTTTTGTAGATTTGATTATCGCGGGGGCACTTAAAACTTTAAAATAAGCAAGATTTAATTTCTTTAACATTTTCCTTGAGATTGCAAAATCTAAATCAGGAATTTATGAGTTAATAAACTTGACTATAGTATTATTGCTTCTGAAATCCTCGGTTGAAAATCCTCACCAATCACAAGGATTATCGGGGAACCGTTCGAGAGAAGATTTAAGTGAACAGCTTTCAACATTCTCCCCCGGGTATAATAAGCTTTACAAACCGCCCCGTAAGTGCGTTAGGCGAGCAGCAAGTGCACCACCGCGAACTTGTTAATGCCCCAGAGTTTTCGCAAAACTTACCTTCGCAAAATAAAAAAAGGACGAAGAGTAAAGGGCTCCAAGCGCCGAAGATCGTCATTCCGCCAAAAAAAATGAAGCGGGGAAGAAAAAACTTGTACCTCGCCCTACCGAAAATCGTATCCAAACTCAAACTATTTCAACACTGAATAATTACACTTCATTTTAACCTTTTCCACAAATTTTCGCGTTAATTTCGCGTTACAATTTCGGATTGTCATAAGAAAAAAAAGTTTTGATGACAACGTAAAAAGTAACTTTCTTGGGGAGAGAGGCTCACCACCGTTTGAACGTTTGAGCGCGAATAGTAAAGCTTCGGAGCGCTGTATTCGGATCGTACACAAAACGAAATGGCGCAAGCGTCGCCGGCGTCCATCCAACCCTATCCCTATATCCTAGGAGAGAGTTACAGTTTTAGATTGCAAAAAAAAGCGTTTTCGGAAAAAAACTCATTGCGACGCCAACGTTAAAATCAGGGGCGCTTTCAATCAAATCGAATCGGAGAATCGCCAATGCAAAACGAATTTATTTACATCAATTACCTAATAGGATCGAGGAAATTGGATTTCGAATCGGACGGTTAACGTTCCATCATTTAAGATTTAATCTATTATTATCTTATTTTAAGCAATCCCATAATAAATCTCTAATTCATTGAATCATTAATGTAAGCGTGTATTTGCGTAGATCTAAAACTATGTTGTGTACGCAATTTATGTGTATAATTGACTGTTTGTTTTCCCTTCAGCACAAACAGAATGTTTTAAGCGAATTCGACATTCTATTTGTTGATTCCATCTGGAAAACGAGGTTGATATGTAAGTTATTAAGCAATAGGAAAGTTAAAATAATGTGATTTACATCTTCTAATTATAATAATTTGTGTGAAAAAAAAATTGAAAAACTTTGATTGAACTAACTAAAAAGTTATAACAAGGTAGGATTATGTCCAAAGCTCATTTGAAGGATTTAAGGGGTTTTAAAAAACGAAGTAATTAAAAACTCGCTCCGATTAAAACGTAATTAACGAAATTAATAATACCGTAAGATAGAAAAAGAGAGAAAAGCTCTTTTTCTTGTTGAAGAGGGACCGATACAATACGGCTTATGGCTCATCAGAATCTTAACAGTTCAAACGAGACCCTCTATCAGCCGCCTTTGTCTTTTCTGGAACGTTGACGAAGGCGAGGAAACGAGGAGTCGCTAAGTTTTCAGCCACTACCTTAATCCAATAATTAGGGAATACTTGAAGTGTGAATTATAGAGGTAAAACTAGCAGTGGAGCCGAGCATCGCGTCGTCGTCGCATTGTGAACACGGCTAATTGGATTTCTAATTAAAACGTTGCCGCACCGCCTACCGGAGGCCCCGAGTACCCGGTTGCACTACTCTCGTCCATTAATAAAGTTCATTTGTTAAAAGAAACTTTGGAATCGGCGAGACATTACCTTAATTATTCCGTCTTCCCCCTTTTCCATAGTCCCACAAGCCTCCCTTTGTAACAGCAGTGTGACGATTCACAGTAATTTACACTTGACTGTAAGGCCCAGACCCTTTATTGTCTTAACAATGTCTTAGAAGTACTTTACATTTTTTTCCAGTTACTGCAAGAACCATTGTAGCAAGCTGAAAGTTCCTTGGTCAAAACGTAATTTTATAAACTTTTTAAAAATTGTTAACACATAACCTCATAATTATCCTGCACAAAGACCACATCTTTATTACCGTTATTATCTTTAGCGAATAAGCACGAATTGTGTACCTAGGAAAAAAGTTTTTATCGCGACAACTAAAGCTATGTAGTTTGAAAATTTGGTACCTACACACGTTATCCCGGGGAACGCGACAATAAAGTTAACGCTAGCAAATGCAACCCGGAGAATATTGCCAGCGACATTGTTGTTTACGATCAACGCGTTCTACCGTCCTGTGTGTGGACAATTTGTAATAAACCTCAAATGGAGCATTGATAAAATCTTCATTCATCATACACGAAATAGCTAAATTTCAGCCTTGAATAACTCAACGTGAACGTCAAAAAAACTCGTAACAAGATATTTTCTGATGGAGCTTTTGGTGCTTTGACATGGGTCCTAAATTGACAATGGCCAACACAAGCTCGTATCGATATCTACCTTCTTGTGTAGCTCGACGGTCAAACGTTCCGCTTATTTATAAACCGAACACAAAGGAATTCGCCTTGCTGAAGGGCGGTTTCCACGAGCAACGATTGGGGATGGTGACTCCTTTGATTTAGTAGGACCGAATTGAAGTGACAGAGGGATTGTCTTATACTTATGTAAGCAGCAATAATTTTGAACTAAATTAAATTAAACCAAATAATTCTAAACTTCCCAAAAAGACATTGTCAGAAAAATAAACCAAGGTTTCTACTAACCATTAAGCGCTATCTCTTTTCGTAAATCTCGTCGACGACGAGCACGCGCGATTTTATTCTTATTACCATCATTAACGATCGGGAATCTGAAAGAACCGAGTCGATCCGCATTTAATGCGCACCTCCTTAGGTTCGAAACTTGCACTTGATCTGCGTGAAATGCCAGCAGCAACTTCGGCAAGTGCCATAAACTTACTCTGTACACTTTTACAATGCGCCAGTAACGAAGTTCACGCGCCGTCGGAACCGCATGATGCAAATTGCGAAATACCGGTTTGTGTATACGCCGATGGCGAAATAAATGGTTGTCAAAGTTGATAATTGTCCTAATCGCATCCATTAGTTCTCGAAATGCGAAAGTTACGATTGACTGGTTCGCGTTTGCACAAATTAAATCTTACTTCCTTTAAGGTTATGCCAAAGCAGCTCTATGTGTTTCAGAAAGTCCTATTAGAACTTACATTAGAAAGTTCTTGATGTTGAGTTAGATTGAGTTAATTATGCTTGATAAGAATAAATTGTTTTAATTATTTCTATGTACTCCTTGGTATCTTATGCTTTAATAACTTAATATTTCAAGATTAAAGAATCTCAAGAGTATTAATCTCAAAATGTATTAATTTTTTCATGTTTATCTCTTTTACATGTTTTAAATATTGAAACCATCAAGCGACAAAAACTCCTCTCCGCCCACTATCTCGAGTGACATTGGCACAGATATTAGTAAACAAGTAAATTTATTCAGACAACTGAAAATCATTTTATACTCTTAATCGAAATATAACTACGAAATATAAATAAGATTACAGGTAAACCCATATTAATGAAGATTATTTGTTGTAAAAAGGTTTTATGTTATTATACCTCAACAGCATCAGAATTGTGGAACTGGTTTTCCATTTTAACCGACCTTGTTGAAAAATTGTCCTTTCCCGACCTCTACAACAAACGTTATTATTATGCTAACCATTTAGACTTTGGTCGTAGCGTTGTAGCATTCATCATCGAATGAACTTTGAACATCACAGATTCATTACAGAAAATCCCAAAATAATTTTCTATACAAAGAGGCAAGACCAGCTAAGACAGTAATTGAATGGTCCTAAAAGGTAACCCTAACTAAACAAATCTCCGGTAACGACTAAATTCCCTGGTCGTATCCGCGTGGACGTATAAAACGGTCATTTAGAGTCGCCTCTGGATTTACGAGAATGCTTAGCGCAGCGCCTCCGCTTGCCGTTAAAGTTGTTGTTTATGCTGGCCCGTTCGGCGTTTTAATTGAAACTTAATAGTTTCGGCAATTATAAGTTCGCTTCTAAACGGTAGCGTTAAATCCGCCGCTCCAAACAATCTGATTTACAATCGAGCAATGCTACAATATTCCTAATACAAATTTTAACAAAATAGTATGGGTATTTAATTAGCTATATGGATTATATTTCCTGTAAAGGGGAAAACAATACTCTTGTACAGTATGAACTTGTCACAAACAGGGCAGGCTAAATATACATAACGAGACCAAACAATCGACCGTATCGAATCTTATAAATAGACGAGATACCTTGCATTTGGCGTGTTGAGAACCCGTCGTTCCACAGAAATATTTATAAATCTGTAAAAGGATGTTTGCGGCGTAGTGTTGTTTTCTGACGATTTCGAAATTGCGTAGGGAGGAAATTCGTTTTGTAAACAGAAACGCCTTCGCTACCAAGGGGAAACGGCGTTTGTCTTTCGTTTTATTATGTGTTTACAATTTAATGGGAAAAAAATTTGCTTGAAAATGTATTTCTATTCCATAAGGGGCCAGGTGCAAGTTTCTTTTTATGATGGGATTCATGGATCAAATCATTGCAATTAAAAAAACTATTAATGTAATTATCCACGATTAGATTAAAAAATAAATGAGGATTATAAGAGAAATGCGGGGAAAGAAGGGTTCTGTGCAATTGGAATAGATAGTGTGTGTTCCAGACAGGACGTCGCGCCTTTATTTCTTTATGTAGGTAAGATAAAGGCGCGACGTCCTGTCTGGAATACACACCAACACCCCTTTTTACAATTGGACGGAACCCTACACTCCTCACATGGTTTATTTCAAATACAGATATGTTACGTAGAAATAAAAAAAAACTTTACCACAATCTCTAAAGTGAAGGGCCTTGACTTTTGGCACGGATAGTAAATGATTTTAATCTATGTTTATCTTGAATCTTGAAAATAATTTTATAATAGTAATGTTATATCATTTAAATATCAGATAATCCTTATCAAATATTAAACGAAATTTAAAAAAAAAATACTACTTTAAATAAACACGTGACGTTAATTGCTTTTTATACTATTTATGACCATTTTAACTTACTTTCATAATTTGATATAAACAATTTTGTCAGATAATATTTATTGACATGATTATTTTTAGAAAGATAACTAAAATAATCTTCCGTGAAGTACGAGCCCACCAATTAAACAAATATAATTATTAATTTAAACAATTTTATTTTTAAATATACAAAATATAAAATTTATTTACAATTTATTTACAATTTTCTTAAAATTCAACCACATAGTTTATTTAAATATTGAGTATCAATTTCTTTTCCATAATTTTGTTTAAACGTTTCTAATTTACAAACTTTCCCACAATTAGGAATTTCTAAAATTTCCGGTTCGTTGTGGTCATAATTTTCGTGTAAAAACTTTAAATATATTTCACCAGAAATGTTATGAACCTCAATCATAATGTGAGCACCATAATTCGGATTATGAGGAACGAAATTATCTAAAAACGCAAGTAATCCGGCAATGTTCGTATCGTGACCGGAATATAAATAAATTTTTGTGTTATTACAGGAAGAGTTAAGATTATTTATCGTGCAATCCGTGTTATTTAAAATAGTCGAAACTAAAAACCCGGATGTTAAAGGTTTTAAATCTCCCTTTGAGATTAAAACCCAATATTGTTCGGATAATTCTTTTAAGATATCGGGATAAACGGATTTGGTCCAATCGGGTAACTCCAAACCCCATTCATCTTCCGATTTTAAAATCGAATACAAATACCAACCCATTGTTAAGATTTCATTTTCTTTGAATCCGGAAGCATTTTGTAAAAATGGTAGTAAAGGTTGGTATTTTAACGCAGTCGGATTTTTGTAATATAACGAAACATTTCGTTCAACCTCTGGGTAATTCGGACAAGCTACAGCGGTTAAAAATAATTTATTCTTCGATTTCTCTACGGAATCATAAGGAATTGGTTCCCATAATAAATTTTTATTCCATGTTATATCGCGAGTTGGTGGAAATAATCCCGCTAAAACTAACTCTAAACTTGCTTTATTTCTTGACATGTGAGAAGAAACTGAAGAAATTATTTCCGGGGTGTAAGTTTTTGGTAAAAATGCTTTGTATCGTCTTCTTAATGATTTTCCAATTCTAAATTCGGTCATTTTTCCTTTCTAAAATGTTAAATTAAAATTAATTTAGTTTGAAATAGCGTTTAATAATAATTACATTTGTTAACTCTCCTATTCTCATTGGATAAAAAGTTTCTTCTGTGTAAATATCATTTGGGTATAATTGATCTGGGGATCTATCACCGTGTCTAAAAACCTTGCAAAAATAATACAATTTAAAATAATCTTTAATAAAATTGATTTATCTAATTCCATTATGAAAATTAAATTTTCTGATTTCATTACTAGTGATGTAATGAATCCCATTACCCAACTATAAATTGATAAATTGACATTCACTAATAGAATAAGTCAAGTTATGAACAAAAATTGCTTTTTCAATGGAATTAGATAAAATTTTGTACTTAACACGTTATGAAACGGATAATTTTGTTTAACGGATGTAATATTTGCAAATTACGTGAATAGTCTTTTCATAACTGGTTACGTAAATAACTATTACTTACTACATGTAAAACTTTTAAAGTTTTTCTTATGTTAACTAAATTTTCGATATCTTCACCTTTACAAATCCATATAAAAACACTTAAACTGATAAATAATCTCTTCATTTTAACTGGATTTAATAATTAAAAAGAAACCGTTAAAGTCGCTTCAATCATAAACGTGAACTGTTAACAACGTACCATTGTTGTTATAATTATATACTGAGAATGAAATACAGAAAATAGACGTCAAGGTAAATACTTAGAATTATTATGAATAATTAGTTATAACTGGTTAAATGCTATTATCGTGAAGATATGGTAAGCATGTGTTAAGGAAAAAACGCAATGATGTAACAAGAGAGGTTTTTCTGTTATATATATTTTTTTCTATTTAATAAAATAGAATTTTTTGATGAATCACAATTTTATTGATTTATTTTGACTGACTTTTTGGTTTATTTATCTTCAATCACGAGATACACACTTTTGTTACACGTGAATGTTCGATTTTTATTGTTTAACAAAATTAGGCTAATTAATTTATTATTGTGTATCATCATGATTTTATTGATTAAGATCAGGATAACGATGACTAGCCAATGAATTAATGAAATATAATTATTAATTGCTTACTTTATACGGAAGCCTTTATTAATCCTTTTTCATGACGATAATTTTATTATAAATTTTATGATTTAATTTAATATAAAAAAAATTTAATTTATTTTGATATTATATCGTCTGAAGTCATTTCGTAATTTCAACTTTACGTCGAAACTAAGCCGGTGCGGTGTCATTTGCAGCCACATCGTCCCCCGACAATTCCGGTAATACCGGAAACCGGCCTGAGGCATCCTCTTCGTCGCCGGGATGTATGAAAATAAGCCGGAGGACCACTTTAGGTAATTGGCGTCGCATTGCGTTACGACCACTCCGTCCCATCCAAAACCGACTTAATTTCTTAACTTTCCCTTTTTAATGTGCGTTTTTTATTAAAACTCGACATTTTACCACAACCCAAGTTTCCTAATTTAATTATTCAACAAACGTTCATATCGATCTTGCGAATTCTACCACGTAAAATCTATCGAACTAATTAATTAATGTTGGTTCCTGCAAGATCGCTTGGGAGATGAATACCATCCGAGAGAGTGTTTGAGAGCATCTACAATTTGCAATGCGATTTAGAAAGCAACTCCGTTTCAAGGTGTGGTTATAGCAACGGTCGTTTGTGGTGGCTATCTTTTGCGTTAGTCTCCTCTACAAATTTACATTCGCCCTACATCGATGAAGTTTCGAAAGGTGCATTAGGAAAAGCGTTAGAGTTAAATACCCTTTTGAAATTACTTGGCCATCGACATTGACTTGTATCGTATCATTAACTACAAGGTGTAATCATGATATTTAGGTCATTCAACTTTACTTTGATTTAAATGAAAATAAAATGAGTATCAAAACCTCTATCTTATTCAAGATCATTTGATTCAAAGCATGGGGATCAATTTAAGATCTCCGACATCCAATTTTTATTTTATTTTTAACCTGGAAATACTCACAGAACTGTCACATCAGCCTCGGATTAAAGATGGCAACAATGCGCGAAAACGGAAAGAGAGGCACTCAGAATAGAAAGTTGGAAGCGAAAAATTTTGCGAAAAGTCGGATACCGGATATTCGGCATCCCCCTCGGCCGAATATCAAAATCAACTTATGATCAAAATCCTAGACCACAAAAATAAGATTTAAAAAAACCCCATGCTTCAAAAGCTCAAATTTATAAGCACCAATATACCACAACTTAAGCTTGAATTCTTTTAAACGCGATTTTATATAAAAACAATATGATTCGAAAATTTAAAACAAAAATTGTTGTTAAATTGCTTGCACGTCACAGCATAAAAAATGTACGAGGTTCATTATGAATTGTTCCGAGTTGTAGATTAACAAACATGAGTTGAGCAAACTAACCAAAATCAAAGCGATTGGAAAATTGAAACGCGATATTATTTAATCAACGGTACTATTAGCTTTTAGTGAGAATAACATTTTAGTTCACACACCATTTTGTTTATAACTAAAAAACAAACAAAAATGTTTCTGAATTTCCAATTTTTGCGTGGAGTCTAACTAAAATTCATATGCATACCCATTTTCATATTATTAGGGTCGTGCAGCGTCGACAATTTTTCTTAGAATTGAAAACACAGAGTACTCGAGTAGGACGTACATAGAAGAGGAAAGCAACTGGGAACGGGCTGCATATATTGTTATTGAAGTGGGAGCTCTCGAAAGCTTCCCGTGTTGCGCTTTTGAGCGGTACACGACTTTAAGATAATAAAACACGTTCTGGTAGTGTATGCGGCGTCGACGTTGTATAAGAAATAATGTTACTTTACCTTCGTGTTTCGAAAATGTATTTACGTGAAATAAACCGAAACAATGCAATTGAACGGTATAGCAAAATCGTTTGCTAAACTAAATGCGGGGGAAAATATTTGCTTAACATTATGATTTACTAAATGAATACCCAAATTCCATGATAATTGTATCGATTAGCGGCAATGTGTGACCATTCGAACTTGGTTGTAGTAACCCTGTTTCCATTGATTTTCAGCTTGACCTATGAATGACGAGAGCAAAATTAATTATTCCACTAATTGATTTTGTACACCAACACGGATTTTATTAACATTTATTATTCACCGTTGGGATATTATCGAATGTATTAATAAATCGTCTCTCTGACATTTATATACATTTCTATTATTTTCTAGATATTTTTAGACATTTATGGGCATATCCAAAGATCCTTAAGGAATGATTTTCACGTTTTCTTAAGCCAAAACAAGCACATTCATCATTCAGTTGTCAAAAACCGCTTTGTTATTCTCCACAAAACAGCTTATTTTGCTGTAAACGTTTTTAATTTTTTTTTTGCTTAAAAGTGAAAACAAGTGTTAAGCGATTAACGACGCAAGTCTAAGTCCAGATCTGTTCGGGATGGCAAAAGGTGTGAAATTTAATTCAAGGTGTGAAGAGGGAGCCGGCGAGAAACGTGTTTTGTTGCCACTTTAGCAAGGGGGCGAGAACCGGCGAAAATAATTAAAGTCACTTTAGGGTGAGGGGCGTTCCGGGCCAGGAACGTGGTAATTCCTCCTCCGGGAGACCCCGGTTAAGTCTTACTCCCGTTTGAGAACGAAAACGGCGTGAAGTGACGACGGCAATCTCTTTCTACCGGTTTTATAGGTGAGACGCAATTTAGAGTTTTACTGAAAAACCACCGCTCAAGGTAGGTTACCGAGTTTTTTTGGATAAAATAAAGAAAATTTCAACCTCTAAGAAGATTTTTATTTAAGATTTAATTTTTTACTTTCCTTCCTTCAGCGTTTTCTACACTGAAAGCAACTTTTTTCAATTTACTTTTTTATTCTTTACTCTATCTTTATTACCTTGTTAAAGTTTGAAATTAGAGTAAATCCTTTTCGTTATCGCAAGCTTGGAAACGTACTTAGTAGTCTACTTTAGAACGGAAAGTGTTTAAAGAAATCGCAGGTGTCGGAAAATTCGTGAAAAGCCAGTCGCACAGTTGGAACGGTGGCCCTGAAACAAGAAAACTGTAATTACCTACGTAAGGCTGAAGGCCGGCCTAACTTATTTCGGCAGTAATTCGCAACCGGGAACGTGAAAACTTTCGGCAAACATCCGGATAAACCCTCCGCCGAAAGCGTACGTGTTTTCTTTGTTGCAGCCGACACCGTCCTTTGCCTCCCTATCACGACGTGCAGAAATTTATATTCGCAGAGTCGAGCGCTTTAAAATTACTTTAGCACTTTTAAATTACTTACTTAATATATTTATTACTGACCCGAAAAGATTAAAAACGATATACAACCAAAGAATAACATTTTATAAAAACAAACTTAACATGTTTTTTTAAAAATACTTAAGAAGAGAACTTCCCTTTTCCTCACGAAATCATTTCACGGCGGATTACGCAGCTTCTAAAGACGTTAAACTGGATTATTTTTACGCGAAAACATTTTAGGGAGCCGACGACGCTGCCGTAACGGCCGAGTTGTAAAACTTCTCTCAGATGCACCGTGGAGCCACCGTTACCCGTTTGTTTGCGTTTATTAGTCGTAAACGAGGCGAAGTATCTGTTATCGGGTTTCACTGTGCTACACACAAATTGACCGTTTACTTTCTAAATATAGAGAAGTTTTAGACGATGTTGTTTGAAAACGGAAACTTTAAACATCGTTTTCACCTCTTTAAATAGGATAGACTTTCAGATTTTCATTACTAAGTTGGGATTAATGAAACTTTGTGGAAACTTTATGGCTATTTTGAAATCAATAAACTTACAGTATTAAAATTAAATGAAACCGCGGAGGAATAGTTTTCGGAGAACAAGATTCCTCCAATTTAGGATTTAGCCGGATTTTTAATCTTTACATACAATTAAAAATGTGGAGTTGCTACAATGTCCGATTGTCCGAGTCTTGCGTGTAGTGTTTAGTCTTCTGCCAGCGGTATCTAGACTTTTTCCAAGAGTATCTAATCATGTGCAAGCAATATTTAATTGTTTATAAGTAGATCATTCTTCTACTAGCAGTATATAGGTCTCTATTAGCAGTACCTAGTCATCTGTAAGCCGTATCTACACTTCTGTGAGTAATATTTAGTCTTCTACCAGCGGTACTTACACTTTTGCCATCAGCTTCTAATCACCTCTAAGCAATATTTAGTTGTTTTTAACCAGAACCTTCTTCTATTAGCATCTAATCTTTCATTAGTAGCATGTAGTCTTTTGCAACTAGTATCTAGTCCTCATAAACAACATTAGATTTTCAATTAGTAGAATCTTTAACAAAATTCTAAAACCGTACGATTTCCAAGAAATTATAGGTATCGATATAGCTTGTCTTTATTAGAGCGAGAGGGGAAGAGAAATTTTATGATAATAACCCTTTGAGTTTGATTCTTTACTCGTCTTGTTCTTTTCCTAAATAGAAGCAGTTCTTGATGAAGAACAATACACTTCTAGAAACTGAAAAAAGCTTTGTTAGGTAATAAGAAGATTCATAAAAGCACGAATAATAAGTTATGTATTATAAAGTATTTTATAACTACTTATAATTAAAACATTAAATCGTCGCCTCTATTGCTGTATTGGTAAGTTTGCATGACTAATAGCCAATCTGCTTCCTGACAGTTCGAAACATTCATCATTAGCCGTGAGTCGGCTTGGTCACCTGACCCGAAACCAGAGTCACCCCACGTTGTCTTTGACAGTTAAATTAATTAAGCATTCCATCCCTCGACAACGAGTTTAGCAACAACCTATTTAGCGGCTTCCAGCAACCGAATCGAAACTGCGATGCGAGAGCGTTGGAAATTAACCACGAGTAATAAAGGTTGGATATTTCGCGTATGCGTTTCCATTTGGATATATTATTTATTTTCCTAGTTCGCACCGTTCGCACGAACTTAACACAATACGTACTAATGCGATTCCAGTTCGCGACTTCTTGCAAAGTTCCACCTTGCTTCGAGTAATTAAGTTTGCGCTCAACTCGTTAGGGGCGCCCGGTTTGCCGACTTTGTCGGGACGAAGTTGTCGACCAACGCAAGCTCGACAGAACCGGATTTAGGTTCATTACATGTTTTACTTTGTAAAATACCCCCATGTTCACTTCAGTTTCACCCCTCTCTTCTATCTATCAATTCTATCTATCAAGTCTTCTTAGTCGTCCCTAAATTTTAAGATATAGATAAAAATTAGTTTTTATTACAGTTTTAAGTTCGTTAATAATAGTACACGTTTCGACGATAAGTGCGCTCTTAAAAATTCCTTAATTTTCCCCTTTTGCTCTTTAGCGCTATCAACCGTGCTATAAAGCTCTCGGGTAGGGTGTGATGTGCCATTATCCGAGCAGAAATTTTTGTTGGAGAGGGATCTTAGGTCACTTTAGACCGATACGTTCCGACGTTTAATTTTAACTTCCCCTTATCGAGTTTTGAGCGCACGTAGGGCACATTCATCCGACAATTTCTTGCGACTGGCTCTTGTAGAATCTCCAGGGTTGGCCCGCGGGCCTAAGTTCTTCGGGGTGCGCACAATGCCGAGCACTCAAGCGATTCCCGGACGACGGAGGTCGCTAATCCTGTCTTCTAGCTTGACGACGCCGCTTTGATGTCAACCTCGAGTCGGTTTAAACTCGCCCAGATCAGGCCCGAGGTTGGACCTTTTTGCGTTTTGTTTGTTTCCTCATGCGACGAATTTTCTTTCTGCCACAAAAGAATACGGATTGATTCATTTCAGAAATAGTCGATGCTATGAAAGAAACCTCACCGTGTTTAAATCACGAAAAGTTATGCAGTACAAAACATATCTAATCTTGTGTTATTCATTAACGTTCAATGCCATTATAAGCGAAAAACTATTTTTCAAGCTATTTGTTAACAACGAACTGAGTTTTTCACTAATTACTTGCGGTTGTAACGCTAAAATGTTAAAACATATTTTTTTATTAATATTCTATACAAATAATCTTAAAAGATCAATACTTTATAACCTCATGAACGGTAAGTACGATTTACTTTTATATCATTTTAATTGTTTGATTAATTTTTATTTAAACAAAAAGATAACTTTGTATTGGGTTGGGTTTTCAAGTATTGATGACGTAAACAGAAACAAAAATAAATTAATATTTTCATATTATCGAAATAAAAAATATTAAACAAATTAATTTAAAATCCAAATAACTGATATACTAATTTTACAGAATCTTTAATACCTCTTTAATAAATTGGTTCAATAAAAAAGATAAAAAATCCGTATAAAAACCGTTTGAATTTCGATTAATTTCGAGTTTCGAATCGCCAAGATGAAAGCTGTATTGATCTTCTTAATCTCTACGATATCTTTAGCTCTCGCTAATGATTTAGAGAATTTCGTTGGACTTGACTCAACTTTGAAACTAGTTCATGTTGTAAGTAAATAAATATCTTTTATTATTTGTTTTAATATATTTAAATTGAAGGTTTTTAGACATGGTGATAGAACTCCAGACAGTTTATACCCAAATGATCCCTACACCGAGGAAGATTTTTATCCATTCAGAATTGGTCATTTAACAAATAAAGGAAAAATGACCGCTTACAACATTGGAACATCTCTTCGAAAAAGATACAACAATCTCCTTGGAGATGTTTACACCCCAGACATCTTAAACGCGATTTCTTCGCATTATCCTAGGGCTAAAGCTAGTTTACAAGCTGTTTTAGCTGGGTTATATCCACCAAGTGACTCTTTAACTTGGAATAAAGATTTACCTTGGGAACCCATTCCTTACGATTATTTGCCAAAAAATGAAAACAAATTATTTATGTCTTACGGTGTTTGCCCGAGATCTGCCAATTTAATTCTACAAGCATCTCAATTAATGACTACAGACCCAATAGTAACGAAATACAACCATTTGTTACCGATGTTAGAAGAAGTTTCAGGGATGACCGGGTATCCATTAATCGGAATTGGGGCTTTATTATATTCGACTTTAAAAGCAGAAGACGAAGCTGGACTAAAATTACCATCTTGGGCCGATTCGGTTTATCCAGACATTTTGAACGAAATCTCGGCGGAATCTTGGAAATATATAGCCGGAGTTGGTGATTTAAAACTATTAACCCCCGGCTTTTTGGTCTCACAAATTGTTAATAACACCTACGCAACGATTAATGGGGAATCAGAAGCTAAAAATAGAAAGATTTATTTGTATTCCGGTCACGATCTTAACGTGGCTGGCTTATTGTTCTTCTTGGACAGTTTCGTTCCTCACAATCCTAATTATGGCGCCCACATCATTATAGAAGTTCACAAATACTTTGGGGTTTACATAGTCAAGTTTATGCATCAGAATTATGAAGACGATGAACCTAAATCGATTTTTATTCCGAATTGTGGAATTTATTGTCCTTTGGAAGTTTTTGTTAAGTTGTATGCTAAGGAATTGGATCCTGGTACTTTGGATGAACTTTGTGGATAACTTTGATGTAAACTTGTAATTTAATTGTATTAGAAAAAAATTAGATGCGTTTTTTTTTTGGCATTACTCAGTTATTTCTCATTTATAAAGCAATTAACCAACCTATGTCAAGTTAGCTAACAATGTTTCCAGTCTCCAATTAGACTAGGTTGGGGTCAAGTTAATCCATCAAAAAGTATGATCATCATTCACATATTTCATCAACAAACCCCTCTAATACTTGCTTAAATCAAGTCATTGTGTTTCAACTAGATTCTTTCCAAACTTTAGACTGCTTGGATTAACAGATTGTGCACACCATATTGAAACATTTTATTGTTAGTTAAATCGGAAGATAATATAATATTCTCTACGTAATTGTTTCATATACTTTACAAGTAAACGATAACATCTAAATATTTTACACTTTTAGATATCGAGATAGTGATTTTATTAAAGCACAACTTAAGTCTGTTTGTAAAGTATACAAAACTACAACACATTTCAATATATATTGAGTAGAACATGATTAATAACTAGACACCTGATGGCAAAAAAAAATCTAATAGGAATGAATTGGCACAAAAAGCAGATAAAACAATGTATAAAAACGTTGCAAAACTCGATAAGTTTAAAGTAATTTCGTGGCGTTAAAATGAAATATATACTCTTAGTCACTATATCAATTTTAGGAGTCGGTGTTGCTGATAACATCGACGATATTGCTGGAGTTGACTCAATTCTAAAGCTAGTACACGTTGTAAGTTTTCTTTTTATATAATTTTTGTATTTTATATAAATAAGTTTGATTGAAGATTTTTAGACATGGTGATAGAACTCCGGATAGTTTGTATCCAAATGATCCATACACTGAAGAAGATTTTTATCCATTCAGAATTGGTCACTTAACAAATAATGGAAAAATGACCGCTTATAACATTGGAACATCTCTTCGTAAAAAATATAACAAACTTCTTTTAGATGTTTACACCCCAGACATCTTAAACGCGATTTCTTCGCATTATCCAAGAGCTAAAGCTAGTTTACAAGCTGTTTTAGCCGGATTATATCCACCAAGTGATTCTTTAAAATGGAACAAAAATTTGTCTTGGGAACCAATCCCTTTCGACGCATTACAAGCCGATAATAACAAGATGTTTGTGTCGTTCAAACTTTGTCCTGGAACATTAAATTTATTGTTACAATCTGCGACAGCAATGGCTTCAGATCCGGTGTTCTTAAAATATAAACATTTCGAACCAATGCTTCAAGAAGCTACAGGAATGCACGATTATCCGCTTTTATTGATAGGAACGCTGGTCTATTCGACTTTAAAAGCGGAAGACGAGGCGGGATTAAAATTGCCTTCTTGGACTAAAGATGTGTATCCGGAGGTTTTGAGCGAAATTTCAGCCGCTTTTTGGAAATACACTGCCACAGAAGGCGATATGAGAATTTTATCCGCCGGATATTTGGTGTCACAAATTGTTAATAACACATACGCGACTATTAATGGTGAAGAAGACGCAAAGAATAGAAAAATTTATTTGTATTCAGGCCACGATTATAACGTGGTTGCTTTATTGTCGGTCTTAGAAAATTTAGTACCACATAATCCTAATTATGGAGCACATATTATTATTGAAGTACATGAATTCATGGGAGCTTATTTTCTTAAAGTAAGTTAAGTTAGAGTTAAAGTTATTACATTTTTAATTTTGAACATTTTTGTTTGTAGTTTCTTCATCAAAATTACGAAAGGAATGAGCCCAAAACTTTATTTGTTCCAAATTGTGGATATTATTGCCCGTTAGAACTTTTCGTTAAACTTTACGCTAAATATTTGGATACAAATTATATGGATGAATTATGTGGTTTAAATTAAAATTGAATGAAGAATATTCCAAACGGTTTCAATAAAAATATATTGTCTTTTTGATTGAAGTAAATCACTTGAAATTAATGTTTACTTGATTTTGAAATAAAAATATTTACTTGTTAATAACTAATTATATCATAAATGAAATGTTTATCAAATCAAAGTAAAAGATAGATTTCTAATTCATCGAAATCTCGGCTAATTTAAAAAAATTCTATGTCAAAACTAAAAGTAATATTTAAAAACGGACTGCACCATTAAAAATGGGAAGCTTTAATTAATACTTTATGAAGATTTCATAACTACATTCCATGTAATTGATTTTCTACAAATTTTTAAGCTTATTCTAAGAAATTTCAGCATTACTAGATATCTTGATTAATTAAAAACATTTTATCTCAAAAACTAAAATTTGTTTTTACAAAACGACTTCACCGTTAAAAAGCACATACCTTAGTTGGTGATTAATGAAAGTTTTAAAATTGTATTCCTAGAAATCGATTTTTAATCAGTTTTTTAAGTTTAAGATAAGAAATTTAAATATTGTCAGAAATCTCGATTGCGTTAAATAATTTATATCTCAAAAAGTAGAAGCGATTTTCGAAATCCGACTACACCGTTAGAAAGGAGATGCTTTTATGAATAATTGATGAAAGTTTTTTGAAAACGGATTTCACCATTGAAAAGGTTTTCCAAGAAATTAATTAATTACTTAATTAACCAAAAAAGAGTGTTAATATATTTAAGTAATACACAACAGAAATTGTTTTTTTTAATAATTTATTTATCATTACGTAAAACACATTTCTCTTTTAGCAACAAATTTCCCATAAATCTCAATAAATTTATTTAAAGGACATAAAGTTGTTTCGCAGCCAGGTAAAATCATTGGTTGCGGTTCTTTTTTCGTATAATCATTATAAAACACCTTAACAGCAAGAACATCATCGATTTCGTGCAATTCAACTAAAATAAAAGCTGCATAAGTCGGTAAATGGGGTTTGTAAATTCCCAAAGTTGAGAGTAACGCTATAATATTAAAATCGTGTCCCGATAATAAAGAAATCTTCGTTTTATCCATTTCTTCGCTTCGATTAATTTTTAAATTAATTTCTTCGAGGATTTTATCTAATAAAAATCCGCCTGATAGTGTTTTTAATCGATCATCTTTATCAATTGACGCCACATAATCAACCGCAATTGAATGAAGAGGATCTGGGTATACCTCTTTGGTCCATTCTGGAAGTTCAAGTCCATATTCTTCTTCGGAAAGCAAACCGGCGTAAAGTAAAAATGCGTTTAAAGGTGATGTGACGTTCCATCCGGAATGGAAAGATAAGTAATCAGCGATTTTCGAGAGTTTTGGAAAATCGTTGTTTATAATTCCACGTTGCATGTATTCGTTTAGAAGTTTTAAAAAGTTTTTGCAATTGTTGTGAGGTAAGAAAAGCTAAAAAATGATTGTGTTAGAGTGAGGTTAAAAAATAATTGTTATTCTTACTAAGTCAGTTTCCATCGGATTCGTATCAAAAGCGATTGGTTGCCATTTTAAATTTGGGTTCCAATCTCTTTCATCAACTGGAGGGAACAAACCCGCTAAAACAAGTTGAATCGCCACTTTAGTACGACTGTAAGGCGATGATCTTGCTTTTAAAACTTTCAAATTGTAATTTCCGATAAAGTTTCCATATCGACTTCTTAACATTCTTCCCAAACGATATTGAGTTTTAAAACCTTCCTAAAATAATTTTTTATGACAAAAACTGAGTATGATTATATCTAATTTAATTTACCGATGTTAATTGACCCAATCCGAAAGGTTCGTAAGTTACATTTTTGTAGGGATCGTTTGGATAAATTGTTGATTCATCTGGAGTTCTTTGCGCGTGCCTAAATAACTAAAAATTTTAAAATTATACATTTTTTTTTTACAATTTAATTTTACTTACAACATGAACTAGTTTTAAAGTATTTGTTTTTGGAACCCTTCGATAACAACAAACTAAATTCGCCAAAACAAACAAAAAGAAAAGATTGGAAATTAATTTAACCATGACACAGATTTTGAAAATAACGTTCTTTTAAGCGCGTATTGGAACGAAATGATTGCTACCTTGGGTTGGGTTGCTTTATATCTTTTCGTTTTTGTGTTGAAATTAAAAAAATGCTTTTACCGGGAGAATGAACCTAGAAAACCTGTTATGGAAATGAGAATTTACAACTTTATATAGAATTGGGAAGTTTCTTTGACGCAGTGTTGGTTTTTTTATAGTGATAATTACAAATTTCCTTTTATGTGGAGTAAATGAGTCACCTTAAATCCCAGATTTAAGATTTTATAATAAATAATGAATTCTTAATTTTCTTTAAATTCTTTAATTTCGTTTATTTATTTTCCACATAATTCTCTTAACATATTCGTATCTAAAACGTTTTTATATTTCTGCATAAAATCAATAAACGGGCAATATTCCCCGCAATTCGGTACAGGAATAACCCTATAAACTCCTAAAGTATCATCACGATGCATAAATTTCAAAAATCTTGTTCCAACCATGTTGTGAACTTCGATTATAATTTGAGAACAATAATTAGGATTGTGCGGGAAGAAACTGTCCAAGAAGAACAATATCGAAGCTATGTTATTATCATGACCGGAATATAAAAATATTTTAGTTCGTTTTAATTTGGGATTTCCTAAAATTTTAGCGTAGGTGTTATTAACGATATTTGAAATTAGAAATCCCGGATAAAGAATTTTTAATTTTCCTATTCCCGTCGAATATTTCCAACTTTCTTTCGAAATTTCTTCCAATGCTAGCGGAAAAAAGTCTTTGCTCCATTCAGGAAGTGGTAAACCGTAATCTTTCTCAGCTTTAAACGTTGAAAATAAATTATTTCCCATTTCAAAAATATCATCGGTTTCCCCGGTTAAACTTTGCAATTTCGATATAATATTTTTGTATTTATGATAAATCGGGTCTGTTTGCCAACTTGCGTCTAAAATTTGTTTACGAAGTTTTGAATATTTCGGACACGATTTATCCGGCGCTAAAACTAAATTTTCATTCATTGTCAAATAATTATAAGGTATTGGGTTCCAATCGAGATCTTCGTTCCATCTTAATTTATTTGTTGGGGGAAATAAACCGGCTAAAACCAATTGTAAAGCGGTGTGAGTTCTTGGAACATGAGAAGCTAAAGTTCCAACCATTCCCGGAGTGTATTGAGGCCCGATGAAACTTCCATAAGTTGATCTGAGTGTTTTCCCTAATTGGAAAGATCGCTGCTTTCCTGGCTAAAAAATAAATTATATTTTTAAACATAAAAAACACAAATTTAATTATTAATTACATTCGTTAATTCCCCGATTCCAAATGGATAAAAAGATTTTTCCGAATACGCATCATTTTTGTATAATTTATCTGGCGTCCTATCACCGTGTCTAAAAATCTTCAAAAAATAATTAAAACAAATTATGCGAAGAAAAATGTTATTTTACCACGTGGACAACTTCCAGAGTTTCATTTCCGAAAGGTAATTGAGAAGAAATAAAGTTAATTTGTTGTAAGATGATCAAAAAAGTGAGTGATTTAATTAACATTTTGTTATAAATTGTTTAAAATGGAGTGATTTATCGATTTTTGATTCCCCGCTTAATGGATCGTTTTTATTTTAACAATGGATTATAAAAAATTATTATCATCTACAATATGGATTAAAAAAATTAAAAAAATACATATTCCGTTACCCGTGCGACAATAGCAACAAACCTCCCAGCAACAAACTTTTACCCGTAATTTCCTATCTACTTTCTTAGCTGCTTAACTATATAAACATATCTATCTATCTTATTGAAAATTTTCTGCTCTTTCTAGTGGTGTATAACACGCGGCGATCACGCGCTTGCACACATACATTTTTGGCCAAAAACTGCTAAATTCACACGTTTTAGCTATTCTTAAACCTTGTTCGGGTCGATAACTTTCTTATATGAGCAGGAGAAAACTCTAGAACCATATCTATCTTATTGAAAATTTTCTGCTCTTTCTNTTTTATTTTGTTAAAAAGTGGGTTCTTTGCGTTATAATTTGGTAAAAGATTCATTTTGGTATCTCAAAAAATTGCAAAGTTATGTTCAGTACAAACATGTTGTAGCGTCTCGGCCGCAAACGTCCCTGACTAAACGTAGGAGAAGGAATTTACGACTTGGGTTGATTAACTTAATACATAAAACACTACGAAAAATATAAAAATATAAATATTATGTATTATTACAATCACCCATTACGATTTATATTGCAATTTATGCCCAATACAATTTGATTATTAATCTTAATTTAATTAGTCACCACCTTTTAGTATGACTAGTTGCTTAAAGTTAGCGAAAAGTTAAGATAGGGATACAAATCCAATAATAACCAATAATCTTTATTTAAATAATCATACAAAAAAAGGTAATATTATTAACTATTAACAATTTTCATCGGCATCAAGAAAATATTTTTTAAAATAATCAACAAAATCATTATAATCGCACGTTTTCGAAGAACATCCATCTAACCGTAAAAGTTTCGGTTCTTTTTCTTTATTATTCTGATAAAACACTTTTACAACGTGCCCTTTACCCTTTTTATGAACCTCGATAATGATATGCGCTCCATACGGAACAATATACCCATCATAAGCACCCATAGTTTGCAACAATGCGACTAAATTTGAGTCGTGTCCAGACCACAAATAAAATTTCATCTCTTTTGAATTTGGATCTCCTTTTATTTTATTTGAAATGTCGTCGTTGATTTTCTTTAACATTGCCCCGATGTTGAGTTTTTTTATTTCCGATGTTGGGACGTAATCGTTCCAATACGTTTCAGCGACGTCTTTCATCGTTTCTAAGAAATAATTATCGGCCCACGACGGTAATTTTAAACCCCATTCTTTTTGGCACATTAACGTATCGTAAATTCTTAAAACGTCTTCGGGCGTTTGAACGTTTTGTCCGGTGTGTTTCCGAAGATTTTTGAACATGTACTCGTATTTATTGAATTTCCCGGATTCTTTTGCGTGTTGGATGTTTTCTTTTAGAAGGTTGTTGAATTTCGGGCAAGAATGATCAGCTAAGAATATCTAAAATTGGCGTTGTTTTATATAATTTAAAGGTGATTTAAATGAAATCTTACGCGATCTTGTTTATATGGAAGAATTTCCATTGAAATTGGTTGCCAAGTTAAATTTTTATTCCAAATTTGAGCCGTTTTTGGTGGATACATTCCAGCCATTACTAGTTGGGCTGTCATTTGAGTGCGATCCAATGATGATGATCTTATTTTAACTTGCCATGGGAGGTAGAAGTTTCCGAGGAATTCTTGATAACGTTTCTTTAAGGCAATTCCAACGTTATACATTCGTTGTTTTCCATTCTTGAATTAATAAATGAATAGTTTTTATAATTTTTGTAATTTTTACAACTTACTTTTGTTAGTTGTCCTAACCCAACGGGATAATATCGTTGGTTTTTATATGGATCTTGAGCATAAGTGAGTCTTGGTGTTCTATCACCGTGCCTACAAATCTAAATCCATCATTAAAAATAACCAAAATCCTTTCGTAATTTACTTACAACGTGAACTAAGTAAAGTCCATCTTCGTTTTGTTTTCTAGAATTATCTGAATGAATCGAATGTTTCGATGAAGAACAATCACAATAATAAACCAATGCGAAAAAAATCACAAACTTAACCACCATCATCTTCTTTCATTCCAATCAATTACTTCAAACTTTTTTAACTACTTCACCACAAACTATTTCAATGTATTTAACATTTTTATGATTTTCTTTGTTATGCCATCGCGACCTTCGAGTGTGTTTTTTACTATTTGTGGTTATACTATTATACGCAAGTGCGGAATTTCAATAAATGCAAGCTTGTTTACGATGACGCTGATAAACTGTTTCTGATACATTTTACTATGAATTTAGACGATAACATAATCGTTTTGGAAAGGAAGCAAGATTATGACTAACACTAAAACAAATTTATGACGTATTTTATGAACTATTACAGTTGTTATGCCAATGTCATTGATATAATTGTTGACAAATTTTTTAAATATTTGTTTACTAATTTTTAGTTACAAATAAAATATACCCAACTCGACTTTCCCAATTTTTATGTGTCACTAATTTTTTAACTTTTAAACTATGTGTCATATTAATATCGTAAGCATAAAGATGATCACTGAAGAATTCTAAATAAAAACATTATGAGTAAAATTAAATTTTTGAGTTGAACATTTTAGTACATATTTTAAGACTTTTGGATACATTTTGGGATAGTTAGAGACATTTGGACATACTTTGGACGTATTTTGAGAGTTTTAGGCACATTTTGTGACCTTTTCACACGTTTGGGTTCATTTTGATATACTTTGGACGTATTTTGAGACTTTTGGGCACATTTAGACACACTTTTGGATACACTTTAGCATGATTTAGATATATTTTAAGACCTATGGGTACCTTTGGACACTTGTAGACATATTTTGAGACTTTTGGGTACATTTATACACATTTTGATCAACATCGACATATTTGAACATGTTTTGAATACATTTTGGAACCTTTGGGCATATTTGGGACATACTTTATACATATTTGAAGAGCTTTAGCCTCGCAAATTGCGAGAAATTTATTTATAGATCACAATATGTTTAATAAAATTAAATTGATTAATAAATTTGTCATATTAATCTTTAAAAGTGACACATTCGCTTCAAATTTTATCGGAGAATGTTGAAACAGTGTCAAAAATTTTCGTCGAAATCGTTTAAAGGTATATGATTTACAACATAGTAATTAATATCTTTCTACCCATTATTTTTTCTTTAATATGAATTGTTTTTAAATCATATTTTTTAAAAATATTTCATTTCAGATCCATCAGAATTGACAAATTCGACCCTTAAACTAATTCACGTGGTAAATTCGAAATTAATAAAATTTTTGAATTTGCTTAAAAATCGTTTTTGGTAAAATAGATTTTCAGGCATGGAAATCGAACACCAGCAGCTCATGCCTATAAAGATGATGTCCAAGAAACTGGATATAAACCTTATGGACCTGGCCAACTCACCAATGCAAGTTATGAAGCTTTAAAGGAGTTATTTGGAAATTAATTTAATAAATTTTTTAGGCAGGAAAGGAAACAATGTATAAATTGGGGCAATTTATAAGACAGAATTATAATAATTTCTTGGGGGAATATTTTCCCGGAGTTATACAAGCGAGAACGACATGCGTGGACCGCACTCAATGTAGTTTACAATTATTTTTAGCCGGTTTATATCCACCAAGAAATAAGTTAGTGTGGGATCCCGCATTATTATGGCAACCAATTCCTTATATTACAACAAATATAGAACACGATAGCGTAAATTTAACCGCATCAATAAAATTGTTTAATTAAAATCGTCATTTTAGATTTTACAAGCATTCACTTTCAATCCGAATTATAAAATCGCTTATAGAGAATATCAAAAGAAATTTAATTTTCGAAAGAAAAATTTAGACTTAGTAAAATACATAGAAAAACATTCCAAGAAAAAGATTGAAACGATTAAAGATGTTTGGTTGCTTTATTTTCAATTAATCATGCAAGTATTAAATTAAATTCAATGAAATTCAGTTATTTGATCGTTTTTGCGTTTTGCAGGTTGAACTTGGCATAGAAATTCCTGAATGGACCAAGAAAATCTTTCCGAACCCTATGGAAGAGATCGCGTCTACATACTACGTTCACACTTGTGCTACTTCACAACTAAGAACGTTAGTTTTAAGTATATTAAAAAGACATGATAAAAAAAAACGAAAAAAAAACTTGTACTTTTTCCTTCCAGAACCTTTAACAGATAAAATTATCCACGACACCAAATCGAAGCTTGAAAAGAAAGATGCAGCAGTGTTAATGTACGTTTATTCAGGACATGAAGTAAACATAGCACACACTTTGATTGCTTTGAATTCGTTCAAACCAACGCATATTCCTCAGTATGGATCATGTGTGATTTTGGAGGTGCACCAATTTGATGATGAAGTTTATATAAAGGTATTAATATAAAATTGAAAACTAAATGATTTAGAAATCATTTTAACTTTTTTAGGGTTTATATAAACTGGCAAATAAGCCTTACACGATTTTATTGCAATTATGGAACAAAAATCCGCTCGAATTTAAGGAATTTGTAGAAAACATTGATGCGAACTATAAATAAAACGATTTTCGAGGAATTATTAAAAGAATTTTATTTTTCGATATAAAACTTGCCACGTAGTAAACAATTAAATTTCTAGTTCGTACAGAAAAGTTTTAATAAAATTGGTTCAGAGAATTGGTCGGTTGTTAGAAGGGGCCTTGATCTGAGAGAAGTTCTTTTCGGTGAAATTCGCGCTCTGGTATGAATGGCCTGATCAGTGACTGCAAGTTTACCATCCTGAAAAGAGTCTAATGAACTGTGAATGTGTAGGATAGCTACTGCTGCTACTTGCTTCCCTTCGGACCAGCACGCGCTGAATATTTCGACGAATGCGAACTGATCCCCCCCAACCCGTCTATTTTTCTGTGCAATCTCTAATGAGTTTATTCTGCTCCGCTGACCATCCGATTTGAATCTCTATTCTGCGATGACCCCCTTTTTCTTAAAATCCGTACCAACTTTAAAACGTGATGGGAATTTTAACTTTAATTAATAAAAATATTTAACCGCAACAATTTAAGAAATCGATAACGATGATAGATATAGAAAGCTCGATAATGCAACGAAAACACAATACGCGGTGATTGCTTTCTGATTATGGAACAATCGCAGCAAACGAGGGATGCTATATAAAAAGATAAACCCACAATTGATGTAGCAACTTTTTGCCGTTTTATCGGCTCCATTTTTTTGCAACAATTTTAAGAAATCACAACAAATTTGTTTTACGACTCAATTTTTTTAAAGTAGGATTTTTTGCGTTGCGGATTTTTCTATTGTGAGTACTATATAAGAGGTCTTGTTGTGCAAACCGTGTAAATTGGCTTCGAGATTGAAGCAATTCTGACATCGGGGACGATTCCTTTCAATTCTACCGGCTTAGAAAATTGTATAGGATCAATTCGAAAACGAGTCTATCGATCGTGTTTACCACGACTTATCCTCAAGTTAAATTTTCTTTGGATATTTCTTAAGTTCTTTATATTGGGTATTCTCTGTTTTTAATAAATCACTTCACACACTTCCAACCCAAGACCTCACACTCAAAATCCTTTAATCCATCACTCATTAAGCAAAATTTTAGCAAAATTCTAGTAAAAGCTAGCAAAATAACACTGTGATCTTTTAATGAGAGTACATCAGAATCTCTTTATTCCAACTCAAGTAACATACAACATGGTTATAATAAAAAATTTTGTTTATTAATACTTTGTATAACCATAAATGGTTGGAATGAAGGAAAGCGAAAGATCCGTTTGTATATTTACAAGCGCATTACAGGGACCTTTGTTACCTTAACAATATGCTAACTACATGCTGTTAAACTTAATGTCCGATACGAGATGGTAATTACCATCAGGTCGCGGGTCTACGTTTAATTAAAACGGAATCGCCTCTACACTTTGATTAAAACGTAAATAGTCCCATGGAAACTTACTAGGTAGTTTGAATTTTATAGGTTATAAAATAAAAAATCTGTTAAAATCAACTTAATTATTTATAACTAATTTCTACAATTTAAATATATTTAAAAACCATTTCTTTTTTATCACCAATACTTTGCAATTCGATTTTAACAGGACATTGTAACCAAAAACTCAACATTTCCTCCGTATAACCAATCAAGAAATAAACTTTCCTCGAAGTAATGACTTGTTTAATAATCCCAGCAATTCTAATCATGTTATGCTGTCTTTTAATTATAACTTCACTAGCAAATAAATCGTGCCACGTTCCAGCCATAAATTTTCGAATGAAAACGTCTTCTACAGCCGTCTCGGAAGGTCGCAAACCACCTTCAATATTTGCTATAAAAAAAATTCTTTAAACTACAAGTTTTCATAACAAATATAAATTATTATACAAGTATTCCAGGAATTCCACGATTTTCTATGTGCAATATCATGCGGTTTATTAGCCATTTCATACGTAAGGGGAAAATCTTTCTTTGTAGTTACTTTATATCGAGCGGTTTGCACTTTATTACAAACGTTTGTTGTGTGTAGCGCACATATTTGAAGAGTTTGAAGCTTTGGTGTGCTTAAAAGAAGCTAAAACAGATTAAATTAATTTAAACGAAGTCGATTTAAAATTCATTTACATTTTTTAGGTTAATTAAAGACATTTTTGAGACAGTACAAAATTTTTAGGTTAGAAATGATAGAACAAGATGGTAACATAAAAATTCTAAAATCACCAAGTATATAATTTAATCGTATCATTTTTTAGTTCTGTTATCTACTGCAATTAGTAAATAACATTTCGTAACTCTTATCAGTTATTTATTATAAATAAATTTCTCATAACTTTTTCAACATAATAATTCGAAAACTGACGTTTAAATTTAGGTTGGTTACAAAAATTAGGTTAAGAAATAACTGTCAAAATAATCTTTTTACACAATTTTTAATAAATCCAATTAAATACAAAAAGAATGTCTTTAGGTACGTATTTATTCGCATAATTTCATCGTTATCATTAATTCTGCAATTAAATTGAACAGAAAGAACATTAGGCGATGGAATGGATAACGCTTTAATAGCTTTAACAGATTCAGCCAACGAAAACATTCCATTCCAATTAAAATTAAGGTCATCCAAAGCAATATTAAAAGCAATGAAACCTGTTAAACCCCAAGGAAAAGTAACTATAGTCATCCCAAAGTATGTGCCAAAAGAAATTAAGAAGCCGAAATACTTAACGAGTCCGAAAAAGAAAAGAACCAAAATTCATTCCTTACGAACCTTTCAAAGGAGCTGTTGGACCAATAATTCCGGTTAAAAAACAATTAAAAGTTATTAAAGATAAAAATAACATTGACATTCACGAATTGGTTACTCAAATGACCGAAATGCGAACTTTAGAAATGGATAAAATTAAACTGGAAGCGATTGAAAATAAGGATGAGATTATTACAAGGAAACAATGGGAACAAGAAAAAGAAGGGTATGATAAAGATATAAAAAATTTAAGGGAGACTAATTCTCATTTAGAGAATCAATTAAAATTTCAAGCTCAAGTTAACAGCGAATTAAAAACTTTATTAGTAGCTGCTGTTGGTGAAGATTTAGAATCCAGAGTTCAACATTTAACAGAAGATAAATTACAATTAGCCCGGATGCTTTTAAACTCAGCAAACCGATTAACTTCACACCAAGAACAAACGGAATGGTTATCAGGGCAATGTGAAGTATGGAGAAGCAAATTTTTAGCTTCAAGTTTAATGGTTGAAGAACTAGCTCGATGGAAATCGGTTTTAACCCAAAGAATACAACATTTAGAAGAAAATTTAAAAGTTTTAATCGAAGAAAGAAGTAAAACAAGAAAATTTCTATTAAAAACCTTGATTAATTTAAAAGAAATTAACGATAATCATTTTAAATTAGACGGACCAAAACTAAAAACTACCAACATTATTGATTTATCAATTGTTAATTATCGATTTAGTGAGAATATCGGACAATTTGTTATGGGCGGCGATTTTAATTTGAAAAGGAAAGAATTTTTAAGCGATTTACCTTCTAATACAATGGGGGAATTAAAATCTATTCAAGTAAGTTATTATTATCGTTGTTTTTGGTTAATGGAAAGTTTTATTTTTAGTTATTAAAAAATCCTGTGAGTTTAAATTCAAAACCGGATGCAATATGTAATGCTGTTATGGGGGCTGCCTTTTCAATGGGATCTGGGCAGAAATATCTAAATAATCAGGTGAAGTGTTGTGCTCATTGTAAAGGAGATGTACAGGATATTTGACAAGATGTTTTTTGATATGATTGGTGCTATTTTTGTATTTATCTTGTTGATTAAAAGAAATAAATTAATTTTTTGTATATTTTTAAAATGTTATTGTTGGAACATTAAATTATTAAAAAAAAACCTCAACCAATATACCTGTCTAAAACATCCCAATTTCTTGCTTTATTCCATGTTCATAGATAAACTTGGGGTATTCCCAGAGTTGTCTATAGGATGTAAAAATCAAGCAGGGTAGTTTTAATTGTTATTCAGCGTTAGATTGTGGTATATTTTTCATTGAACTAAAATTAGAATTACACTAGACATAGAACTAGAAAGTTTTGAGTTTCTAACTTTTTTGCTAGATCTAGTGTTAGTTCTAATGTTATTCAGCGTTAGATTGTGGTATATTTTTCATTGAACTAAAACTAGAATTAACACTAGACACAGAACTAGAAACTTTTGGGGTTCGAACTTTATAGCTAGGTCTAGTGTTAGTTCTAATGCTAGTGTTCGTTTCATTGAACTAGAAAGTTTTGGATTTTAAAGTTTGGAAAAACCCGACTGTTTCTAGATCTAGTGTTAGTTTCATTGAACTAAAACTAGAACCAACACTAGACATAGAAGTAGAAAGTTTTAGATTTCGATTTTTTTTGGTTTTAAAGTTTGGAGAAACACGACTATTTCTAGTTCAAGATCTAGTGTTAGTTCTAATGCTAGTCTTAGTTTCATTGAACTAGAACTAGTAAGTTTTGGGTTTTAAAGTTTAGAGAAACCCGACTGTTTCTAGGTCTAGTGTTAGTTCTAACGCTAGTTGTAGTTGTAATTGTAATGCAGCGCTAGACCAAGAACTAATCTGGGCTAAACCCAAATGTTTCTAGTTCTAATGTTAGTTCTAGTGACAGCGCAACTATAAAACTAGAACTAACACTATACCTAAAACTAGAATCATTCGGGTTTAGCCGTCTTTAGAGACGTGCGGCTAAACCCAAATGATTCTAGTTCTAATGTTAGTTCTAGTGACAGCGCAAGTGTAAAATTAGAACTAACACTATACCTAGAACTAGAATCATTCGGGTTTAGCATTAGTGTTAGTTCCAATGCTAGTGTTAGTTATAGTTTTAGTTGTTATTCAACCCTAAATTGTTGTAGATTTTTCATTGAGATGGGCGATACCCAACAATCCAACGAAGGTAATAAACACCTAGAATTGATTGTTGATCGCGACCGTGATGTAGTTCTTGATATATTTTGTATACAAAAGGTGAATGTTAAAGTTTTTGTTGATATTAAAAACAAAAATTTTTATTCATTTATATTAAATTCTACAATATTAGAATAGTAAAACTAAGATATATTCCTAAATATATTTAATCTTAACATCTAAAAAAAGAACCTTACAAATTAATCATGTATTCCTTTTACCAATTCTGTAGCCATATCTCATTTTCTCCATAATATAGTTTAATCTAATTTTAAAGTCCACAAAAAAACCAAAATTTTGACTTTTTTTCATTGTAGAGTTTGTACTCACATACACACATATACAACAATCTAATCTAAACATAAACGATATTATTTAGAATAGATCTATCAATATATAAATGTGCTAAAGTATAATAATGAAATATATAATATAACGAAAATCGAAAAGTAATTATATTTTTTTAACAAACAAAAAAAATCTTTTTCTCCGAAATATATCTTTCGTGTAATTTTTAAACTTTCAATTATTTATGTACATTTAGTACATATGTTAACAATATTATTTACATAGATATTGAAATACGTTTTTATTTTAATTGTATTTTCTTAAGAGAATAGTTGTTTTCAAAAAATTAATGAATTGTATTGCGAAAAGCTTATCTAAAAAACTCCTGTACAAAATATATTTACAACCCAAAATGATGAATTTCATCATTTTAATGCAAAATTATATCTCGTCGTTTTCGAAACTTTCTTCTCCCCCCCTCCCGTTTTCTTCGAAACTTTTGTCAGCTGTCAAATTAACAATTAATCTGGGTTGTACAGGAATTTCAGATGAAGCGCCACTGCTGCTCAATGGTGAAGCTTTCCCTCCACCACTCTCTTCTATACTGAGATCACTGCAAACTGTCGTTCTATCCGGATCCGTATTATCCGAATTTGAAATAACCGAATTCGACGTTGAATCTAAATCGGTGGGATTTCTTTCTTCCATTGCAAATTCAAACATATCCGGTGGCGGTTCACTCAATGAACTACACATTTCGGGTCTTAAAGTGTAAGCTTCAGTCTTTTCGCATGGTGATGATGATGACGATGATTCCTTAGTAGAGATATTTTTATTCGGATTTTCGATTTGTTCATCATCTTGATTTGTACTTTTAATTTCTTCGGATGAAGTTAACATTTTTTCGATTTCTTGTTCTTGCGTCGATATCGATGTTGATTCTGAAATATTTAAAGTTTCAGTTTTTGCGTCTTCTTCCTCGGTTAATAATGGCATCGATATTGAACTTGAAAAACTTTTTTGATTTATATCAGAATCGTCTAAAGTAGGAAGTGAATAAACGAAAGACGGACTATTCATACCGGAAGAGGTGACTAAAATTCCCGGATCTTGTATCGCAAGTGGCAAATCTAAATTTTCGAGTACTTGGTGATGTTGATGTTGCGACGCAGTTTGAGAAATGCTCGGGTCTGTTATTGTAATTGGTAGAACGACATTTTTCGTGCCTTGATCTAAAATATCGCTTTCATCGCCGATTTTTTTACTATTCGTACTCGGAACTTCCAAAGGCGTCATAATCGGTGAACTCATTGTGTTTGTTTCTAAAACATTCCCAACGTTAATTGGAAATAAACCGGAATTTGGGCTAAGTTGAGATGGTTTTGATGGAGGTTCTTGTTGAAATACATCCGTATCGGCTAAAGCTGCCGCTAAAATATCTTGATTTTTACTTGATCCGGAAAAAACGGGATTTCCACTTCCTTCAATATTTTCAGTTTCTTGATTCATTAAAAGCATTGAATTATCGGCGTCTGTGTTTATTAAAATTTGTTGACCATCAGTTTGAATTAAAACATTTCCTCCATCAGTATTCGCCAATAAATTAGCTAAATCTGTATTTCCCTCAGCTAAAGAATCTAAAAACTTTTGAGCACTCACTGGATCACCGGTTATTATTAATTGACCCATATCTCCCGCATTTACAACGGCTTGAACGTTTTGGGATTGTTCAATTTGGGATAAATCATCAGATATATCTTGATGTATATTTTCTTGTAAACTTTGATTAATATTTTCTTGCAAATTTTGTTGGATAGTTGATGATACATTTTGAGACAAACTTTGTGTTACAGTTTGAGGTAAATTTTGCGAAACATTTTGAGATAAACCTTGCGATACACTTTGTGTTAACACATTTTGATGTTGAATTTCACTACCTCCTTTATTAATTTTTTCCTCATCATCTTGTCCAATTTGTAACAAAGTATTACTCAAATCGCCGCCCAAATTTAAATTAGGATCCAATGACATTAAAGCTTCGCTATTAAGCGGCGTTAAATTTCCAGATTCATCAATTGTAACTAAAACATACGATTGTGGTTGTCCATCGATGGCTTCACTTGGTAAAGCTAAAATTTGTCCTTCGTTTATATTGATTAAAGCCCCGTTTCCATCGCGGATAACGAATTGAGGTTTTTTTGTTTCCGATTTATCATCGTTTGAGAGAGTTGTTTTTTCGACCTTTTTCGCGGGTGAAATTGGAGCTAGAGGTGGGACGCTTTGCATTTTTTGTTGCATTTTAACGGGATCTTTTTTCGCGTAAGATTTTTTGATCGGGTGTGGTTTCGGTGATGGTTTAATCGTTTGAGTTTCTTTTAATTGGCTTTTAGCGGTTGCCCGATTAATCGCTTGTAATTGTTCGGCAACTTGCTGATCTAACAAAGCATCGTTTGATCCTTGTAGCTTTTTAACGGTTTGTCCTTGGGGGTTTTTGATGATAATCGTTCTTTGTTGGCCGCTTGGGCCGGGTTTTAATGGGGTTGTTTCGGTTAAAAATTTTTGTTGGATCGGGCGTTTTAATTTTGGCTCGATTTTAACGTTTTTCGTAATCGGGTTTGAACCTAAGGTAGTCGTTACTTGGCCTTTTGAGGTAACAATCGTTTGTGAGATAATGTTAGCACCTTTTATTTGAGTATCTTTGGATAAGATCTGTTTTTGTATGATACGTTTTTTCGGGCCAATTAATTGTTTTTGTTGTTCCGGCGTTAAAAGAACTTTTTGTTGTTGACCTTGACTATCGGTTAATATCATTATTTTATTTCCCGTGGTTGAGGTTGTTTGAGTCATTGGACTTGAAATTTGAATTTTTTGGTGATGTGGAGGTGGAGGTTTTTTAACTATAGCCGGTCGCTTCCCTACCGTGTATTTAGTTCCGGTTGGTTGCGAAGAAGTTGAAGGGACAATGATAAATTTCCCTGGTTTACCTTGTTGGGTAATTATCGCGGGTTTTAATAATTTTGTACTACTCGTTTGATAAACTTTTTGTACCTTTTTATTGCCCAAAAATCCCTTCGAAGCTATCGGAGTTAATTTTTGGGCCTCTTTTGATGAAATTATTTTATTAATCATTTTCATTGAGCTCGTTGCTGAAGTTGTTACCGGCTTTTTAATCGGATTAATTTGTTTAACACTCTCCGCTGGTAAAATATGAGGCATTTCCATAGTTTCTGCAGGCAAAATTTGGTCATCCAAAACAATCGGCATTGAGTTTATATCATAGAGATCTTCTTGGGTTTGAGTTACACCCGGTTGGATAATATCACCGCTCGCTGTGATGATTGTTTGTTGTAAAATTCTTGGTTTCCCCGTTACTTGAGGTTTTGGGGATGATTTCTTTATCTCAACTTCTTCAGTTACCAATTTCTTAACGGGTTTTTTAATAATAAATGTATCAATATCTTCGATATCTTGATAACTCCTTTTAGCTGTTACCTTTTTAACATGAATTTCCTTCTCTGTTTCTTCACTTCTCTCAAGAATTAATTTCGGTTTATCCACTTTTTTTGTTATGATTTTCGTGTTCTTATCAACTTTAACTTTAACCTCTTTTTGTGGAGTTTTCTTTTCGCTTGTTAATATATCAAAAAGTTTCGTTGGGTTACGACTTTCTTTTTTGCTTATTTCATTGGATTTAGCTTCCTTTTGAGTTACTTCTTTATCAATTTCGATTTGATCGATTTTGATTTCATCATTTTTCTCCTCATTTAAAAATTGCTCAACATCAAATTCCTTCTCAACGATTTTTTCTACTTGTTCTGGTTGTTTCGCTTCAACGTTTATTTCAATTTCTTTTTCTTCGATAATCGGTGGTTTTAAAGCCTCCTCTTCCGGTTCAACTTTTTCCTCAATAATGTTTTGGGGCTCCAAAACAATTTCATCGCTTTTCTCTTCTTTACAAACCTCGACTTGATCATTTTCGTCCGATTTTTTAATCTCAATTTGATCTAACTTCTCTTCCAACTTTTTAAAATCATTTATCTCAGACGTTTCATCTAATTTTTTTTCATCTTCTGATGATATTTCAGGTAATTGAACCTCCTCCTCACAAAAATCCAACGAGAAACTAGTTAATGTGACAGGTTTTTGTGTTTCTGGTGCTGCCGTTATTTCAACTTGTTTATCAGCAAGATCTTTCTCAGAAACAACAGTAAAGTTTCCTTCAATATCAACCAAATCGCTTTCAGGAATTATAGTTTTTTCAATTTTATCTTGATCTTTTAACTCAATTGGACTCGATTTCAAACAAGTTATTTTTATTTGAGAACTATTTGTCGACTCTTTCTCATCCAGTAAAGAAGATGTTTCAGAAATTACTTTTTCAGATTTATTAGTTTCTATTATTGAAGTTTCTAATAAAGATTCTTCAATTATTTCCTCATTTAATGACTCATCCAACGACTCAATTAATGGCTCACTTAATCTCTCATTTAATGATTCACTTAATGACTCATTTTCATTGATTTTTTCATCCTTTAAACCCCCATCTTTTACATCACTTAAACTCCCATCCTTTACATTTCCTTCATCCTCAGGAGCCTCAATAACTAAATCATCACTTTCAACCTCTTTACCAATTAATAAAGATCCTCCCCCTTCATCAATTTCCTTCTCATCTTGTTCACTTTTTTCTTTATCTTTTTCTTCATCTTTTTCCTCAATTTCTTCAGAAACATTCGATTCCGATTCGATTTTTTCTTCATTTTGAATCATTTCTTTGTCATCAAGAGAAGTTGATGAGTCCTCTTCGTGTTTATTAATCATTGATTTTCTCCGCTTACGTCCGTACCCCCTTTTTTTCGTTTCAACCTCTCGAAATTCCTCCTCATCGCTTTCCGAGTTATTGCTAAATGTTGAAGATGCCGATCTTCGTTTTCGATCTTCTTTGATTTTAATAGGTGGGCCGTCTAAAAGTTTTTGCATCAATTGGGTTTTTAATTTCGATACTTCTAAATTATCCTTTCGTTTCGTTTCATCGTTATCTTTTTCGTCGACTTTTTTCATGGTTAATTCCTTTTCTTTCGAGTTTTTGGTTTCGTCTTCGAAATTTTTCGCGAATCTCTTTTTGGGATTTGTTAATTTTGTTGCGACGATCATTTTTTCGATATCTTGATCTGAAGATGATTTTGAATCGATCGATGACGACCTTAATGAAGATTTCTTGAATTTACCGCTCCGTAATTGAGGGATTTCAGGTAAAATCGGAACGTTGCATTCCTCTAAAACTTTATCAAAAGAAGCTTGAAGATCGTTTTCTTTCGGAGATTCGAGTGATTTTCGTTTTTCAACTGGGGGTAGAACTCTTGGAATTTTTCTACCTTCAATTGTCATCCCAAATTCTTCTTCTTCTTCATTAAAATCAAAACAAGAATCACTTTTCGATTTATTATCAGCATCTTTTGAGTCACTTTCAGCTTCTTTTGAAGAATCTTCAATGTTTGAATCTATTTTATCATCTATTTTAGTAACATCAACTTTATCCTCATCCATTTTTTTATTCTCCATTTCTTTTGTGTTCATTTCTTCCATTTCCGTTTCAGTTCCACTCCCAATTTCTTTTTTATCATTTTTCTTAACACTCAAATTTGTATAATCAGTTTTATCATCATCAGTTTTATCATCATCGGTTTTATCATTATCAGTTTTATTATTATCGGTTTTCTCGTCATCATCATCATCATCCCACTCAGCTAAGATATCTTCTTGAATATTTCTCGGTTTCTCTTTTAATTTATCAACAACCACAGTCTTCTTTTTTCTTGGATTCCGACCTCTTCGTTTTCTCTTTGGGGCTGGTTCTTCTTCGATATCTTCATCAGATTCTTCAGTGCTACTTGAATCAGAAAAAATCGGAACTCCTTTTGATAATAAAGCAATATCTTCATCGATAGTTGAAGTTTTTGTAAAAGAAATTCGTTGGGATTTTGGCGGTTTCTTTGTGGGGGATTTCTTTTTGATTTTTGGAGGGGTTATAATCATTCCTTTGACATGGAGTTTATGGTGCATAACGATTGCTTCCATTCGAGACGCCCGAAAATCGCAAGATTGACATTTAAAGTCCATTTCCGGTTTGTATTGTTGTTTTGCGGGTGATTGAATGAGTTCGCGAACAACATGGTCATCATTTCCAGTGAAACGGGGATGAGTAATGATTACAGAAGAATTTTTCTTTGAAGAGGAGTTCGATGATGGAGAAGATTCTAATCAAATTAATACAGTTTGGACCCAATAAAATTAATAATTTAATAACTTACTATTAAGACTTGGTCTTCCTCGCCCTCGCGATGGCTCCTTCAACTTTTTATGGCTGGCTGGGGTACCAAAAATAGCTTCAATATCAGGTTTCTTTTTAGGTCTTAACTTCGGATCATCAAGAATATTAAGATCACCACCTGTTCTTGTTTCTGCTTTACAAATATCTGAACGAAACTTCTCCAAATATGAAGGTTTCGCCGCGTGAACTTCTATGAAGGAAGAAACAAGGATAAACAAAAGTCTAGCATATTCAGCGATTTTCACCAAATTTCACTTTAATTAATAATTAATAATAAATAAAACTCAAAAAAAAAATAATTTCATACTTACAGGCGCCATATTGATGAATTACTCACATTTTAATCACTAGATGTCACCACCGCCAATCAAAAACTATCTCTAAAAACCCATTTTTGCAAAAATAAAACTAAAAATGTAATATATTATAAAAATTTAAAAAAGATCTTTTAATATCTCAATAATATCCCTAAAAATAATTAAAAAGAACTTTTTATTTATTTAATAAATCACCCCCAATTTAGTTGATAGATGGCGCCATATGAAATCATATCAAAATTAAATCAAAAATTGAGTTAATTCAATAAAAACATTTAATTTAATTTGGTGAAAATCTACATGCACCTGAATTAATACTACTTAATCTAATCAAAAAAAAACATATTAACTTACTTAGTCCTTTTCTAATAAAATCATACTTCTTATTGCAATTATACAAATAAATATAATCCAAATTTCTTATGTACTGACTAAAAAAGAAAAATGTTTAGCTTTTTTTACACTAATAATAATAATTAACATACAAACTATCTTCATCAAAAAATTTTACAGAAACCAAAGGGGGTTTCTGAAAACTTGTTTTGATATCCACAGGAAGATTGTCAAATGAAATAACTTCTCCAGGCCACCAAAACGATCCCAATTTAACCCAAACGACGGTCCCTTCATGATACTCGAGCGGTGTTTGATCACACATTTTAACACTTTAAACTTTTAAAGCACCATAAGTTGATGACAAGAAATAATGACGAACATTCACATTATTCTTTTAATTAATAAATAAACGTCCCCTGTTTTGGGTTCTAAAGCATTTAAAAATAGAATCTCACTTGGTAGTCATAACGCTAACCATAACCAAACTTTTTTTTCGTACTACAATTGGACATTCAATGAACTTGTTGGCTTCACGTAAGTCGTGCTTTTAAGATGGTTTCTTTTTAAACGAATATTCGCTACGAACTCACCGGATATTGATATTTTTCGGTTGGTTTTTTGAAAAATATTTATCTTGTAACAAATTTACTTGTCACAGACGTACATGATTTTCCCATAACACATTTCGATATTAGCGTCGTCAGAATTGCCACCTTAAATTTCACCCGCCTTCGAAAAGGTTTTATTATGATTTTCAATTTATAGCAAATAATTTTATAATTCTTTTTATTATTAAATAATTAGTTATAAACAATCAATTAAATCATGAATTGTTTTTAAATAATTGTAGTTCAAGTTTTGAGAGAACTGAACAATGGAAGTTTCAGTGAGGTTTTATTTTTAAGGTTGGTTATAATTTATTACTGTAAACGTCAAATTTTCTTTGGAGAGAATATTTTTTAGGTTAATGGAATTTTAAATGATTGGTGTCAAAGTTCTTGTTATTGTTGTTATTATTTTTATTAAAATAATTATTATAAAATCTGTATTTATAAATAGTTTTAAATTGCCTATTAATTAATTTACATTATGTACTAGATGTTATAATAGACGAAGAGAAAATTTGCTTAAGAATTTGTGGTAAATTAGCTAAATCTGTACATACAAAAGCTCTTCCTGCTGGCAATTGTTCAGAGATCCTAAAAATTAAACATAAAATAAACTTTTAATGACAATTAATTTTAACTTACATCTGAGCTTGATTCCCAAGACTTCCAATAAAAATCATATACGAACTAACTTTTTCATGCGAAGTTAATGCAGCTCCAAGTTTAGCGGGTGAAATTCCGTACCTTTGAAGGTTAGCATCCGAAAAAATAACAGTAATTGCTTCATCGCAATCATCTTCCATTGCCAAATCAGCAATAGCTGTTTGAGTTGCCTCAACGGTGTGATCACCAGACCAGCAAAATTGGGCGTGAGCAATCATTACTCGCAACAAATCTAATCGTTCTTTATTATTTTTCGGTGGATTTTTTCGTTTAACAAAGTCAATTCGATCAGCATCACCAGAATGACCCAAAATATCATATTGTATTTTGTCTTCAAATCCTTCAAAAGCTTCCATTACCATCAAAACAGCTTCTAAGGTCCGATCCAAGCGACCATCAAAAGAATTAAACCTGTACATACTCGCTGAGACATCAACAACAATTCTAAAGAATTTTGGTTTTAATTGAGGCGCCCCTAATTCGGGGTTTTGTTCAGTTCTTCGTCTAAAAACATTTTTTTCGCCTAATAAACCATCAATTAATTTAATATCATCTAAATCCCCGGATGTTTGATGTCTTGTCCAATGTCTTTCTTTATTTTTAGCTTGTAAAGTGCCTAAAATAACCCTTAAACTTTGTACTTGTCTTGCTACAGCATGCGCAAATTGATTATAAAGACTTGCATCATATCCACTCATCCCAATTTCTTTTAATTTTTCTTGAAAAGCTTTTCTACCCATTTCTCGTGCAGCTTGTAAAACATGTTCGGGAACCGATGCTTTTTCTTCGTCAGAAAGTTGATGAACTGGGTGGCCTTTATCTAAACGATAAGGCCCCCCTTTTCCACCTAATCCAGCGGTATCTCGACCTCCAGTACCTCCAGCCCAGGTGTTTCCACCAACGTGCGGGTCATTTTTCGGATCTTCTTTACCGTGTTTAGGCGCTGAAGTATCTTTACCACTTTTTGAGTCAATTGTAACTTGTAAATACTCTTTAGCACGTTTTAAAGCTAAATATTCAGCTGTAAAAACATTTTTGTCCGTAAATCCGTGTTTGTGGAGGACTCCACCGACGGTTTCTACTACTTCAGGGCTGTAACGATCGAAATCGAATACGTTGAAGATTGCATCTTCGATATCAGTGTGAGGGAATTTCTAAATTATATAATAGTTATTTAAAATATTTAATTTAATCTTTATTTACCTGTAAATGCTTCACTATATTAACAACCTCCCTTGTAGAATATGGATAATTAACTAATCCTTGATCGGCCATATTTCTTAGTTCAGAAAACACTTTAACCAATCTTTGGATAGTCTCAAGAGGCACATTAGGGCCATATTGCTGTAACATATCAATTTCTGATTTTCTCGTTGGGTTATCTACAGCGTGACTACTAAATAGGTCGCCTAAAGCACCGAAAAAGTCGTTTCCTAAGAATGGAAATCCAGGTCTATTTGCTAAAACGATTATCCTAAAATCTGGATGTGTTACGATAAATTTCGATTTATCAATAATATTTGGTGGTAAAGAAGTAACAATTCTTCGGCCATCACTTAAAATCATCTGTCCAGATTCAACTAAAGTTTTTAAAATGCACGTTACATGAGTTGGGGCTTTATCAGCTTCATCTACGACGAGAACGTGACCGAATTTAACCGCTTTTACCAATGGTGAATCCTCATGGACTAATAAACCATCAATAACGCTTGGTTGGACAGTTAAAGTTTGAACTGTGGTGTCCCGATGTAATTGAATATATTCTCTTGGGCGATTTAAAAGTTCTAAAAATCGATCGACGATTTTATTTTTGCCAACACCTTGATTTCCAACCAATAATAAATGTTGTCCCAATTGAAAATCTTGTAACAAAGTTTCCATTAATTGAATATGTTGGGGGACATCATAAAACAAAATATTAGGTACTTTGGTTAAATTATCAGTTTGAAAAACAGGACTCGAAGTTTTTCCTATCGTCAAAACCTTATCAACAATTCCATATTTAACACTGACATCTTCGTCGGATTCGACTTTTCTAATTCCTAAATTATTTAATGTTCTTTCTAAGGCGTCTCGGGTTAAATTCGGTAAAAATTTCATCATAAACGTCGCTTCGATAGTTTCGTAAGCATCATCGGTTGAATATTTCTGCATCCTCGACGCGATTCTTAATAATTGCCTTGTAGATAAATGCCCTGATAAATTTCTTAAAGTTGGGTCTAGATGTTCACGTAAAACGTGAGCTAATTCGATTATTTGATGTAAAGGTTTCGAAATCGCTCCAAATTGAGTTGTTATTATGTGCATTTCTTCTAGTTTTGATAAAGGTTTCGCTTCGTGGAATGTAAATAAACTTAAAACTTCCGGTGACATCCAATTTCCACCCGTTTGAAAAATTGGGGGTTCTCCGATTGCGATTATTTTAAAATCGGGGTGAATCGGATAAATTCCGTTAGATTGTAATTGATCCTCGGTTAATTTAAATTCGGTTTGAAGAAATTTATATTTCTCATAGTTAATTAGACGTTTACCATCGTGAAGTTGAATTTCGCGATCATGAACTAGTCTGTGTAAGACGGATAATGTGCTTGGATGAATTCGATGGATTCCATCTAAAACGGCGATTTTTCCTTCTAAAGCTGCTGTAATTAATGGCGAAAACCTCCAAATTGTATCCCCGTTATCCAAAGTGGTTCTTTGTTGAATTAAATCCCTCGATGTCATGTCTTGATATAAAACGATCAACTCCGTTTCTTTTCCTAACATATCCGCTAGTTGATTAATCAATAAACTTTTTCCACAACCTCGAGGGCCAACGATACAAAAATCACCCACCATAAAAGACTGCATCATTTCATGAATCAATAAATTTTGATTTTCAGTTTCAATGTAATTCCCATTTTTCGATTTTTTTATTTCTTTCGGTTTGAATAAACCCCCCAATTTTTCAGCGATGTTTTGTAACGATATTTTCGGTTTCGTTTCAACCCCAACTTTTAACATCACCAAAAGATCTTCAACCGATTTGATTCCATCTTTTAATAAGGTGCGATACGGATAAAGTCGATAAAAAACGTTATAAACTGATAATTCCGGGTTTCTTTCCAACATTTTCGCGGCAATTGGAAGGTTATCCACGGGGAAATCGGGTAAACCTAAATTAGATGCTTCTTTGGTCATTAAAACGAATGCCGCATCGAGGAGGTTAGTTAGTTTTTCTTTTGGTACGTTGGGAGCGATCGTTTGTAATTCTCCAAGCCATTCCTGTAAGAAAAAAAAAGTTTAAATTAAGAGTTTTTAAACATTTTCTTTGTGTGAATTTTACAATTGTGTGGAATGGTGTTAATAAATCATAGAGAACATAGAGGTGAATGTTTATTGTGGCAACCTCGAGGAATTTATAGTTGGAAACTTCCGGCCAGGGCCGGATTATAAAAGAATGATATAAATGGTTTATTTTAAATTGAATGCTAAATGCTGTATCTTTTCCTTTTAATCCACTCCTGCTTCCAATTACAAGTTCAAACCTGTGATTATTGCAATTGCTTTGGAAAATATTGAACACAATAACTTCCCTTTTGATTTAATTTACTTATCGTGTACAAAAGTAGGTCAAAGGTGTAAAAGCCAAAATTTTACAGGAAAGCCACTTTTAGCGACCATAAATTCCCTTGCGTGTCACAACAAAGAAGAAATTTCAACGTCACCGAGAAAGACGATTAATAACTCTAATACAACCCGAATGGTTTCTGAAAAATTAAACTTTTAAAGCTAATTGTTAAGTTTTATTTTAAAATCATCACTCTCTAGTCTAGACGGAACCGATTTGTTATCGTTTATTTAGAAAAGGGGGCGCTTATACAATTCAATTAATCTCTTTTCGATTTCCTTTAGATGTTTTTTTCTTTTTCTGATCAAAAATAACGAGGGTCTGCCGCGATCCAAATTGAATGTAGGTAGTGAGATAGGCACGCCACAACTCCACTGTGCGGGAGGTGCTTAAATTTCCCCCCAACCCCCTTTTTTTCGGTTGGCGTATTTATCACCGGTAAACATGCGAACCAAGAAATGTTCGGGTTTTAATGGTGCAATTACAACGATTGTTGTTGATTCATACGATTAATTGAACGATGTACCAGGAAAATTAATTCAGTTTATTATTGAGGTAGGTAGTTGATAATTTGGAATTGTTTTGGAACATGAAATAAAGAAATTTTTACTTATAATAGTTTAATACATTGATCTAAAATTAATTTGACTTTGCAAAATTTTAATAACACCTAAAATACAACTTCTAAAAAACATAAACATAAAACTTTAAAACTAGGTCGCTTTCAGTGCGATTTTGCCGCATTGTTTAGATATCTTGATGCCATTCCAAGAGATAATTCTTGACACGAATCGTTTTGATCTGCGCAAAGGTGCCGTTTCGTACCACCGGGTGGAAGGTGGAACTGTATAAAGGTTTTATTTCCGGCCCGATACCACAGAAGGTAGGGTCGTTTATCCGAATAAGTTGCGTGTCACCAAGAAATTGGAAACGCATTGACATCGAGTACAAAAAAGAAACAGAAAATGTGTTATGGAAAATCGTTGGGAAAGTAGTTCGAGGCCGTTATTCGTAAAAACGATTTGGAACAAAGATCATCATCATGTCATTTTGAATAGAGGGGATCCCTTAGAAGTTTTGGAGGTTCCAAAAAGTATTAACAAGAAAATTGTTGGGAGTGTTAAAAAGAGTAGTGCAAGAAGTGTAAGTATGGAAAGTGAAAATGAGAATTTACACGTTTCAAAAATAAAATTTTTGGTGGCTAATGAACATTTTCAACCGGAAAAACGACCCGAAACGCCTCGCTTGGACTCCAATAAAGTGTATACGATCACCGTCCAACCGAAAATGTCGCTAAAATTTAAAAATATAACCGAAGAAATGATCAAAACTAAAAAGAAAAACGCAAAGAAAACAATCCCAATAAATGAAATCGAACCGAATCCAAACATAATTACATCAACAAACATTTTATCACCGTATAAGAATTCCAACATTAATTTCTACCAACAAAGTTTAAGCGACAGAGTTATAATGTGGATGAATATGACTCACACAATAGATACGTTTCAAAATAATGAAAGGAAACGAGCTGTAACCGCACCCGCTTGCCAAAATCAATCCAAACCACCTGTTTTTATTACGGATAGGAGAAAATTGAAATTGAACAGCGCCCAAAGACAATACCGATTTCAAAAAATTGATGATTCCGATAGTGAAGATCAATTTATTGAAAAAAATCGCGGAAAAGGGAGTAATAATTCAATTAAAAATAACGAAAAGAAAAAATGTCTCAGCGCCAAAAGACAATTACATATTTTTATGCCGAATATTCCTACTAAATCGGAATCCGGTATTAGTAGTAATATAAGTTCTTTGTTGATGTCGAAATAATAATTGTGAATAAAATAATAAATGAATGAAATCGATGTAAGGAGTTCTTTTAAAGTGAACGACCTAAAATTGCCCAAATAAGAAATAATCGCGTGATAAAGAAAAATGTAGGTAATTTCTTATTTTAATGGAATATTGAGGAACTAAAATCAATAACAAAATGAAAAATAAATAAAATAAGTAAGTCTGAGACGCACGAAACCCCGAAATTTTCTAGTTCTAGGTTTAATGTTAGTTTTAATTTTAATTATTATTTAGCCATCTTAAGAGGTGTACAGCTAAACCCGAATATTTCTAGCTCTAGGTCTAATGCTAGTGTTAGCTTTTATTTTAGTTGTTGTTATTCAGCATTATAATATATTTTTATTGAACTAAAACTAGACTAGAATGTTTCTAGTTCTAGCTCTAGTGTTAGTTCTAATGCTAGTGTTAGTTATATTTTTATCAATTATGTTTGTATTTAAACATAATTTTTAAAATAACCATCGTTTTTATTTAAAAATTCATTTAATAGAATTTTTATTATTAGATTAATTCGCAAATGACGATATTTCACATCTCCTTTTATTTAATCTGTCACCGTAATATTCTCTTCTCTATCAATACTTTTATCTTATCTAAATAATAATATATTGTAGTTGATGAGCGTTAAATACATGCTGAATCACTGCAGAAGTTCAAAGTTGATTACAACATTAAAATTTGTGGTTGTCATAATTTATATTTCATTTTATATGATTCTCATAAAGAAATTTTAAAAAAATTATTAAAAATAACTTACCTGATATGTATCACTGGTGACATCTCTTGCTTGAAATCGGGATCTTAATGGTGGATCCAAAGGATTTCCGCGATATCTAAAGAATTAAATCATCAAAAACAGTATTTTAAAACGAAAATTAAAAATTACTTTGGAATTGGTAATCCTAAAGCTATAACTCTAAAATTTTCATCAACTTTAACTAATTTCCAAGAATCCAATTGATCTTTAGTGTAACCTTTCAATAATTGTTCATATCTATGAGATGGTATCAATAACCTTCCATCTTCTAAATGCATCTCGCGATTTTCTAATAAATTATTTAAAACTGGTAAAACATTTCTTTCAGCTTTTTCAATTCCCTCTAAAATTAAAATTCGTCCAGTAACTGCAGCTCTAACAGCGCTCTAATTAATTAAATAAAATTAATGTTTCAAAAATAAATGTTATAATATCACATTACTTGATCAAAATACTTTGCAGAACCTCCAACTATTTCTCTTCGTTGCTTTATATCCGCTTCAGTGGTATCTCGACTTAAAGCAATATATTCATGTTCTCTGTTAGTCATTTCTAAGTATTGCATAGCTAACTGCCTTCTTCTCGGCCCTGGAGGACCAATTAAAAAGATATCTTGCCCCAAATTGTCTTTTTGCATCATCCATCGTAAATGATGTAAGGTGCTTTGGCTTAAATTATCCTTGACTACAAACAATACATAAATATCGAAAAATCAATTCAATTTATACTCTTTCTTACAATAATTTCTCGGGATATATTCGGGATGATTTTCTTTTTTAATTTCTTTGGTTACTCCGCCTATCGTTACAGAATCACTTGCTAAGTAAGCTCTAACATATCCTGGATTGACACCATTACTGTGATGATGTAAAATGCGAAAAAGGACGTTTAGACGTCTATTAGCAGTACTCGTTGATAACATGGCAAAAAGAAAAACGGACTGAGCTATTTTTGATAAATGTACTTTTATTTAAATAGTTTCGAACAAGTTTGGTTACAAAGGTTATATTTACGTCAAAAACAATACGGCGTTGTTTAGATTACTCTTTAAACGTATATGTTAATATAGTTGCATTTTAAACTTGAGAATTGTTTATTAATAAATTCTAAACTATTTAGTATAATTTTAGTAATTATATAAAATGTTAAAATTTTATTTAATAATTAAATTAAAATGTTTTTAAAATTTTAATTTTTAATATTTCCCATCCTGATTTAGATGTCATCTGTCAATGTCAATATAGTTTGTAAATATCAAAAATGTCGCAAATCAGCACACGAGAGAAGCTTTTATATATAATCGACGATATTGAACTAATTTCGAAGTAAGTAACTCTCTTTTCCTCACTTTTATTCGTATTTCATTCATTTTTTCACAGAGAATTAATAGAAAATGCAATCGCACCAAAACAACTAAAATTAAGCGGACCTGAGTATTCCCAATTAACCGATTTGTTAGTTTCGAAAGACAAAGAATTAAAAGATACCTTAAAATTAGCTTCAGAGCAAGCTCAAATCGATAAAAAAATGGATATTTTAAAAGCGGAGGTTGATCGACAAGACCAAGACATCAACCAATTGCAAAAGCAATTAAAAGAAGCCGAACAAATTCTTTCGACTGCTATTTACCAAGCTAATCAAAAATTACAAAGTATTAATCGAGCAAATAAACGCCCCGTTCCGTCGGAAGAACTTATTAAATTTGCGCATCGTATCAGTGCATCAAATGCTGTTTGCGCCCCTTTAACATGGCAACAAGGTGATCCAAGAAGACCTTATCCAACAGATATTGAGATGAGATTAGGGTTTTTGGGCCGATTTAGTGACTCAAATAATGGTCAATTATTGCAACAACCTAATCTAAGTGATATGCATCGACAGGGACAACCTGGTGAAATTCCGGCGTCTAATCAAAATCAATTTGCTTGGCATCCTTCTGGAGAGATACACATGAGTGTAGGGCAAGGAAGTGTTTCGATGGAAACTAGAAATCATAAGCAAGAAAATGAGGATGTTGAGGTTATGTCTACAGATTCTAGTAGCAGCTCTTCAAGTGATTCTCAATAGAAACTTTTTTGAATAAAATAAAAATCTCAAAAGATAAAAAAGATTAATTTTAATAAACTTATTATAATCATTAAATTTTTTTAGTAATTTTTAGGTTATGTCTTAAAATAAGTATAGTTTTAGAGATTAAAAATTGTAATCATCTTTATTTAATACAAAATATTGATATTAAAACGTCCCTTTATATTAACGTTGAGTACTTTTTGCAATTTGCTCCTTCAGTACCAAGATACTGTTTCGTTGCTCCGGGGGTAACAACCCAATTTGTTCATCGGAAAGTTGTAAAACTTGCATGATTAGAGCTGCTTTTTCTTGATCTGAAGCACCCGATGGTCCGATATTGGGTGAAATTGCAGCTACACCTCTAAAAGCTTGCTGTTGAACCTGAACAGGAGCTGGTACAGGTTGTGGACGTACACTTGGAGTTGCAGTTGGAGTTTGAACAGGAGCTAAAAATTAATTTTAATTTTTTTTTAATCTATATTGTATTTATTACCTGTATTTTTTTGTCTTGGATCACCCCTTGTAGGTAATCTAGTTTCTGGAGGATAATTAGTTCTCGGATCTCTTGCATAAGTGTCTCCAACTGGCGGCAATGGATTTGGTAATTGTGTAGAAATCGTTCTCATGTCCTGATCACCCATGTTGCGATTCATCCTTGGATCTGGCCCTCGAGGATCTAAAGAACGTAAATCCACATCTTGATTTGAAAAAACTGGTTGGCTTCCAGACAAAGTTGTGGCCGGAGTGAATTCTGAACGATTTATTGTTGAATTTGTATTTTGAGGGGTGCCAAAATTAGTATTAATCGGCACTGGTCCAATTACAGGTTTATCAGAAGGTATTAAAGGTGTTGGTTGAGCGGTTTGGGGATGTAACATACTCTAAATTAATTAAATTTAAAATATTAATTGAGAATTAAAAGTTGGGTTAAAAAATATTTACACAAGCAGTTTGGGGATCTAATATTCTCATCACCACTTGAGCTTGAAGTAAAGCATAAGTTAATTGGGGATTTTGTAACAACATGGTTCGAGCTTCAGTTGGGTTGTTCTAAAAAAATTATATTACAAAAATAAATTTTAAAAAATAATCAATAATTTACTTGAATACAAAATTTCATTTGCTTCATTAATTCAAACATTTGTTCGGGTGGTAAAGAAGCAACAGCTTTACTAATAGCCTCCGGTGCTTTATCAGCTTGAATTGGTTCCCCATAAGGATTTTCAACTGGTGGTTGATTCAATAAATTCTGCATTTCCATTCTTGATTTTTCCGTACATGCATTATCAACTCGAAGATTTCGCCCTCCTATCTCATAACCATTCAAGTTACGCATTGCGCTCAGTGCAGTCTCTTGGTCTCTGTATTCGCAAAAACCGTAACCTTTTGGTTTACCAGTTTCCCGATCAAAAACCAACCTTAAATTTTTTTAGGTTATATTTAATAAAAATAAAATGAGTTAATAAAAATTTACTTAAATGATAAAACTTGTCCAACTTCCCCAAATATATCTTTAAGTTTCTCTTCGGTGGCTTCATAAGGAATGTTTCCCACTAAAAACATTAAAAAATAGATAAACAAAAAAGAGTGAGGTTATGTTTGTATTTTGGTACCAAAGACGGATCGCATGGATTTATCCATGATATTTGCGTCTAGACTGTCCATTGTTTTGGTTTTTGATTGAAAACAATTAATATATTCAAAATAGTGGGCTTTTTAAGAAATTTTCACGTAATAATCAACGGAATCAAAATTATAACGTTTCTATGACACTAAATGTCAAACGACAATTGTTACAGTGACATCTATTGAGTTTCACTTCATTTTAATGTTTTTTTAGGAAAAATTATAAAATATTTATAAATTTAAGATGAAAAAATTAAATAAAATACGTTTTAAATAAAATTGAGATCTTTTAATTAATTATGCTTAATTTGTTATTTAAAACAGCGGTTTTTATTTACAGCAAACTTCATTCGTATACTTCACATAACCTTAAAAGTTTAAAAAAATAAATTTTAAATCGAAAATGTGTTATTACATTAAACAGTTAGAAGAGAGAATTGTTTCGTGCGAAATCGATTTATTATCATGGAGCGAACGAATGGATTTGGTAGCTTTTTCAAACATAAAAGGTTACAATAAATTCTTGTTTATATTAAATTAAATCAAAAAATTTACAGGAGAAGTTGCTTTGCATCGCTTAAATTGGACAAGGGTTTGGTGTTTAGCCCCTCCGAAAGACGGGGAGTTAGTTAAAGCGTTGTCCTGGAATCCGGATGGGAAATTAATTGCTATTTCTTATAATTCAGGTTGGTTTTAAGGTTATGTTGATGAGATTTTGAATAACTTTCTTCTTTGTAGGTTTAATCATATTAATTAGTATAGAAACCAAAAATATTGTTAATAAACTAGAAGTTCTCGGTGGAATAAATTGCATGGAATGGGGTAGTGAAAAATCTGGGAATAACAATGTAAAAATTACATCAAAAGACAACGATCAGAGTGGTTTTATGAAATATTATGTAAAATTTCGTTTATTATTGATAAATTAAGTCTTATTTATTTTCTTTTAAGGATAACTCATCTACGTTTTTATCCGATCCAGAACCTCTTGCAAGCTCAACTTCATTTGGATCAAATTCTTCGGAAGTTGAAACAATTTACACAATTTTAAACAAGCAATCTCAATTAAACATGTTAATAATTGGAACAAATGATGGTTGCGTTTACATCAGCATTTTTGGTTGCTTTCCTTTAATTAAATATGATCTGCGAGAACAGCTTGGTTTTCCATGTTCAGTTATCAACATTCATATTTCAGATGATTTAAATTTGTTATACGCAACGATAATTAATGAATTTGATGTTGTTCAAATCATCATAATTGAATTAGGGATTTTTAAATCGCATTCAAATGAAACTTTCTCTGTTTGTTGTAAATACGAGCACATAAATTCGATTGTAAATTATCTAGAAAATGCTATAATTGCAATAAAAGAAACTTGCGAAACTATTTTGTTAGAAATGGATTCAAAGTTGTCAAATTACGCGTCAAAAGTACCTCCGGGGACTTTATCCACTGACTTTTTGGATGTTTTGGTTTTTGGAGCTGTCTCTGATTTAATGCATCAATTCTTATTGGAGGATTTAACAAAAAAAGGGCTTGAAAAATTTACTCAAACGATCGAAATGAGTTATGCTAACATACAAAAATTGTTATTAAAAAATGTTACGAAAGTTGCTCAAAATATTACGTATCATTTATCGGAATTAAGGGGGATGGCTCGGTTTAAAGATCGATATGAAATCTTGGGATTAAACGAAGATAAAATTACATTTGCGATTTTAAAAAACGGTGAATTTTTAACGAAAAGTGCCGAAATGCAATTAGTTATTAATTCCTCTATGGCTAATCATAAAATATTTTTTCAATGGTTATACACGGTTATAATGCATGTTACCGATGAACCAATTCCAAGTGAAATGTCGAAAATGTCCCTTGATGATTTAGCACAAATTAGTGAGTTCGTTTTAAATTTCGATAATATTAATGGAGGAAATAATAGCTCAAATAGTACGAAAACTGGGTTTATTATGGAAAGAATCGGACAATATCTCGAAGATTCCGACTTAAAAGTACCCTCTGGGATTGAATCAAACGAATGGAATCGATTTTTAGATGAAAATGAATGCCTTCGCGGTTTAGACACCGTCTTAAATCATTCAAAAACTAATTCTTTAATACAACAATATAATTTATTAAAAGAATCAATTAATGAATGTTTTGATGATTTAAAATATTCCATTGTAAAAAGGTTTGTTATCAAAAAAATAGTCGAGATTAATGCAGAGATTAACAAGGATAACTTAAAAAATTTTAAAATCACCTCTGTTTCAAATGGTTTTGACCGAGTTTCGTTGGCTTATCTCCCAAAAAACTCCTCAAATCAAGGATTTCATTTCTTAGAATTAATCAACACATACAAAAATAACGAGATAGTCGAAATTAATGAATTTAACATTTACATTTCATCTTTAATGAATCACGAAATTATTAATCTTCAATTTTACACCTCCAATTTATTATCGTTGCTTCTCCAAGAATCGAATCAAAATCGAACAGGAGTTATCACCCAAATATCCACATCGATAATCCGAGAAAAATTAAATCAATCTTCTTTGAATAAAGAGATTTTTTGGAGGAATTTGGAAACAAATCCAACATTAAAAGCTACCGAGGGAATGATTGCAGCGGATTTTGCCGTTTCTGGATCTAGAAAAGTCTCGATTGTGTTGTCTGATAATCGACGGAAGGTGAGAATTTATGAAATGGAAGCGGATGAAGATGATGAGGAAGAAGCTGAAATTACTGCGAGTTCGATTAAAGAGAGTGATATTAGTATGCAGGAGGAAGAAAATAGTGATTAATTTAGTAAAGAAATTATCTGTCATGTTATTTGATATAATTTAATAAGTCTAATTACTTAAATTAATTTAACAATACTTCATACTTTAATTACTAAGAAACTCTTGTATTACTAATGGACTTATCTTGTTATTAAAACCTGAATTATTTGTTCTGAGATAAGATTATTGCGATAGCATAAAAAACTTGTGTAGGACATAAACAATTCAGTTAGAAACCATTCAAGGTAGTTTCAACATCATTTTTAAATAAAATGGGTGACGGTAAGATACACACTTAACAACACAGTTACACAATTAACATAATCATTCAACAAAAACAAATTTATTCTAACACAGATCCAGATGCTAGAAGGTTTCCGCCCTACCCATCATATTATCCACCAGGAATGCCACATCCACCCCCTCATTTAGGTCCTCCGGGTTCTCACCCTTCGTTTTATCCCCCAACATATTTCCCGCCACCTCCTCCACCTAAAGAAGTTGAAATTGAATATGTTCCCGAACCGGAACCTGAACCTGCTCCTATTGAGTTAATGCCAGAACCGGCTCCTACTCATACTTATGGATATGGAGGTGAGAATGAAGCTTATCTAGTTAAAAAATTATGTTTAGCTTTTAGTAAGTTATTATATCAATATTTTGTTTGTTACGTTTTGTTATTTAAAGCAGGAGAGAAGAATTAGATTAAATGATTTTCATAACAAGATATGCTTTTTAGATAACAATTTTTTAGATTACAAAAGGATTAATTATGAGTATTAGACAGCTTTGTGGCGATTAATTTTCGATATAATTATCACTTAAGTTCTATAAATAAAGTATTTATCGACTTATTTTTAAAAACTTTCCATATTTCCTTCATTTTTAATAACATTTTTAATACTTCTTTAACAACATAGAGAAAAATTACACAAATTTATTTATTCATTCCTTTTCATTTCTTTATTTAGGTTATTATTGGGTTGATTGTGATGTTTCTCGAGGGGTTTATCCTGCGGCTATAATGGGAGGTGTGGATAGTGATGGTACTCAAATTTATGTGGGGAGAGCTTATCATGGAGGAGATTGGATCCCCGCCAAAGTAATTCCAGAAAAAAACATCGCTTACGTTGCTTATGGTGGTAAAGAAGTTCCAGTTCATCATTATCAAGTAAAAAAATCGTTATAAAAGCTTTCCAATTCTAATAATTTTTTTATTTAGTTACTTTGCGAACAAAGATTTGAATGGGTACCATGCAGTGGTGGAGATATTCCACCGAATGCGGTTATTGGTGGAAGAACCTCCGATGGTGAACATCTTTATATAGGAAGAGTGGAACATGAAGGCTCTAATACTATAGGAAAAGTTCATCCCAGTCATAATTCGCTTTATATTCCATATGACGGGGAAGAAGTTGCTTATTCAGATTACGAAATTCTTATTTTACGATAAATGAATAATATAAACTGAAAATAAAAGGACATTATAAAGTTGTAGAGTGTTGAAAATAAATGTTAAAAATTAAAGTTAAAATTTTAATGTATTTTTAATTCCTGAATAAAATATTATGTACTTTAAGAGCTTCTAATTCTATAAACTACTGATTTTCAACTTAATTATTTAAACAAAATTTAAAAATGTTACCTAAAATAGATTAATACAAATTAAACAGTGCCATCTAGTTACATACGTTTAATTTACTTCTAAAATAATAAAAACTAATTTCATTTTAAATATTAATTTTTATTGACTCTAACTGTCTTTATTCTTTATTTTCTTGTAAACAATTAGGTGACTAAACAATTCCAAGAAAGGAAATTATCATCACGTAAATACGTGCTCGTTTCAAATTTGGTGACCGGCAGTGGGTTGGCACGCATGCGCGTTGACAGTTTCCGCGTCATCGAAAGCGAGACAGGTCTGGACGTGTCGAGAAATACCCTCCTTATAGGCATCGAAACGAAGCCCTAACGTTTAGTTAAGATACACTTCGTTAGTTCAAGTATTCAAAGTGTAAACGTTCTAGTCATAATTTGCGTTGTGTTTTAGCTAAAGAAAGTGTATCAAGATTTTTAGCGAAAATGAATGTGTTGCCAAGAACATCAGGTAAGTTAAAAACGTGGTTAGTTTTTATTATTAATTTAATAATCTCGATTAATAATTATAATTTGAGGTTGGGTTAATATTTTTATGTAAAAAAAAGGTTTTATTGTAATGCCAAGCTTAGTTAATTAATTTAATAAAAGATGGCATCACTCGTTTTATTTTCAATTCGAGATTATTTATAATTTATCAAATTTTTATCATGTTATAAATAAAAATTTATTTTAAATTTGTCGATCAAATATTAATGCAAATAAAATTATAATTTAATAAATTAAATGATCTAATAAATAAGTGTTTGTGGATTTCGTTGAAAGATGGCGCTATTTTTTTAAAAATTTATATAATATTAAGTTTAAATTAAAATAGTTATTATTTTTGATACTTTTAGCTACCATGGAAGCTTGGAACAGGAAACGTTCATACGAAGATGATTTGCTGTTGGACCTCCCATCTCCTAAACGGCCCAAGTACTATCATGTACGATTGGAAAGTGAATGCAGTTCGATAACTTCCGAGGGTGAAGAGAGTATCCATACAATTCAAGACCAAGAAACAGGTAAATTAGCGACCATTTCAGCTTTGTTTGTTAATATTTTGATTACTTTTTGTGATAATAACAAAATGATAACAACATAACCTAAAAGAGTAAACATAACCTCAATTTTTTTAAATCACTTTTTAATTTAAAAATTTACTTATTTAATTATAAATTTAATGTAATTAATAAATTATTTACTATATTTTATTTAAAAATCAGTAAAATTAACGTTTAATACGAAAATGCTGGTTAACTTTGTTTGTGACGTCACAAAACGTGACGTCACATCGAAATTTTAAAGTGATTTTTCGGTATGTTCTACACTTTTTTAATATTTTCAACGTGTTTTTTGGGTAATTTTCGTCGGTTTTTATTCGAAATTGTAATAAAACTTTTTTTTAATTAATTAGATTTGGCGAGAGATCCCTCGGATACAGATACAAAGTCAGAGGATAGTGATTATGAATTGATCGAATACGAGGTGGCGAGTTTGGAGGAGAGTGATGGCCCTTTAGAGGGTTACTTATCAACATCAAGTGGCTCAGAAGTACGCTAGGGTTGATCTAGATTACAAGAGAAACACAAAAATACGTTATTGCTTGGTTATTCAGGATATTTTGCCGGGACTTCATCTGGACATTGAGGATGTTGTAGCGGCCGTCCTAGGTGATACATCGCTGGACGCTTGGGGTTACGATACAGGTCATAGCTCAACGGATGAAATGGACGATTCAAAACCAGGGAGACAGGCGGAGTTTAAGCAGTGCGCCGAATGCAAGGGAGAAAACGATGTACCCCAATTTAGGCTGTGTACCAGCTGTTTTCAGGTTAGAATTGAATTCGAGATTAAAAAGAATTAATTTTTTTTAATTAAAACGAAGGAAGGATTCCTTTTTGATATTAAATTGTTAAAGATTAAATTTCGGGTTGGTTTCATTACTCGTGGATGTTACAAAGAATTGTGAAATTATAGAACGAACACGAACGGACCTGTTTCGATGATGGTGGATGATTCACTCCGATGATAATGTTTTTGTAACAAGAGAAACGAGTAATGTAATCAATAAACGAAGGGGAATGTTTTAATTAATCCTCGATTAACATTGCACGCAGTTAATTGGAGGGTTTTAAAACTAAAGTGTGCTACGTAAAAAATAATTTAAGTGTCCGGTGGTGTGTTTGAGATGAACTGTCTCTTTATTATACGAGTTTTTTTTACTAGACTGGCAATAGTGATTTTAAAAATTAAATTAAATTATTTATTCTTTGCTGTAATGGCAATTAAACGAAATCTTTTAAACCAAAATATTTATTAATGATAGACTCATTTTTATTAATTTATACAAAGGTGAGAAGATTGTTTAATTTTTATTTATTTATTTATTACAAAGTGGTTCAGGTAATACACTTTTTATTTATTTATTTTTTTATGATAATTAATTCTTTATTATTATTTTTTTATGGATATAGGTAAGATTTTTCTTTTTATTTTTATCAAATTTATTTTTTATTTGATTTAATCTTACGTTTTTTATTTTAAATGAACTATTGCACACGCCAGTTCATTTTTCACAGTGTTTGTGGTCCCCAAATTTCAATTGAAACTCATCGTCAAAGTTTCAAATCGTGGTACAGCGTCAATTTGTACAGAACGGAAGGGGGCCCATGGTGTGAATGTTACGAGATTAAAAAAAAATTTTTTAGCCACACAGAGTATATGTTTTGTTTTCGCTTTTTCAGCACTACAAGTGCAGGGGATGCAACCTCATCAAGGACAATCTCTACTTTTTATTATGTAGCTCCTGCTACCAGGTTTGTGATAATCAATATTATTAATCGGTGTGAAAACAGCTGGCCATTTCAGCAAGGTCCCCAAAAATCTGATAGTTACTAAATATACTAAAACATCACACTTTTATTCACCTCTATATGAAAGAAATTCGCCCCAAAAATCCGATAGTTGCTAAATATTCTCTAAAAAAGCTTCCGAGGCAGGAGAGAGAAACATAACCTCAATTCAATTGACAGTTAATTTTTAGTTGTTCATAATTCTCTTAAAACTGTTAATATCCTTTCTAAACCATTCAAAAAGGGAAATTCAGTGTCAGTTACATCTAATTTATTACATTTCGGAAGATTTTGAACGTATTTGACTTTGAAAATTGAATTAAAAATTTGTAAAATTCAAACTTCTTTTGTGGTTGGAGAATATTGAAACATCCAATGGACAGCTGAAATAGAAGAATATATGCATCAAATACGAAGTTTCATCCAGATTAGTCAAGAATTAACGAAGATGTGAATAAAATAAGTTTTGGAGTAGTTCTAAAGAAATCCGCTAGATGGCGTTTTCGAATCCAGTTGCTAAATATACTGTAATAAAGTTTTCGATGCAGATTTTTACCTAACATAACCTCAATTCAATTGACAGTTAATTTTTAGTTGTTCATAATTCTCTTAAAACTGTTAATATCGTTTCTAAACCATCAAAAATGGGAAGATCAGTGTCAGTTACATCTAATTTATTACATTTCGGAAGATTTTGAACGTATTTGATTTTGAAATTGAATTTAAAATTTGTAAAATTCAAACTTCTTTTGTGGTTGGAGAATATTGAAACATCCAATGGACAGCTGAAATAGAAGAATATATGCATCAAATACGAAGTTTCATTCAGATTAGTCAAGAATTAACGAAGATGTGAATAAAATAAGTTTTGGAGTAGTTCTAAAGAAATCCGCTAGATGGCGTTTTCGAATCCAGTTGCTAAATATACTGTAATAAAGTTTCCGATGCAGATTTTTACCTAACATAACCTCAATTCAATTGACAGTTAATTTTTAGTTGTTCATAATTCTCTTAAAACTGTTAATATCGTTTCTAAACCATCCAAAACGGGAAGATCAGTGTCAGTTACATGTAATTTATTACATTTCGGAAGATTTTGCACGTATTTGACTTTGAAAATGAATTTAAACACTTTATATGTGAGTAGAATACTATACTTAGTCCATGTAAATTGATTCCATAAATTTATTTTTTTTAAATAAATTTTTGAATAAAGTTTAAACGTCAATGTGACACAAATTCAATGTTACCAACTGTAACTACTCGAAAGTTTCTAGTGTTAATTCTAGTTTTAGTTCTAATCTTAGTTTAATTGTAACCAACTTCACAACAATTTGTCAAAATTAAATGTCAATTTATGAAACGTCATTTTGTTTTACGAAAATTAATTAATTTATGCTTAAATCATGCGAAAACAGCAATTTCTTAACGTTTAACGTTAACCTTTTGAGGTCAGAATAAGTAAATCTGACCACGCTTTTCGATAGATGGGATGTTTTAGTATATTTAGCAACTATCAGATTTTTGGAGACTGCCGCAGTTAACACGGAACGAGTTTTTAATATGAGGGTAGACAGCTTTTACGAAATCGGAGTAAGACAATTTATTTACGCTAATTTTTCAATTGTATTTATTGCTATTTTTCAAATTGATTAACCTTTGGAATCAAACTTCACTGTATACCGGGTGACCTCGCTGAAATGGCGTGCTGTTTTTACACTGGTAAATTATTATGTTTTCACATTTTGAAATCAAGACTCATTTAACCACATCAAATTAACAATAAAAACAAAACATAACTCAGTGTGCGCTATAAAATAAAATAAAAAAATTATCGCCGATTAATCGAGTAAAAAGGGATTATCGATCCCTTCGAAGAACCCACTAAATTTTTAACAAAAAATAATACGCAGGTTCGAAAAAAATTTTATCCACCCCGTCCCAGACGTTTTCGAAAACAGCGGAGTCCCGATTTGAACGCAACTTCAGGTTCGGCGCCTTCCTCTTCGTCTTCGGCTGTTAATATAGAAAAATTAAAATCTTGTTTGGATGGAATCTCGCAAGAAGGCAGTCTTCCGTCTTCTCAAGATTCGGGATTAGGAGGTAGTCAGGAGATATTCGAACTCCAATTGGATAAAATAGTCGTGCCGGAAGCGGCAATTGAAGATACGAAAAAGAGGAGAAGAAGTCAAGATGAAAATCTTGAAAAATCGTCGAAAATTCAGAAGCAAAACGATGAGGCGTCGACGGAAAAGGAATTATGTACCGTTTGTATGCAAAGTCCGAGAAACGGAGCTGTTATTCACGGAAATACTGCACATGTTTGTTGTTGTTATAAATGCGCTATTAAGTGTTGGAAATTACATAAAAAATGTCCTGTTTGTAATAGAAACATAAAAAGTGTGGTGAAAGTATTTAATGTTTAAGAATTTTTTTTTGGTGTGGTTAAAAAAGAAATATTTAAACCAATTCATGAATTTCATGAGAAAAAATTGGTTGAATTATTTCTTTTTTGGGTATAATTGTCATAATAAGTTTATAATGTACTATATTGGCCCTAAATGGAGTGCTTATTTATTTTTGTGTTATAGTTAAGATTACAAAAAAAAATATATTTAAGTATGTAGTTGGTTTAAATTGAAATAATAAAGATAGTAAGCGTTTTAAATGTTAGTCAAGTTTCATGCAAGCATTTGAAACATTTTTCATCAATTATATTATTATTAACAACCAAAGAACAAATTATTTTTGCTTATTATTCTTATTAAGGGGAGCAAAAATAAATGTATTGAAATTGTAAAAATTGCTTGCCAAGATATCATCAAAGTGGGAATAGAAATCTAATTTATTTAGATAAGAATTTAGATTTAAGTTAAGACTGAAAAAGAATAAAGTACAAGCAATGTAAATACTTGAACCGCGTGTAACTTTGTTAAAAAGTTTTCAACACAATGTTCTTTTTCATAATAAATTGAAAGTGAGTAAATTTTTGTATCCGTTCCATGAAGCTTTTCTTCTAATTTATTTTAGATCGAATAAGCTGTTTACTGTTTTTTTGCATTTTCTTGAGATTGTAACATTTAACAATTTGAAACTGTTTTTTTTTGTGCAATTTATTATCATATGCAGTTAATTAAAACTACTAAAAAAGCAAAACTTTTTTTTCTATTAACCATTAATAAACACACCTTTTTTGTTGTAATTTGCATGAATATTTGATAATTACAATTAAGTCATAACAACCAATACGTAATATCTGTACTATTCTAAAGAATAAAGATGCGCTGAAAAAAAAGGATGTATCTAAAGGAGTTACAAGTCAAAGGCCTCAAGTGTTAGAAGAAGTGGAGCAATTTCAAAATTACAAAACACTTTCAACCTAACGAACTCGTTGTGTGTCTCCAAAAAGTACAAAGCTCCAAACCACTCATAACCAAACCCTTACTTAATTCAAGTCCAAATGTGACATCAATGAGAATGATATGGTGAAGCTGTTTCAGGATCACAGCCAAGAACTTACTCCACAACAATTTATGCAATTGCAAATTGATCAGGTGAAAGCTGTGTAGCTTTGTGTCCGACCTCTTGTTGGAACAAAGCTATAATAATTGCAACAGGAACAATTAATTTAACAATAATAAAGGGTAAGTATGTAAATAAGGAATTGTTCAAGGGATGAATAAAACCTCCATTTATTTTTCTTTCATACAAATTTATTTAAGCACCGATTTTCATGCAAAAAAAAAACTGAAAATAATATTAATAAAGTCAAACAAAATCCTTAAACGTTCTCTTCGAATACTAAAAATGAATAAGAATTAGAATATATGCGCCTAACATATGCACACACACGCGTAATTTTATTTTATAAACAACAACTTTTTCGTTCTTAAATTTTTGTCGTTAATTAAAAGTAGAAAAGCCGCTAAGTAGCGCGGAGGATTCCACCTCGTTTTACAAAAAAGAAACGTACCTATACTTAGTTTTTTTATAATAATTATTATTATACGCTGATATAAAAGTGTAAAAATGATACAAAAAACGGACAGTTTTATTATTTTTACCCACATTTTACGATATTATTATTACAGTGTATAATATTGTATGTGTTTATAAAAAAATGAGCCTTATTGAGTTCCTGACTTTTTTTTGATGGAATGAGAGGACATTCTTTTTGGTCTTTAAAAATGCGTAGGAGGTGTTTTAAAAGACTTTTTCTTTGCCATCTTAAGAACTCTTCTCTTGCTCGATCGTTTCCTTGCTTGGAAGAGGATTCTTTTCGCACGTTTCAGTATGTTTTAACTTTGACGTATCAAAATTTTCAATTCCAGAAATTAACTTTTGTTGTCCTTTTTCTTGTTCAATAACTGTTTATAAAAAAAAATAGTTAAATTTTTATAATTATTGATGGAAAAATAAAAAAAAATTTTAAGCAAAAAGCACATCTTAATATTTACCTTCAACATCAGGCAAAACAACCTTTTCTTGAGTATTAGCGTGCTTCATTGTTGATTTATCAAAGTGCTCAACACCACTTAAAATGTTTTGGTGCGTTTTTTCTTGTTGCATTACTAAACATGCAAGAGGCAAAACAAATAATGATCAAAACATGCAAAAAATACAATAATCATGCTATGAATGCAAAATCAAATTTTACCTTCTTTATCGGGAAGAGGATTTTTCTCCAAAGTTTCTGTATGTTTCAATTTGCTAGCATCGAACCTTTCGATGCCTTCAATCAAAGCTTTTTCAGTCTTTTCAGCGGCAACGTCTAAACAAAAATTGTTTTTGTTAAATTATAATCTCAAAAAAGATTGATTTGAAATTAAAAATTAATAATTATTAGTACAACCTTATTAGTAAAAAAAAAATATATAAATAACTCAATACAACAACAAATTAGTTTTCTCTTCTCTAATTAGTTTAAATTCCAACATTTTTTAAATTTAAATTAACCGCGAATATATTAGATATTTATTAACGCCGTCAGATGGCGCGGTAAAGCGTATCAAAAATTCAAATTATGTTAACGGTTAATGTTCGCCGTTTCACATAGTTAATTGGTCGTATAAAAATGCAAGAAACCACCGAAGCATACAGGTTTTTTCTTTAAAATTCTTGTACCTTCGGGAGTCGGCAACACGATCTTTTCTTTAGTATTTGTCCGTTTTAGCGAGGAGCTATTGAAATTTTCAACGCCCGCTATCAAGGCGTTATGGGTCCGTTCTTGAGCTACATCTAATTTTATTTTATTTACATAAATCGATACATTTTTAAAGCGATTTAAAATAGTACAAAGTTAAAGTTCAGTTACCTTCAGCGGATGGAAGAATGATTTTTTCTTGGGTGTCCGCATTCTTTAAGTTGGCAGACTTGAAACCTTCAAGTTCACTTTTTAAATCGACGGCTACTTTTGGTAAGTCTTTAAGAGCTGGAGCTGGGCATGCCATCTAATAAAACAAAAATTCATTTTAACTCAATAAAAATTAATTATTAAATATTTAGAAAATTAAAAATAAATAATACCTATTTCAAGATTTGACGTGAAATGAATTTTGATTGATTAAAAAATTTTTTTTTATTTTTCGAGTTGGTACCATTTTGTTTTGACAGATAACCTTAATTCGTTTTTTTGTGAAGTTTTAAGAAATTTATTAACTCTATAATTAACGGAAATTGTAAGTAAACGCTTTTAAAATTCTTCGAATTTACGAACTATTTGTGTTATCATAACCGCCAAATATTTTTTTAAAGAATTTAAGGAATAAATCTTATCGTAAATTCTGCGCATTTCGTGATTAATACTCGCCTATAAATCGAATGAGATCACGTATATTATCTTTTCTATTTCAAATTGAAAATTATTATTTATTTCTTTATCAATTCGATTTTTATTAATTATTTTTTCTTTATGTATTTAATGAAAAACATTTTTGTTTGTCAATAATCCCAAACAATTTATTATCATCAAAGCGGTAATTATTAAAAATTAATTATTAATATTATTAATTAAACAAGTATAACAAAAATAATAACAAAATAGCGACATCTATCGATTTTAATTGTGACATGATGTCACAAATGAAGTTAGACGCAATTGGTTTTATGTCAAATTTATTAATCTTTTTATGGATTTAATTAATTTACAAACATATTTAAGAATTATTTATAACCAAAATGAAATAATAATTCTTAATAAATCTTGTTATAGCTAACTTCACTTTGTGTTTGGTTTGTTATGATTTGTTTTCGGATAACATAACCTCAAAGTGAAATCACTAGAAAAAGAAACTAGCAAACTATCCTTGAATATGATCGGATTTTATATCAACGGGGATCTGAGTTGGAAAGAATATGTCAATACAATACTTAAGCCCTGTAAAGGAGGTATTAACCTAATTAAATCCTTGGTAAACTCGAATCCTATAATATTAAGTACTCTATATAGAGCTTTAATCAGATAGAGAATTGAATATGGTTTGTGATATAACTTTCAGGTAACGTGTTATGAAGCCTATAGAAGCCGATAGAAGAGAGAGAAAATTTGAATGAAGAAAATCTGAGAAATGTTGATTAAAAAAACATAACCTCAAACTGTCAAATAATATTCAAGCTGTACTTCATATCAAAGCGAATTTTGAAATAGAATTATTTATTTATAATTCTTTAAACATTCATCATTATTTGCTTGCGGCCGGAAATTCAATTTAATCAACATTTCATACAAACATTACATAAAAAGTCAATAGATAAGCACTTTATCAAGGCGTAATAACAAAAAAAAATTGTTCTGGTTTATATAAGCTTTTAAAATAACCTCGGTTTAAAATCATGAAAATACACGGAGGGAAAGTCACAGAAGTCTCCGTATTTTTTACGGTTAGAAACCATCCATATAAGGTATGTTTCGGCCATATGGTTTCAAATGACCTAATAAAACCCAACTGGTACATGTTCATCTTTTATAATTTATTAATAATTAGAAAACAAGTTTAAAACTAAATTATATCATTTTCCAGAAAGAAATTTTTACCAAGAAAAAGCTTTTCTTCGTTTTATCGTATTCCAACAGAAGGAATTTATATTGGCGAATACAAAGTAGGGGTTATTTTGTAAACAACTCGTGACCGTTTTTAATAAACAACCTCTCAAATGACACAGAAGTCGCCGAGCAAGCAAAGAGTTGAAATCGGCAAGAATCTGGTTAAAAAAACGTGAAATAATCTTGCTACCGAAGCATAAATTGATTAGAAAGACGCGTAGCAAAAAATTTGCAATTTAATATAACATTTAACATTTTTTTCAACCTAGTTTTAACACCTACGGTATCTTACAGCCCACCATATGTGCACCAGCTGCAAGGTTACTTCAAGAATAAGTGGGTTATTCTTCGCACAATTTTAGAGTTCATGGCCTCGTTTAGGTCAACTTAAATCATAAACGATCTTAATTTTAAAAAATTTGATTAAAATGTAATCACTAAAATACAGGATAAATTCTTAAAATACAAAGAATTTCGTTTGGGTTGGTCATTTTGGGTTACAGAAATAGAGGGATAAATTTAACTCTGCGTACGTGATGAGGAGGGGCGCCACCCTCACCCCAAAAATACAACGAAATTCCCCCAAATTAGATTCCCCTTCAACATGAATCGATTTTGCAAACTCGAGGCATCCGGGCGTAAAAGAAAAATTAAAAAAAAAACATTAACTGTACCCAGACGAATGAAATTAATTAGTGTCTAACAAATTTAAAGTAAATGAGCCTTTTTTTTTAAGAAGCTCCACATTAAAATTCAACCGATGTTGAATTAGTTATCGTACTTCCGGTGAGCAATATCCGGTTTGTTCTTTATATTTGTAAAATTTTTAAAGAAATTTTTATCTTTCTTTATACTTTGACGTTTCAAGAATGTTGAATTAATAAATTTAAAATTAACCGGTTATCAATAAATTTATTCAATTTGTTGTTATCCCAAAAAAGAAGATAATTTTATATTAACTTCAAAGTAAATTAATAATCGAGTAAAGAAAGAAACGCAAGATTATTTTTGAAGTTGTAAAAAAAGAAGTTGAAACCGCACCCAAACGTGGATGGATGCATCAATGGTCGCCCCAAAATGACGTTTCAACGATAAAAATCGATTGAAAATGTGAAATTTTAAAAAAAATTAACCCAAAAATTCGTAGAAAATAAAATCACTCACCTTTATAATATCTAATAGTTGAGGTAAAAAGTTAAAAAAATAGGATCTTTTGTTTGAAACCACGTCTCTACACGTCTGAGGCTGGATCTACAATGGTTGGGTTGTCGTTCTGTACGCATTGAAGACATACTCCGGGGTACGGGACGTTGATGGTGGGGCGCGGTGACTCATTGAGCCGCTTTATCAACGAATAAACCTTTTGTTTCAATATGTGCAATGTTGAAAAAAATTTATTTTAAACATTTATTTATTATAATAGATTCTATTATAATAAATAGAAATAGGTTCTAATAAATAGGTTCTATGTTCTATTAAATAGAACATAGAACCATTTTGTTTGTATTAAAACATATTTTCAATTATAATTTTTTTTAATCCGATTGATAAGTTATCGATAATCATTGATGGGATTTTTTGTTGACACATTAAATAAACAAATATGTTGTTTTAAAGTCTACGTTCTAAATATTTTTTTATAATATTTATATATTTTATATTATTTATATATTATAGTTTTACACTTGCACTGTCACTAGAACTACACAATATACATACATATAAGAGCACGATCATGACCTATACGGCTGACTAGACCTGACATGTCTAAGACAAAACGGATATTGGAAACAGCAGAATGAAGATACTTCGCAGAATCACCGATAAAACTCTATGCGATAGAAAGTATTAATAATTGGACACATAAACGGAAGAAAGAATGGAACAAGATAGACTAGTGAAAAGGGCCAGTGATAAATCGTCGCTAGGTAAACGAAGTGTCAAAGCAAAAGATGGAACGACAATTTGCGCACAAAATATCATGGCGCTTATATATTACCCACATCTCTTTCTTCAGCTTATCTCCTCTCATCTGTAGATCATCTGTAGAAGTATTTCCTCTTCCTTAAATTTTGCGCTGTATTGTTCTTTCCATGCCCTTCATATTTCTTTATTTGATGTTTTTAGATCGCGTTTTGATCTTTGATGTTCCTTATCTGTTTTCTTTGGAATCTATTGATGGTATTCCAGAATTGTTTCTGATTACCTGTGTCATCTTCTTCGATCTTTTTGCCAAATTTCTCCCAGGAAGCTGCCTTTGCTTTTTAGTTTGCTCGTTTCTTCTCCTGTACCTTTTCTTTTACTGCGTCGTTCCACCAACTTGTTCGTTTCTGATTATAATTAACGGTTTTCGTTCCACAGACTCCTCCGCCATTTTGATTATGGTTTGTTTTACCTTTTGTCATTTCACGTGTATGTTCAAGTCTTATCTATTCCCTCGTTGTTCTAATGTAATTAGATTATCCGTTAATTCCTGTTTTTCGGTCTTCTCCAACTCCTCGATCTTAAGTAGTGTGTGTTTTTGCAGGTTCATATCAACCCTTTTCAAGGGTTTTCAATTGAAATTAATCCATTAATTCGCTAAGCAGGTAAGTCAACTATTCCAGCTCCATACAATCTAATGTGTAGAGTGTATCCAGATCCTCTAATGGGAAGATCCTAGTTTGTACCTTCTTGGAATGTTTCAACATCCTTTTAATAGCCACCTAATTTGACAATATGAAGCAACAAGAAAAATTAGTCTATCTATTAAATAAAAGATGTCGCTGGAACATTTTTAAGAAAAATTATTTAATTAAATCAAAAACCTAAATTGCCAAATTTTAGTTAACCCAAAAATAATGAAAAAACGCTAAATATAACCTTTTAACCTAACAAATTTATAAATAAAAGTATTAATCGAATGTGATCATTGAACGCACGTGGGCGTTTATGACCTTTTCGTTTGACATTTGGTTAGTTAGAAGTGGATGTATATGAAGTTAGCTAGATACACCCGATACACCCTTAAAGAAATAGGTATGAGTGTGTGTAGATCTTTAAAATGCAGAATAGGTCCATCAATTTTAAACTCGGACCTTTCACAATTATACGCCGAAAGTCAACGTTTATTGGATAACGGCGCCGATTATCTACATTTAGATGTTATGGATGGCCACTTTGTACCTAACCTCACTTTTGGGCACCCGGTTGTTAAATGTCTTAGAAAAAAGTTAAAAAATACTTTCTTTGAAACACATATGATGGTTTCAAATCCAGAGCAAGTAAGTTTTACTTTAATCGACCATTTTTAATAATAATTCAAATTTTTGTTGTTAAAGTGGATCGAACCTATGGCAGATGCTGGTGTTAATTTATATACATTCCATGTTGAACCTGTTCAAAATGATGTTTTAAAAATCTGCAGAAAAATAAAAGAATCTGGAATGCAAGTTGGTTTAGCTTTAAAGCCAGGAACAGGCATCGAAGCTGTTAGGCAATTCATCGATGCTGCAGATTTAATTTTGGTGATGACTGTTGAACCTGGATTTGGGGGTCAAAAATTTATGTCTGATATGATGCCTAAAGTGCAGTGGTTGAGACAAAATTATCCATTATTAGATATAGAAGTTGATGGAGGTGTTGGTTTAAATACAATTAATGCATGTGCAGAGGTAATAATGTAGGAAATAAAATCATTTTTAATAATCAATATACATTTTAGGCTGGTGCTAATATGATTGTATCAGGAACAGCTGTAACTGGAGCTCCGGACCAAAAATCTGTAATCGCAACATTGCGCGAAACTGTTGAAAGATCTATTCATAAGTGCAATGTTTAAAAATACTAACAAAAATATCTATTTTTTTATCATCTAAGATTAAAAGAAATAACAAAAAGGTTGAAAACAAGAAAACGAACTGTTGATATTTAGGATAAAAATTTATTACTTATTTTATTAATTTAATTTTTCTTTTTTTTACTACATTATGACTTTCCTTTTTTTTCTTACCGTCAATTATTAATCAAAAAAACATACTATAAAGGAAAGAAACAAAAAATAAATACAATGTACTCGAAATAATATGTAAATACCATGTATTAATAACGCATTTAATCGTTTTTAACAATTTTCTTTCTTCATTTATCGTTTCAAACGTTATTTTTGTTAGAATTAAAATTTAATTTCCAAGTTATACCTCATTAAAGAGAATGAAGACTTCTTCCATTTGTTAAGTTTTAAAACAATTGTTAAAACGAATTTATGTAGTTTTAGATGAAAAATAAAATTATACAACAGGAAAGAGGTGATTGAGATAATTAATCAAACCTACTTAAATCTTTTATATTTTTATCACCCAATTTTTTTCGACCATCTATATTTAAATTTAATTTCGTTCTTAGCGATGTCAAAGTAATTAAAACGGCCTCTTCGGTACGAATCGTTCTTGATCCTTGATTTGGAATTGTATTCAAGTAATGATCAAATAATAAACTTGGATCGTCAATGTTAAGAACGTTATCGTTTTCTAAAGCGGCTTCCAAACCATTTAAACCACCAAAAACGATTAAAGCATGTTTGTACTTTGATGATTCAAATTCATCTATTGATGTTCCTTTATCTGATGTTCCTATTGTTAAATCATAACCTTCTTTATATGGACATTGTGAAAGTACTTGGGATAAAGAATTAGCTAATCGAACTTCGTACCCCCAATAAACACCGGTTTCTATTTTAGGAGTTTTTGGGGGAACTATTAAACCTTTTAATTTTTTACTTCCATCTTGTTTTAAAAGTTTAACTGTACATCGTATTCCAGGTGTTAATAATTTATCAATGTGGATATCTTGTAAAAGACCGATGTTTACTTGAGAACCACGACCTGATTTAACAGGTTTATTTGTTACAACTCCTTCTCTAAAAATAATATTTAAAATAACCTAATTAATTTAGAGAAAAAAATCTAACCTGAACTCGAAAACATCATTTTGTCTTAAATGATGAGGTGCATCTAAGGGATTTAAAACCCCCGCATATTGTAAATCTTTATGAATTGGAAAGAAGAATTTTCTTAAATATTGAGGACATTCCAAGTATTGTAATATCCTTCCTAATTGAGCACAACATTTTCGTGTTGTTTTAAGTACACCATCGGAATCTTCTATTGTTGACTTTTTAGCTCCAACTTCATCACCATAATCATCAAAAACAACAACTTCGTCCACTTGAAAAACGCAAGCAGCCCGGGCTATTTGCCCCGCAAGATACGTTCGAAGTTCAAGTGATTGCGCATTTTCCAAAATCGAACCAGGAATCGCTATACTTATGGTTGGAAGTTCTTTCGAAACCGATTCAATAACATCGTTTTGTTTTGATGATTTTATTTGTTCTTTTAATTGTTGTTTTTCGTATTTTTTAATTAGATTTTGCTCTTTCCATTTCTTTTTCTCCGCTTTGTGGGCCTTTATTTCTTTTAAACTACGTTTTTCAGCGTTTATAGGTGCCATGACTTTTTTTTTAATTTTGAGGTTATATTCTTTTACATAACCTCAAAAGTTTGAAATTGCAATTTGGGTTGCATAAGTTATGAAAAATATCCAACTATTAGTAACAGAATTCAAAAATGCGTCAAGAATTATTAAACAAAATTGTTTTTGTTTGCGTGTATAATTTGCGTATTTATTTATTTATAAATAGCAAAAACCTTGAATACAGAAAATAATGTCACAGTTCAAAATTCTTGTATTCTTTAATCAATCTCAATAATATTTTTATTCCAAGGAAAATTGAATGTGCGCGAAGACTTTATTGAGATGTTAATGTTGATAAACCGTGGTTTAAGAACAAAATTAATATAAATAACATGGGGGTTTTTAATTTTTTTGTGTAGTAATTATTAGGTTGGCAGCGATCAGCTGATTAGGATCTCTAGGGATTTAGTGAGGTTAGGGTTCTCAACGCTCGTTAATCTATTTTACGGTTTTCAAGATTTAATTCGGTACTTATCGAATTTATGTACGTATAAAACAAATATATTTAATTTAACCCACCTACCTGTTTACTTTTCTTTTCTCTTAATTGCATGGATCTTTCGGTTGTCAATCTAGGGCTGATCCCCCTTTGGGAAGAGTTGGTGGTGGTGACCTATTAAATAATTAAATGGTAAAGTTAAGTGCAGAAAATTAATTCGTAAACGCTACTTTTTGAGGTTAGATATACACAAAAAAGTTTACGTTGCTAAGCAACCAAGCAAGTTATTTACAAAGATATTTTCAAATAATTTAACAAATTTAAATAGAAATATGATTCAAAATGATTTGTACTTACACGTTTGCTTTAATTGGTGGCTGAAGTTGGTGTAAGAAATGATTTAATTTAAATTTTTGGTCGTATGAAACACTAACCAAAAAATCCTAGTTTATCAACTTCACTTTACACTATTAAATACCATAAATTCACTTCAAAACCATATTAATTTACATTAAATATTACTAAAATTATTCAAACGTAGCTAGTAACAACAATGGTGTAATGGCGACAATTGTTTTAAAACACGCTCGCCAACCCCAAACCAGAAATTAAAAACACCAAGAGATGTCGCCACCTAATTTTGTGTTATAATTATTTTTAGCACAAATTTTGTTGTAATTATTGTTTAAAACTTTATGAATTCAATTAAATTTGGTTTTAGTTGGACTTGGATATCCTAATAAAACATAAATTATAGTTAATGTGGCGAATATTTTATTTTTAGGTAATTTAAACATAACCTATAAAAATTGATTTGTACCTTTTGAGGTTATGATTAGTTTAAAAATTAAAAAATCAAAAAAAATGTCAGCGTATTTAATATATTTATATGGATAAATTAGAATAAGTGGTACTAATATAACAAGTTGAAAGTAACTAATAGTTAAAATTTGAGCAAAAATAATATAGATACATATTGCAAAAGGGTGTATAATTAAACTAAGGGCGGAGGGGGAGAGGAAAAAGGTAAGACAAGAAGAAATAAAGGCAATTATTCTAAATATGCGATTTATAATAATAAACTAAACGAGAAAACAACGCTTCCCAACCACAAAAAAATTATTTTATAAAGAAAACAGGAAAGGACCGTTTTTATTTTAAAATTAAATTTTTTTGAGGTGTCTTTTGGCTCAGTCTACAAACACCGAATTCTATGTGAATAAAAACAATCCCTTTTTTTATTTTTTAATGTTTCGAATTTCTAAAATGATGTACAACTATAAACAGCAAAAATTTCGATTTAATTTTTTTGTTAATAATCGGAAAATCCGTTAATAGAAAAATTATAAAATCAATTCGTCATGATTTTATAATTTTTTTTTTATTTATCTTTGAAGATTTTCCTAAAAATTACACCTGAGAATGTACAATGTATATTTAATTGTTTTAATTTATTTTACGTAAAAGCGGAAACAATCTTAGTGAAAACTCGTTCAAAATTCCAATCACAGAGAAGATAAAAATTTAATGAAACTAAAAATAAAACAATTAAGAGACAGCTGAAAAGAAGCGATTAATTACAATGCTAATAACAAATAACGAAACTGTGTTTTGTTATTTTAATAATAAAAAAAAGAAAAAAGAAAACAATTTTAACCATAAAGCTGTTTTTTTTATTTTTTTTTCATTTTCATGTATCACAGCTTGCTGATTAAAAATTATTACCATTTATTTTAATGTTTTACAAGGTTAAAAATTAAATGTTGCTGAAATTAGAGTGAAACCAGCTCTTAATTCTCATTTTTTTTGTTTAATAACTTTTCTTACGCTATTTTATGTACACAACAAATGATAATTGTAATAATAATTACTGAGTGTTGATGAAAAAGATTTAATTTAATTTCATAACTTGATATGTCAAATAAATTTCTAAAAATCAGTATTAAATTTGTAACGTTTAAAATGTTAACTAAAATATGTCAAAAGATGGCGTTGTGGAGGAAATGACACTACAATATATTTTAATTCTTTTCATCAGCACTCACAAATAAGAGCAAATGACAAAAATATTAAAAACAAAATACACTTCTTTTCCATTTCAACACAGCAGCAGCTACACCACATTATTAATAAATCACTCTCAAAAAAGTCCTTCCTTTTCGCTTTTGCAATGTCTTATAAGTTTTATCTGGATTCATTTTTAGCTTGGAAAAGGAAGTGTTGGGGAGAGGGGAAACAAAATATATAATCTATATGAGGATTCTGATTAAAGATTTTTTGAAGGGGGAAGATTATACACACTTTTTCTTTTTAGTAGTTTTCGCGTAGCGTCTCTTATTACACACTAATTAATAAACCGTATCATTGAACGAATATGTATATGTGTATGTATATATTATCATCAAGAAAACGAAAAAAAAAAGAAAAGAAATAATAATAATAATAATAATGTAGATTTTTTTCACACACCCACAGCATCAGCAGCAGCGCACCGTCGAGAGCGTCCCACTATTTTATTCCGATTTTTTTCTGTTTCAATCTTTATTTATTTATCTAGAAAAACCGATTTTCATTATTTTATTAAGTCGTCATATTAAATCTCTTTGTATTCCAGCAAATCAGATATTAATCTAAATATTTACTCGGTTTTTTCTGTTTTGGCGAATTATTAATCTCTTAAATCGTACTTTTTATTTATCATAATAGTTTTTTTGTTTGTTTGTTTTAATTCATTATTATTATCATCGTTTTATTTTTTTTGTTTGTTTTTATTTTGTTGGTTTTGCGTTTTTAAAACGGTAATATTTTTAAAAAGGTTAAGGGGTTATTATTTTTTTTTATATTATTTTATTCAGGTCACTCTGCGGGAGGATGATGATGGCACTTTCGCAGTGGCGGGCTTCATATTTTCTGAATTTTCTCACCCACCACCACTGGGTTGTTACGTCTAATCTCTTGTGCACCCATTTCCCGATAGTTGAACGAACAGTCGTGCTTGTCGCTGTATCGATGCACTGCACAAAACAATCCTCCACAACGACATTCAAAACCTATAAAATAAAATAAATTAATTCAAAAGTTAGGTTAAATTAATAAATTTAATTATGTCAAAATTTTAGCTATAAAAGCAACTCTGGTCGTGGAAAACGAGGATGATCTCTAGCAGAGACTCGACCAGAAACATCCAAAACAAAAAGAATGCTAGAAAATACAAAACTGAAAATACTGCGTAGAATAGTTGGGAAAACATTGATGGACAGAGAAAGAAGTGAGACAACATCAGACAGACTTGCAGGATGCACAACATCAATGCTTGAGTATTGGACAGAAAGAAGAAATGGAATGAGCACATCGAATGACAGAAAATCGAATTGTGAAAATAACAAGGGACAAATCACCATCAGGACGAAAAAGCATTAGAAGACCTAAGTTTATTTGATGAAATCATATCAAAGATGATGAAAATGACCATAAATTGATTCAAAATCACATACAGTATGCAAAATCCGTATTTGAACGCCCTGCAAAATATTAGAAAATCACAAATTACCCAAGAATGGTCAAGAATTTCAAATATTTTTGATGATTTATTTCACTTAGAAGAGTAAAAGCAAAACTGGATGTCTTGGTTATCCATACAGTTCGACAACCGAACGGTAAAGGACATTTTAATCACAGTTGACAGCAAAAACAGCACAAACTTTAATAATAACTAAGAAAATTATACATTTGGAATAACACTAATACTTTGCTGAATGTCTATTTGCTTAACAGCAGCATTTAGACAATTCAGCATCGATTCCGCTAGTTTAGTGATTAACTGAGGTGGTATTTAGTCCATTCTGTCTTTCAATTTCTTCTTAAATATTGATAATAGGACTAAGATCTGGGCTTTGTGATGGTGTTTTGATGAACAGTTGTACACTGTCCTGTTGAAAGATAAAATCTCGTAAATTTCTTCTTGAAAGGTTCGATCGATTTACATTTCGTAGTGCCTTATTAACTTCACCTATCTTTTTACGATTTCAAGCAAAAGTTGGATTTTGCATACTGTATTTGAAATTTTGATTAATTCTAAACGATTCTAAATAGTAAAAGAGTTATATTTACCTGTAAGGCCAACCTTCTTACGACAGGTAGCACATCGATTTTTCTTTTTCTTAGCATCCTTATCGCCGTCTTTATCTCCATTATCGGAACTATTACCACCCGTAGCATCCAAACTGGTTGCTACGCCCGAAGCGGCACCATCTTCTATCGTCTGTAATCAAAAATTCTCTTCAAACACAAAAAAAAAACTTTAAAACGCACCAACATTTTCGTTAAAAATGTGCTTGTTAAAAACATCTTTTTCATTAACAACATTATCATAGTTTTCGTCTTCGTCGTAATCGTCATCGTCATCGCAATCGTCGTCACCAACAAATTTTTTCGCGTCGATTTTTTCTTCGTTTTCATTTCGTTCGTCGTCGTCGTCGTTTTCTTCGCGGCGCCGTTTCAAACCGCGTTTTTCTGCATTTTCGACGGACGACGACGGATCTTCCTTTTTATTATCACATTTCTGATCGTCAATCGGTATGCGGCTCTGTGACATACTCTGGGAATTTGCTCGGGACCGGCTCCGAAACTGTCATTTTTGAATGACAACATCATTCAAATCAAATCATAATTGTTACACCCTTGATTCTTTTTTAACAAACAATGAAATAATTATTTGTCAATACTACCAACCCAAAAAAATTAATAATATAGACGTTCAAAATATGAGTTAGGTTATGTAACAATATGAAAATTTGATTAAAATTTATCGATTTTAAAGTTGTTTTGTTCTGTTTTAATCATGTTGGTTTTTTTTGTATACTTACATCATCGTTAGATGAATCTGATGACGTTGGCGTGCTACTAACTGAAATTGAGGTCTGTAGGCAGGGTACTGTAGGTTGTGCCGTCGTCGTTTCCATAAGGCTGGATAACGATTGGGCGTTGTTGACTGAAGAAACAGGACTTGGAGCTGAAACTGGCGGTTGTTGTTTCTTTTTGAGTGCCTCCTGGAATCCAATTCAAACCAAATCTTAAATTATTAATAATAACCAACAATAAAAAACAAATTAGACAAAAACACTTTACTTTTCTCCGTTTATTTATCGTTATTTTTTTTATTAACTTACTTTATAACATAATGAACATAACCCATCAGTAGCTGGGCTGCCATAAAATCCACACCCTGACCTGCACAATGCCTGCATGGGATTTGATTCCCGTTCCATTTTTTAAATTAAAATTCTATTTTGTATTTGTAACTAAAGAACGAATCCGAATTGATCGGTTGTCAACTAATTCTTATTTTCTTGTATGAGATAATAACAAAAATTAACCAATACGTAAATATTGCACCGATTCTCTTTTTGATTAAGTCTTTATTAAATTGTTTCTTGTTTCGTAAGGTTTTTAGTTGAAAAGAAGGCCTCTTGAAGCTACTTTTTCGTCAAGCGGAAATAAACACCTAAAAATAAAAGGAAAAGAAGCATTAATATAATTAAATAGAAAAAACAATAATCAGTTTTAGTTGCGCCATCTAATGGATTTGACTCAAAATAAAAAATGTAAATGTCATTTTGCACATATTTTATAGAAATCTAACCATTATTAATTTAATAAATCAATTGAAAAGACAAAAATTAGATATAACTTAGTAAAATTAAAATTCATCTAATAGAAAGTGTATTCGAAACACCCGTTAAAGTGTAAGTATTAATTTAAAACCGCTTATATTTCATTGGAGACACTTTCGCCCGTCTCATTTTGAACTTTAAAATCCGGACCAAACGGTGAAAGCAAGTTCTAACTGTAAATAAATCTATAACTCTATCTGATAACTTATAGCCATCAATTTAAAATGTTTATAAATAAAAATATTATCGCATACAAAAAGATTATGTTTATTCCACGTAGATAATAAATTCAAGGTCACTTTAACAATCGTTTCTAACCTCAATTCTGTTTCCAAAACTTCAAACTTGTTTTATTTTTTCTGTCTATTAATAATCCGTTCTTTCTTCAATCCTTTCTTATTTTAATAAAAAAACTTAATAGATACCGTGCCAGTTGTGGTTATGCGATTTAATTGATTCTTGTTGAATTCTTTTAGTTTGGTTCAGCTGTTACTCATTTCGATTAATTTTGATGGGAAGAATGAAGAAGAAAAGCGCTGTATAAATCCATATTCTGAATTAATACTTTCTGTAAGTGAAGTTAAAGAAGTTTATTTCTCTCAGAGAATTGAAAAGATTAAGGAAATAAAACTAGCAGGGGATTTGGCAGAATTGGTAATTAATGTTCTGTTTTAGAGTGTACTAAGAAGCCAAAACTTGAGTCCGATAAAAAGAATCAAATGTGCTCTATTACTGCATATGCGTCGTTTGCAGAAGATCATCTACACAAAGGAGGCTCTGCATAACCAATAACTTTAGGGATAATGTATTTGCGTTCAATCAAAAGTAATTAAGTTTGTAGTATAACAACACTCACGGACAGGTCGTAACAACAAAAAGCTGATTATGCAGCTCTCAAACAAAATTGAAATTATTTTGTCCATGCTGGAAACTTCAAAAAAAAATCAGTAATTGCGTATTCCAAATATTTGCAGATCCAATTGTGATTCTATCAAGTCAAGTTAGATGATCAAATGTTCTAGAGTGATGATTCCTCCCACTTACTTGGGCAACAATACCTTTTTTTTCCTGCACGACTTTATGAGATGGAGATACATCATGACTGCATACTCTACTAAAGTTGTATTAGTGTCTAGATGACTTGACATGAGATTCAACAACTGGACAACTGAAGAAAGAAATTGTGGCTCTTATTGTAGTGGTATCCAAATAATTCTGGGCTAATTGTAAACAAAATAATTCAGTAAATCAATTGTTAAATGCATTAAAAAGTGACTATTTAAAAAACAAGATACGGGTCAACGTGTAGAATTGCAAGACTAATACGTTAGCTCTAAGAATGCTTTATCAGTTAGTAACTATTTGTTTAGTCTACTAACCATAACCCACATATAATATTTATATTATTATAATAAAAAAAACTCTAACTCACGCGTAGTATGTAACAATCCCTAAGCAGAAACCTATAAAGACTTAGGTTTAATATTAAATGAGAAATATGGGAGAAAAAAATAAATACAAGAAAACGATTCTTTTCGTATCATAAATTAGAAGAACTCGGCGCCAGGATTATATGTAGTGCATTGAACCCTTCGCAAAAGAGACCCCAGAGAAGTCTCCTCTTCTCAAGAGTATTGAATGAACACTTTAACTCTTTACGAGGAGAAGGATTAGAACGAGAGTATACACTTCTTCCTTCGTCGTCGTCGGTTGACGTTTGTACACCTGCTGTTGAAGACAGGTGCGTTCCGGAGTCCGCGTCTGTTGTTAAAGGGATTATTTACGTTCATGGGGGAACGACAGCAAACCAGGAAGAAGAAAAGAACCGGAAATTAAACTCGAGGAAATTCAAATTAACGAGAATATTTTAAACATTTTTCCTACTTCTTCATCTTTGGAATGTCGAAAGAGGGATTGTCCGGAATGTTAAGATTGCGAAGGTCTTTTTTACAAAAATTTTAAATGAACTTGCTGGAAATTGATAAAAATAAATTGAAGGTCGTTTTAGTTTAACCCAGATTAAATCGTGTATCCGAAAAGGTGAACGGAACAACGAAAGAGAGACGACCGAAGAGAAAGAGAAGTTCTTCTCGTCGCGTAAAAAGATAAAGAACCCGCGAGGCACTCCGCGCTAACGGTACAATGGCCGAAAAAGAGGAACGTACGGACAATGGCCGGTTCGTTCTTAGCAAAACTGGTTTTTATTTATATTTTTTATTCTTTTTAAGAGGGCTTTGCCTTTCCTTTCCATTCCACTCCATTCCATTTCATACCCAATTCGGTTGTTGTTCCTGAATGGGGGGGCCCCCACGTAATATGTTGGAGACGACGCCGAATAACGACGAATTCATCTTGTGGGAAACGTAATGTGATCTTCAAAAAGTGATCATATCATCGGGAAGTTCACTATTTTGCCTTGAATGTGGTTTGTTGTTTACTCGTTTTGTGGTTTTAATTTTATTAATTCCAAAACCGCTGTGATTAAATTGTTATATACAATTTTTAAAAAATACTTTCGTTTTTTTATTGATCGATTTGAAATGAAAATTCTAAAAAAATGAGAGTGGTGGAAAGTAGAAAGCAAATAAACAAATTTGAAACGAATAAATCGCGTTAATATGAAGTCTAATGTACTCGTTGTAATAATACAGCAATAAATTATTTAAAAAGTGTAAATGTAAAGTAGAAAAGAATGTTTTCGCGATTAAGTTGTAATTCCCCGGCACCGTTATATAACGCGTAACCGACGAAAAACGTCGTCGAAATGCGCGAAATGTAGGTCACAACAGGCGGTTGCACTTCGCACGACCCACTTTCCTGTCCCGTTCTTTCTATTCTCTTTTCCGTTCTCTCCGCGGCAAAGATACCTATACGAAGAAGAAGAAAAGGAGGCAGCTCTCCGCGTCGACCTGTCCTTGTTGAGGTGACATTACACTTTCTACGTCGAGACGTCCTATCGTCATTAAAAAAAATTAGTAAACACTCACATTAAATTGTTTAAAAATTGCGACATTTAATCCCCCGTACTTAAATGTAACATTATCAGGTGAAGCCCCTGTAATTTTATAAGAAACCTTGCAAATTAACCTGAAAATAAAAAAATAAAAATAAACCCAACCATATGTTCTTGATTTCTTTTTTAAGAATGAATCATCTGTATACACCGGGCGATTTATTTTTAAATAACATTTGTTATCCTCCCAGACCAGGAATAAAACAACGATTTCGTAACGATGTTTCGTGTGCCCTTATGCACTTTGTCGTCGCCCAACAACCGTTGTTGTCACGATGTAGTCCGCGATATAGTTTTGGTTGCTGTGTGAAGCGCACGTGCGACCTCGTTTTTCAAATAGTTACGATTATATCGTTTATAAATATTTTTTTTTCTTTTAACTCTCATCATTGCAATCACAATTATCACTCTCATCTAAAACCGTCAAGATATACAGTGAATTTCACTTAAAATGTAATAAACATGTAAATGTAGTATACAAAAATATATTTCCATGGAAATCAGGGCGTACTTATTTATTTTGTTCCATATAAAATGCAACATGTTTGAATGATTCTAGTTCTAATGTTAGTTGTAGTGACAGGGGTAGGTAGCGCTAGTTAATAGAAGATATCACTATGTTGCATATCTTTATTGAATTAAAACTGGAACTAACACTAGCACTATCACTAGAACTAATACAAGAGCTACAACTAGAATCATTCGGGTTTAGCCGTCTTGAGAGACGTGCGGTTAAACCCGCATGTTTCTAGTTGTAAGTCTAATGCTAGTTCTAGTTTTAATTGTTATTCAACGTTAGATTGTGATATATTTTATGTGGGACAGTGCCAGTGCATAGCAGTTTCGTAACTATGATTACTGCATTCATATATTGCGAATTATATGAAATTCTCCGTCAAAATATATCACCGCGACCATAAAGAAAAAAAAAGATTTTTATTAACAACGTCATCACTCCATAAACAACGATTAAACATGGCAAAACCCAGCTCCATAACTTCGAGTGTATTTGTAGGTGTGATTTCGCAATAAACATCGTCGGATCAAACGAGGTCATCATGACGTCATTGACGTCGTCGTTGCTGCCGTTGTTTCCACGACCTTGCGACCACAATAAGTGACAACTTTCAACAAAACACATTTTCTAATGACGTAGAGATGACGTCACGGCACGCTCGCGCTCGCTCAACCGGAAGTAGGAAATAAGACGTCGCGCGCGCGGTCAAAAATTTCATTCATTCCGAGAGTGAATCATATGGTTTTACAACCAACTCGGATTTTACTACCCGGGGGTTATAAATAGAAATTAGAAATCTTCAACAACCTTCGTTGTAATCGACTTTTGAAACTTAAAACGATTCAAAAATAATTGAATCAATGATAAACAAAACACAAATATTTTTGTTTTAAATACGTCATTCTAAGAAACGAGAGACAATCAGGACACGTCACGCACGAATTTAACAAGGAAAGTTACGATGACTCATTTCATTTTAGTCATCTCTTTATCACTAAAGCCGGACGAAAGCTTTTTTTAAAAAAATAATAGCAAAAAAACGTAATTTTTACTTGTTTACCACGCGTTCGCCTTTCATACGCACAGAAAAATCAAGTTGGCATCGGCACGTGTAGATGCACGTCACTAAAGTTCTCCCTCCCCACCCATTTTAACATTACATTGTATTCACTAAGAAATAGAAATTTTCATTTTTAATGGAAATTATAAATTTCTTTTTGAGAAAATAAAATTTTATTTATCGGACCGTAGAATATAGCGATAACGAGAGACACACACGCTAATTACTTGCGTCACAACCAAAGCAGTTGGCCTTCTCCGTAACGAGCCTCGCACACACAGAGAGAACAAAGCGGCATAAGGCACTTAAAGGAATAAAAAACGATCGTAAAAATCGTTCGGGATATAGTAATCGTCAACGATGTCTGGGACTTACGTGGATTCTAACCTAAAAGCTGTCACTTTCCATTCGATAACAACAACGTGATCCCGTTTTCGATTAATTCCATATGCACAAAACGATGAGATCACTAACAATAAACCCACATAAAGTACGTATCGGAATAAATGTAAACTTGATTTGTATTAAATCAATTTTTTTTTTTATCGCGATTATTTGGAGAAGTGAAAAAAAATATAAGTCTAATACAAAAAGGAAAGTATTAAAACGCGACGGAAATAGTACGAAACGTTGAAGTGAACTGGTGAAGTTCGGTCCCGGTTCGTGGGAGCACGGTGACTAGGCACGTTATTAATGCGCATGTCCGCAATGGACGGAAGTGGACGACGAAGTTATTCGAAGTTTACCGAACGATTCGATGAAGGCGTCACGATCTTTTCTTGGAAACGATTTCGATAATTAGCAAAATTTCGCTTTGTGTTGCACGATTTATTACCATTTCTTATTAACTATCAATTACCTTTTAATTACTAAAATTTTTTTTTTTAAGTTCCCATTTTAGTTATCTTCCCAATCATTAATTATGATAAGCATTTTTAAACGGATTATTCTAATTTAAATATATTAATTAAATATATTATATCAAATTTAATAAAAAAAAATTCAAAAAACAAATTAACATCATCTAAAAACAGTACGCATAAAGTTACAGATAAAGAGATTTCGAGTGAACGGAGCGTTAACCTCCGTTTCACGTTATATTTAGAGTTGAAAAAAAGTAACGGAGGACCATGAACCACACCGAGGGTCCGGATAGGTAAAGTGGTTTCTGCGTTTAGCACAGGTGCTATTTTCGGGTTCCTTCAACAGATAAAAGAGGCACCATCTTTTGTCTAACAAACAGGTAAAACGGATAACAATAAAAATGGTAAAAGAAACTTGATTTTTTATAAAGTAACAAAAACATAATATATATAAATAAATATATATAAATGAATAAAGACTTTTTTGTATGTTTCTTCTTATTAGGTAGCAAAACAAACACAAAAAAGTCCATGATATACGACCCTCAATTTTAATGATACATTTCTTGTGACCTATCTTGTATTCAATGTGATTTTCTTTTCTTATCGACTTATTTGTAAGATTTCGTAGTAATCGTGTCTTCTGTCAGCTGTATCTTGTCTTCTGCTAGCATAATCTAGTCTTCTGCAAGCAGTATCTTGTTTAATGTCTCTCTTATCCTCTATTAGCAGCGTCGAATCTTCCATTAACGGTTTTTAGGCCTCTGCTAGCAATATCTTGTCTTCTAACAGCAGTATTTTATCTCCTGATAGCAGTATTTCGTCTTTTGCCAACTAAATCTAGTCTTCTGCAAGCAGTATCTTGTTTAATGTCTCTCTTATCTTCTATTAGCAGTATCGAATCTTCCATTTACGGTTTTTAGTCCTCTACTAGCAATATTTTGTCTTCTAACAGCAGTATATTGTCTTCTGATAGCAGTATCTCGTCTTCCTCCAACAGTATCTTGTCTTCTGAAAGCAAAATCTAGTTTTCTGCAAGTAATATCTTGTTTAATGTCTCTCATATCCTCTATTAGCAGTGTCGAATTTTCCATTAACGGTTTTTAGTCCGCTGATGGCAATATCAGCAGTATTTTGTCTTCTGATAGCAGTATCTCGTCTTCTTCCAACAGTGTTTTGTCTTTTACTGCCAAAATCTAGTCCTTTGCAAGCAGTATCTTGTCCGATGTCACTTTTATCTTCGAACAGTATCTAGTAGTCCTCTGCCAAAAGAACTAGTCGTCGTCAAACACTATATAGCCTTTCATTAGAAGTACCTACCTAGCGCTCAGCAGCAATGTCTAGTCTTCTGCTAACAGAAACTATATTTAATCATTAAAGTACTATCTATGTATTATTCGTTATCGCGAAATTAATCGATTTGAAAGTTTCACTCTCATTTTGCATATATAAATTGATAATAAAAAAATCTATATTTTTAATACAAAATCAATTTCTTAACCAAACTACTTCACATCTATTAACATAAACACAGCCACGTGTTACATTTCAGCCTATGGACCCTTTTTTTAACCCTCGATTGAGGGGGTTACAGTTTGAAGAAGAGGTTACTGACCGAGTAAACGTCTGGGGGCCGGGTAGACGCCGCCAAAAGCGTCTACCACCACCAAACACCAGTCAACGTCCTCGACGACGGTCGACGAAAACGGGGTTCAAACCCCTCCCCCGAAATATAACTCGAACGACCTTGTAGCACCAAATTTCAGCGTCGCCACCACCCCACCAGCTTGAAACGGTGACGAAATGAAAACGTCGGTGACGGTGGTGGGTCGTGGAAGAAAGAAAGGTCAGACCCAAAGATCGCGAGATCTGGTTTCAAAATCAGGAAGAAAGAATGAGATTCAAGGACTTTCAAGCTCGGAGAACAGTAAAGATACAAAGAGAGACTGCGCAAGGTCGAATCTCCCCCCCGAAACTCATATAATAACTCTTGGTGAATTGCAATGTGAAATAGAGATCGCTTTGTTGACGAGAAACAAAGAAAATATATGTTTTTTAGAGATTCGATTGGAATCAAGGAACAAAATTGATTTTGGTTGTTGATTTTAATAAAGTTGTTGACGAGCGCGCATAGTTAAAGCAAAACGCCGCATGTTGTTTTAGTACTACATCGAGACGCAGACGAGGTCAAAGACTGTCTACGACGTCGTTTAGATTTTTGCGAATTTCCTCGACGCACGTTTAAATTTGTCTTAAAAAATTTAAACAAAGACTTTTATTAACTTAAATAATATACCGTAAAATAAAACAAAATCAAAACATAATTGTTAAAAAAATAACAAATTTGGCAACAACAATCTTAGAATAAACAGAAATGTTATTCATATTTGGACAAAGAAAACAAAGGCTTTGTTGTGTCAACTAAGGAAAACAAGAAAAGGACCACAAAAAGGATAACGCACCCAACCCGCGTTGTTATTTGCGTTTATCGAGAAGGTTCATCGACTGATTTTCCTCGAAACATCATCAAAACAATAAACAATAAAACGATCATTTCATTTTAATACTCTAAAAAATAAATTAATATAGAATTTTTCTTATAATTGTTTATCGCGCTATTGAACTTGTCCGTTTAATAAGATAAACGACCTTATCAAATCCGGGCCAGTAACAAGTAAAATCATGCATTTTCAACAAACTGGAATTTTGAAATTTTTATAATCCTTATCTGAAGCACACCTCGAGTATCTTTTTTCTTTTATTAAAAAAACTGTAACGGGTGCGTGAAAAGTGGGTCACGAGTACACGGAATCGAAAACGTTACGCAACCCGCTGAGAGCACCACGTTTTCCCCGCAAATTTCCACATTGTCCGTGAATCGAACGAAACGATCACGTGTCGTTGCGAAACGTTTACCAATAAAAAGACACGTGTCGTCAGATAAATTTTATCGCGATAAAAATGATAATTTGTAACTTACCATCCCCGCCGATCAAATTTGAAGTAAGGATTTCTTTTTAGTGATAAACAAGGAATTGGTTTCGGAGTCCCTTGTTGTGGCGTCGCGACGCCTCTTTTATTTATAAGACGACGTCGATGCCGACACGTGTGTTTAAATACTTTGGGATTGTTGATGAGGTACGCGCACTTTAACGTACGTTTTGGACGCGGACGGTGATTACACGAACACAGCAACACCTGAAATTAAAGGAAAAAGTATGTTTATGACGTTTCTCAATGTCTAGCCAAAATTTATAATTTCTAATCTTACAAAAAATAAATTAACTTAAAATTAAAAAGGAAACATTAAAACCGTTCTTAATACTCTGATTGTTTAATTTTTAAATGAATGAGTAATCCAATTGATAAAATCATGATCATTTGTAGAAGAAAACATTATGCGCGGAAATAAAATATTAGGAGGTTATTAGAAGGAAATATGTACAAAAGTAAGACATAGAAGAGCAATGTCGGACACGAAAATAATACATTTTACTCATTTGCTGAAGAAAACATGATAAGCATAAGCAAAATATTGTTTGCTAAAGCAATTTATCTCGTGCAAAACGAAATATCGTGCTCGGAACGAAGGTATTATTTATAGTACCTTCGTAGGTATTATCTATTGGTAAAAACAAAATATCGGACGAATCATGATCTTTTATAGAAGAAAACATTAATTAAAAGCAGAAGCAAATTGTTATAGAAAGATACAAGATTGTTTGCTGAAGTAAAATATCTTGAGCAAAACGAAACAGCACTCTAAAGCAAAGAGGCAAATCAATAGCGGGGGTACAAGAAAATATTATGAGCAGAAACAAATCAACACATGTGGAAACAAAATATTATTGTTAGACGCAATGCGACAGCGGATGAAAAAAAATATACGCAAAAGCAAATCATCAGGCGTTCAAGCAAAATATTGGTTGTAACAATATAATAATCATTTTCAGAAAAAAACATTACAAACAGAAGAAAAAATTTGTTTCTACGGATAAATACTTGTCGATGTCAAAGTGGTAATATCAGAAAATTGTACGTTGGATTCGCTGCCTGCTATGGGCGACATTATCTGCAAAATTGAAGCCATAAATTCGTATTGGTTTGGGCAAGATCGAAACCATGACGCTAAATGTGAATAGGTACAATGAATACATCGTATACTGTCGAATGCCAAGAAGCAAATAGAAAAATGTGTCGTATTTTAATTAGGAATGTGTACAGAATCATCTTGACATGGATTAGAAAGCATGTTGCCTATAAAAATAATGAGCAAAGAAAGAAAGGTTGCCATGGAGAGGGTAAGGAGAAATATTGGCCATGGATGTGTTAACAAGATTATTACACAGCAATCCCAACAAGTACATATGCTAGATGCCACCTTGTAATACAGTCCTTCTACTATTGTAGAAGAATTATCTTCCATTTATATTGCCTATTTTTAAATGTTCGTGTGTTAGCTGTAGCATGATATGAACAAAAGGTCAAATTTCAGAATCTAACCTAAAAAATAACTAGGAACTTAACCCAACTTTTTGTTAAATTTGATTTTTATGAAATCATTTCCAAATGAAACTATAATTATCAATGTAAATATCCTAAAATGAACAAAATCTTATCAAGATTTTATAAAAATGTACCTAATTTTTGTCGAAATCAAAAATAAATTAGATAATCGGTTTTACACAAATCGTGATTAACGATTTGATTAAAATTAAGTATGAATTAGTCTTAATTAAGATTAAATAATTAACAACGTAACGTTACATCAATCTAAAATTAATAAATTCTTAGAATTATTAGTCATTAAAGATTATTTAATTATAAAGCATCTTTGTTTGATTATTTTTAGATTGTTTCCATCTAATGTGTATTGGATTACTCATACATTAAAAAAATAACTTAATCATAATTATCTTTCTTTACAATTTATATTAAATTTTCTTCAATTTTGGTTATTTTGAATCCAACTTTCGGTTTGAAGCCCCGCTTTTACTTAATAAAATTAATTTATTTATTCACCAAACTAAAAAGAAACAAATATAAACATAGTAATAAATAATCTCCAACAACACAAATCATTAATTATTTGCAAATCGAAATGATGCGGGTATAATTTCGTAGAAAACCTTAACATAACCTCTTTCTACTACAACAAAAAAAGTAACTCTTATCGTTTAAGTGTATAAAGGTTATTATTGTTTGTGTTTATGAAAAATTATAGTAGGGTTAAGAAACGTTCTTGTTAAAAAGAAGTCACTCACCCAAGTGCCGCAACAATCACTTTGGCACATTGCACAAATCGTAATGAACGGGGTGGTTCATTTTTACGGGATCGTTTTATTTATTGGCGAACAACAACAAAAAAATTCTGCACGAAAAAAAAACTTACGTCAATTTGCGATGTCACTACTCGTATTCAAAAAAAAAACAATTACCAAAATGACAACAATTCAAAAAACAATCATCCCACACGACTTGATTTAGCAAGACCAACAAGTTCAATGTCTTAAAATAAATAAATTTTCATATTTATTAATGGTTATTTATGAAAATTCAGTAAAATATTTCGTCGAAATGCAAAAGAAAATGGCGTCAAGAGTATTGAACTAGACGTAAAATTTACTACTTAAAAGTAATCTTATTAAAATCTAATTCCTACACAAATCCGTAAAAAATTAAATTTTAATTTCAAAAATATTACTTACAACGAGAAAAGACCGAAAAACTTGTAACAATTTTATTAAACCCAAAGTAATGTGCACAACACCGTCATCGACTGGCACGAAACAATTGACTGAAATTCTCGGCAAACTACACGTCACGTGACTGACAATTCTCGTTTATGATTGGTCGATACGCCTGTAACTAGCGCCACCTATAGAAATTGTTAAATTTTTTTTTAATTGTCAATTTTTTAAGGTTATATGTCAAATATTTCAAAACAACATGGATAGAGAAGGTTTTATTTTCGATTAAATCATTTTTAATCCATTAACGTATTAATAATTTGAATTTTAGCGTTAGAAAAACATTTCACCGACATCTTAGATAACGAAAAAGATGTTTCGGCCGGTGTAGCTGCCATAAGAACGTTAATGGAAATTATTAAACACGGGAAATGTAAGATGATGAAATAAACGCTTTTATTACAATAATACAAAATAAACACATTTTTAGATACAACTGTTCAAGAATTAGACGAAAATATTAAAACTGCAATAGATGTTATGAGAAACACCGATTATCCGGTGACAGCGATTAATTCCGGATGCGAGTTATTTTTAAGATTTATTACTTTAGCGAAATTGGATAGTGTGAGAGTATTGATTAAAATGAAGATGATAAATATTAATAAATCGTAATTTGTAGACTTTTGAGGAATGTAAACAAACTATGTTGGATCGTGGAATGTTTTTTTTGCAAAAACTGAATCAAGCGAGGAATAAAATTACCGGTTTTGCTGCAAAATTTATTTTAAACGGTTCTGTTAGTCTTAACAGAAACATAATATAATGTGAATCATAATTTTTTTTCTTTTAGAAAGTTCTTACTCATTCTCGTTCACGAGTTGTTTTACAAACTCTTAAAGAAGCTGCTAGACAAAATAAACATTTCCATGTTTATATAACAATGTCAGCACCTGATAATAATGGGTAATTTATTAATTGATGAGTGATTTATTAATTAAATTTAATAATTGTTTTTAGTGAAGGTTTTAAAAGAGAATTAGAAACAGAGGGAATTGAATGTTCTTTAATTCTTGATGCAGCTGTTGGTTGTATTATGGAAAAAATTAATTTTGTAATGGTTGGAGCTGAGGGAGTTGTGGAAAACGGAGGGATTATAAATAAAATAGGAACTTATACTGTAGCAGTTTGTGCCAAACAAATGAGAAAACCAGTTTATGTTGTTGCTGAAAGTTTTAAGTTTACAAGACTTTTTCCTCTAAATCAAAGTGATGTTCCTGATGAATACAAAGTGAGTTTTTATTTTTTTATATACTGTTCATTTATGAAATTATGCATTAATTACAGTATACGAAAAGTATGAGAAATGGTGACATCACAAAACAGCATCCTTTGGTTGATTTTACTCCACCTGAATTTATCAGTCTGCTATTTACAGATTTAGGAATTTTAACACCAGCTGCAGTCAGTGATCAACTGATTAATTTGTATATGTAACATTTTTCCATAAAGGGTACATCTCCTTACTTCATCTTAATAAAACTTCAACATGCTTATATGTAGATGAGATTTTTATTAAAACTCAGTCAAAACTGTTAATTATAATCGATATACATAATATAATTCTATATATACTTTTCACGTAACAAACATATAACATGCTATGCGAATATAAATACAAATGGCTAAAAATAATAGACTTTATCAGATTCAAAAATATGAATTTATTCATAATTTATATATATTTTTAGTTTGTAAGTTAATTTTGTATTAATTTTATTAATGGCGACTTATTCATCAAAAAAATCAACAACACAAATCACAGTATTTAAAATACAGAGAGAGAAAAATTATAAAGAAAGCTTAAAGGAGCAGATAAAAAAATATTGCCATATGTGTAATTGTTTTCAAGACATTTTAAGTCTTACAGAAATGAAACTCTAAAAGCTGCACATAATGTATCGACGACTGTGTAAATTTGTTCGAAATTAGGTCGATTTTCCGGTTGATATTCCCAACATCTTAACATTAACCTGTACATTTCATCTGGGGTATGTTCCGGAGCAGGCATTCGATATCCTGCATCTATACTTTCTCTAGCTTTTGAATTACTCATTCCAGTATAAGGTGTTCCTCCTCTTGAAAAAATTTCCCAACACAAAATACCATAACTCCACACATCACAAAGAGAGGTGTATTTTCCGAAATTTAAAGCTTCCGGCGCCGTCCATTTAATCGGGATTTGTTTCATCCCATCCGAAACGATGTATTCCTCTTCTTCCCTCGACATTCCGAAATCCGAGATTTTTACTGTATTTCCGTACCCCACGAGACAATTCCGTGCGGCTAAATCACGATGAATACAATTTTTTGATTCTAAATATCGCATTCCAGCCGCTGCATCCAAACACATATTCATTAATTGATTTTCAGTTAACGAAGATGCTTTTTTACGTAAAAAATTTAATAAGGAACCTCCTAAAAAATTGTTTATTAACAATGTTTAAGAAATTAAATAAAAAACAAACCTGGAACCAGCTCCATAACAATCATTATAGGTTGCTTCTGAACACATATACCAATTAATTTAACTATGTTTGGATGATCGTATTGCTTTAATATGCGCCCTTCTTGTAAAAATTTCTTTTTGTGCTCGTCCGGAAGGGTTACTCTGCATGTTTTAACCGCAACCTCTTGGTTTGTGCTTTTTAATTGTGCTTTATATACATCTCCAAAGTTTCCCTTATAAAAATAATTAATAAATTAATTTTAAAATAAGTTATTACAATTTGATGATTTTGCATTTTTAGGTTAGATCGTTTAATTTTTCAAAATACATTTTTTTGACAAGATTTATACACTTAATTAAAGATAACAAATTATGTTGCAAGATAATTTGGAATTATTTCGGTTTTAAAGAAATTTAAAAGATAAAAAAAATATTTAAAAAAAAAATTGAGGTTATGTTATCAATTTACTAACATACAATGACTCGCAAAAGTTTTCGTACACTCCTTTATATAACACAAATAAAGGTTTATAACTGAAATCCATTCTACCAGTTGTTAATTTTGTAGTAGATAAACAAATTAAAACCTGAATTTGTACTTTTAAACTGGTTTTTTATTTAATATACTCTAATAAAGTAGTTTTATAAATATAAGTGTAAGACTTATATTAAATAAAAAACCAGATTCAGGCTTTAAATTGTTTACCTACTTCATAAAAAAAGGTATAAATATGTATACATTGAAAGTGTATTTTAAATGAGATAAAATTACATACCCTTCCTATTTTATCTAATAACATCACATCATCATTATTAAGCTCCCAGCGTTCTCTCGGTATTGGTTTATGTAAAATAGCCCCTGATCTACTTGTAACAGGAAGACCACTACTATATTGATAAAGAATAAGTTCTCTTATACTTGGAAAAGCTGGTCCTTCAAATCTATAATGTCCCTTAAAATAGATTATTTGTTTTTATTAAGGCAATTATTGTTGTTGTTAACATACTTCTGTAGTTGTTTGTACGATGAAATGTTTATGTCCACTCCAACAAACTGATAAAACTGTTTGGCATTCATCGTTTCTCGTCGTCTCTCTAACCAAAAAATCACCATCTTGTGTTAATAATCTAACAACTTCTTCACGAGGTAAAACTCCATGAAACCATTCTTCGTCAACTAACGGTTTGTTTGTGCTTAATGAAACCTAATAAAATAAATCGCATAATTATTTTTTTTAATAACATTTTTAATAAAATTATTTGAATTGGGTTATTTTTTCTACGAAAAGCGTTAATTTACAAAGTAAAAAAAATCGTACTGGATCGTTTCCCTCACTTCTCGTTACGGAATCGCGCCTACCCTTCGTTCTAGGGGGCGCAACCGGCGATGTGGGTGCTGATTTTCTTCGAAACGGTTTTCGTAACGCGTTCATAATTCTATGGTGGCCAAAAATCGTTTTGTGAATTAACGAGGACTGTGAACCATCACCCTGGAAAGGTTTTGTTAGTATTTTTATTCTTACTACAACCATCACCTTACTAAAAATTACTTTTTTTGTTAATTTGTTTCAACAAATTAAATTAAAATCTAAGTATAACATTTTTTTGATCAATACCTGTTCACAAGGGTTGTTAATAAAACCGGAAGTATCTGATATATCTTCTAAACCAGGTGGAACTTCTTCACATCCTAAATCGTTGAGAGCACTCTTTATTAGTTCCATTTGTTTCACCATTTTTCTTTCGTGACATTTTAGCTCGTTGGCTTCTTTCTTTTTTGTGTCGGGTGCGGAAAGTCGATTTTCGTTGATTGTTTTTCCGTTCGCAACGTTTTCGTTTGGAGTGAGGGGTATTCGCTTTTCTTGATTCTCTTTTATGCTATTTTCGAGTTCCGTTAGTTTCGATTTGAGCCACTCCACGGTTAAATTATCAACTGTTAATTTATTTGGGAGAAGTTTTCCAGCTGTATCTTCAACTAAACATTCTTCAAAGGGAAATTTAACTGGTTCGGTTGGGGTTGTTTTGTGTTTTTCTGTGAAATCGTTGTATTCTTCGGATGGTTTGATCTTTTCTAAACTCGATTCAATTTTTTTTTGGATTTCTCGGAATTTTTCTGATGTAAAATCTGAGTATTGAACGACGTCCGATAAAACTTGGCGCCTAAAAATTATAATTAATCATAAAACTTATCATTTATTATTTACAAGACTTACCAAGCTGATATGAACGTTTCTTGTACGCTTTGTTGATGTTCTAAAAGTCCTGGTAAAAGAACTGTTCGAAAATCTCTTTCAAATTCGGCGGCTTCGCAAAGTAATAAAACGTATTCGTTGTGGGTTAAATGTAATTTTCTGCACGCTTTTTGATATTTATCTCTCACTTCATCCAGTTTCCTGCCTCCTCGTCCAGCTAAATTAAGTAACACAACAAAAATTACTCGAATAATTTAATATGAATGGGGTACAGTATTGAAGCGGTATCTTAAACAGTCTTTTGCATTCCTTACGGACCTTGCGGTACGAATAAGATTAGCAGTACAACATTGTTGGCGTGATTTCTTAGTATCACTTTTTTTTAAATTAATTAAATTAAAATTCGGTTAAAATTGCTTTTTAAACCAAATCTGCGATTAACACCACTCGGAAAAAGACTATTTTTGCGAACTCAACCGCTCTGCTGTGTGCCGTCCTGTAGTATTTTTAGCTAATACCGCAACATTCGCAGTGAGTTTTGTCGTCAATGCAAAGGTTAAATCATCGTTGCGTTAAAAATAACAAATAATCTACTACTTTTTTTCTATCGGCATAAATCACGTAATTAAATAGTAATTTTTCTATGTTATTGTACTTCGATGCTAAAAATATCCGTTATATATAAATCTGTTACACGTTGAGTTCATTCACGACGCCAAATTCCAACACCCAGTTTAATTATACTTACACTTCACATAGTGTTCTTCAAACCTAGACCTCATCAACTTGTAAAGTTCTAGATATTTTTGATACTCAGTTTTTTTTCTATAAACATCCTCTTGAAGCTATAAAAAAAATGAGTGATTATTTATTATGATTACCTATTTCATTTTGTTGTTGCCAATTTCAAAATAATATTAAAAGTTAATGTTAACAGGTGTTTATGATTTAGCAACTTTTGGTAAAGTGAAAAGTAAGGAAATTCCGATTGCACGACGAGCGATTTTTAAAAAGCGCCGAAAGCGATTTATGGCAGCTGCTGTCGTCCACGTACTTTCCATTGCAGACATTTAGAAAGCTATCAGAACACTCTCCGTCTTTTAACATCTTCGAGAAGAACAAGGAAAAAAAATGTGGGCGCGGAAAAATCCATTAGATTTCTTTCAGCTTTTAAAACAACTTTATTAATTATTTTTATTAGTAACCTTCAATTTAAAAAGATACTTTAAAGAACATTTAAAAAGAAAAAAACAATTTTATAGATGTTCCATATGATTTAAAGTCTTGGGTCTGGTTTACTGTAGGTGACCTGTATTTGACTGAGATAGTTTGGGTTGTATCTGGTTTTGGTGTGAATCTACTGGTTTGATTTTAGCTTGGGAGTAATATGATTGAAGTTTATCATCTAAATCCCCGGTTCTAACACCATGATACCTAAGATGGTCAAGATGCTTATCATTAAAATTGAGAGAAAAAGGTAAAAAAGGTTATTGATTGACATGAAATGACTCTAAAAATAGATAACATTAGATGGCTACTATAATTTAGGTAGAAACTCAAAGAGAATATGTTTACGACGATTATAGAATCATTAATGACGTATGGGTCAAAAATGTGGGTGAGAGACAAAGATACAATTCGAAGATTGCTAGCAGCAGAAATGATGTTTTGGAGAATGAGGAAATAAGAAGAAGGAAGGCACAAAACTCAATAATAGACACTATAAAGGAAAAGCACTGGCCAAATAGAATAGAATAGAAATTTGACATTTATTGTTGTTGTCATTTCAATTAGTGTCGCCAACTATTATTTTTTATAACAAATTTTTTAAATTTAATTCTTTTTTTCATGTAATCGTTTTGTGACCTCCACTGAGGTGTATATAACCGTTTAGTCGTTACACTCTTTCTCGTGTTCTTCTTCGTTGTCGTCCCTCTTCTTACTCGTTCGTTTCGCGGTAGTAAAGAGTCAATGAACCGACCGGTTAAACCGTCAGCTGATGACCGTTTCGGTTCGGTTTTGCTGTAAGTAGCATCCTCCTCGACGTCGTCGTGGTCGTCTTGGTGGTATATTTCGCGACGAAGAAATCTGGGTGAACCGACGAATTCAGATTGTGGTAGTATGTGAACCCGTTTTCTTGAAGACACGGTTCATTTAAATATAAGTCACGAACGAGAAACGGGCTCTCAGTTCGACTTCGAGTCGGAATTGATGACTCCAATTGCCTCCAATTAAGCCTCATAACGCCCCATTTAAGGTCCTTAGATATGCGAGTGTTGGAGGACTGGTTTTCGGTTTGAATTAATCGAAGAAAACCAAAGATGATTTTGAAAAAAATCTTTTCAAATCGATTATGTAATGTGGAAATGGAAAAATACAGAAATAATAAAGGTTAATGTTTAAATATGTTGCGGAAATACCAATTGCCTCGAAGCATTAAACTTTCATCAAGTAACAATGACTTGAACCCGCTTCATCAAACTTAAATAGGAAATATAATAAACGGTTATGAAGCTTATGGCGAGATTACAAAGAGGCACATATTCCTCGTCGTCGTTGTTGGAAATAAATCGAATAATTACGCAAAATCGAGACCGACTTTCACTGTGTTCGTTGTTGTTGTGACCCTCAGAAAACTACTATTTGTACACCGTTCTAGCTTATTAACTATTCGTATTAATATTTTAATATTTTATTTTCAAGATCAATCGGATTTTTTTCATCTATACGTTATAACATAATATATATCCAAAAATATTTTTTGTCTTTGTTAAAATAGGTAGTGAATAAAATGTGGTGCCCATTGTGTTCGAAAGGAGATTTCAAGGTCCTTTGTGGGTACCTTTGCAGGAGATTGGTACATCTTCCACGAAACCCATAAGATTCCGTTTGTTGTCTGCCGAAATTTATTCATGTGTGTAGTTCGTATGCAAATTTAATGGTCTTTCGTTTCGAACGATGATGGAACCACACCATTTTTTAAAGTTTCTTTTTTTTTTTCAGTTATTTTTGTGAATAAATCTAATCATTATCAATGTAAATGTTAGTTAAAACGCCTTTTTAGATTAGATTATGAAATTGGCTACGTTTTTATAAAAAAAAATCAACAAAAAGAAGTTTAGAGATGGGTTTTAAACTGTGTTTCTATGGAAAATATTATAAATAGAATCTACCTGTGAACAGTTTTGTCCTTCTTGGACGGTGCAAAGTCAAGGATACAGACCGAAAGTCTAGACTCTTTTCAGTTTGAGTCCGGGATCGACCGATAATTTTTTTTGTTGTTGAACTGTAAAACCACCAAAGGCACGTGACGTATTCATCTGAACCGTAATACGCTTGGACGATTTCACCAAGCGATTTTTAATATGCCATTGTTATAGGCAACGATTTTTTATTTTTAACAATTCTTGGAAAAAGAATTTTGCGTTTGAAAACAAAAAGTTAAAAATCAATTGTGTGATTTATAAATGGTATAAATCTTTAAAAACAATTTTATTGTTTCCACTTTATAAATTGTTAGTTGTCAAACAACAAGAAAAGGTCAATTTTAGTGTTTTGTATCTTATTGTTTTTCATCGTTGTACTTAAAACGAAGATGTTGTTGGTATGAAACACACGTGCGAATACATTTGTCGGTTGACAAACGTGATATTACCAGCATACACAATAGATGTTTATATTTTTCGAGGTAATATCAGATTTTTTCGTTAAAAATTAATCAAAACGATTCGATTTTCTTCGCGTCGCTTCGGTTGCGACTAATTTATAAAATAAAAATCCTATTTTTATCGCTGACCATCATTATTATGGATGCGGAAATGTCTTAATTTATTTTTCGAAGGTTGCGTAAACTTTTTATAACTTTCATTTAAAATAATCTAATTGATTTAAAAAATACAATCAAGATGTTTGTGTAAAAACCAAAAGGAAAAATGATCCTTCTCGAATCCTAAACGCAGGGAGAATAGCGGTTATTTTTGTATTGGTCCGCTCTAGTGGCCTAAATAAACCTCCTTATTGCAACGCACCTTCAAATTTTATTTATTTAAACCGATTTTTTTTAAGACAAGAATTTAAAAATGGGGAATAATAATTTTTGGGGCTGTCAAAAAGATGATAACGGACGATTTAGATTTAGTGGAAAGCGGAAATATACTAATGTTATCATTTCCGCTGCCTTTTTTTACTGCTTTTGTTGTAGTTGATGGCGCTTCGAAAACACATCAGTACGGAGAAGTATATTCTTGTATTTAATTATTTTTCAAAAAAATTTTCCAATATTGGTGCTTTCATTTAGTATTGTCAATGGAGTTAAAATCGAAATGCTAAACTAGATCTACAACGTTTACATACAAAAATTACCAATGTTTAAGAAATCAGTTCCACCAGGGAAGGTAACAATATAACAATTTGTTGGAACAAAATTGCGACAACCTGCAACTTACTGATCAAAACGTGAATAAGATATGTACTACATATATTCAGTAAGGATAGTACATGAAGAATTAGTCGTACTAATAAATTGTACACAGCAAAACTTAGAATTCTGATTGTGGCTGAAGTCATTTGCGGCCGAGGCGCTACAATAGAGAGCGACCGAGAGTGGAGACAATACATCACGTCATTGTCATACAAGTTATATACAGCGACGCTTCGAATTCCGAGTGTAGCCGAGATCGTTTGCTGGCGAGGCGCTACAAATGAGACCGTTTAAGATAAAACATGATAATGTCTTGAGCGTAACTGCTCTCCAGCGTAATAATATGAGCGAAGAAGTGAAAGACAAAAATAAGCACAAGAAAATCTGAGGTAGTAACATTATCTGGTAGATAATAGAAATTAAAATTAGGACCGGAAACGCAGTAAGAAAAAAAAAGCCAGAATCTCTATTGCTAAATCAACAAGGGATAATCTAGGAAAAAGAGAGAGATACAAACTGATAATGATAATAATGAAAGTAATAGAACGACAAATTACATATACAAATAAAATAAACAGAGAAAGGATTGAAAAATTGATATAACCGTTATTTGAATCTTGTAGCTTTACGTATGACATAACATACTTTGTAAATATTTTGCGCTTAGATAAGATTGGTCCTATGTAGGTTTGAAATGTTTGAGTTCAAACCTGACTATATGCTTACAACACTTTTTTCTAATTTGAAAATGTTCTCCATGTTATTACCAAGCCTTATACAACCTAACTTCTATTCAGCAGATATTTAAGTAGTTATGATGTTTTAGTACCAAGATATAACAAAATATATGTTTATGCTTACATGAGTAAACTGTTGTGCAATCCTCGTATGTTCCTCTTGATACTGTTTCCTCGCCTTCCTCTTTTCCGTATACATCCCATTCAAGCTATCCAAAGCTTTCGATTCGATCGAATCGGCATTCTGCTTAATTAATTTTCCAACGCTATCCAATTCCTCCATCATTCCTTTCCAAGCTGTCGTTATCAAACTGCCGCTAAGCTCATCGCACCGGTCAACTTTTAATCCTTGCGTCGCAACTGAACTTAACGCCAAAGCATATTCCCTATCACAGCGAACTTTCGACGTTAAACATCGTTTCATCGTTTCCAAAAGGCGAAGTTCCGCGTCTTGTCGCGAAAGGAGCGCCTCGTGGGCGCTCCTTCCTTGTAAGTTCGTTGAAAAACCCATTTAATGAATGGGTGTTATCTAATAATTATAATAATCGGATTTAGGAACATTTGGATCTGAAATAAATCAAAAAATTCATCAATATGACATTTTGTTGTTGTTTTAAGTTGAGAAATTATTGCGCGACGTCTTAAGAAAGGTAAAAAATGACGTCCTCTACATTCTTTTGCTTTTTATGTCTTTAGACAAATAGACAAAGAAGAAATGTGATTAATTAAATTAATTAAACGAAATAATTTTATTAATAAAAGAAAATAATAAATAGGAGTAGTTTTTTATTGTTGTGGAGTTTGTCACGTTTGTTGATGTAAAATATAATTTATTTGTAAACTTGGTGAGGAATGAAAAGTGAAAAACTCTGTTGAAAAGATGTATAAACTGTGTCGGAAGCGTTTAAACACGTTTAAATTCACGTAAATACAATAACTAATTAGGACGCCTACCCAGATTAGAATTATTTCTCGCAAATTTTTATAAAATGGAACTTTTAAGTCCCACGTTCTTTGTCACACCTTCAAATGAAGAATTTTAAACCTTCCTTTTTCTCCTCAATAACCTTTAATTAAAAGATCACAAAAAAAATTAAACACAATCACAACAACAAAATTAAATTTTACAAAACCACCTAAACTATTAAAATTGCTTTTAAAAACGTTCTATTTACATAAATTTTATAAAAACTTAATGTTTATACAACACGGGACTTTTTATTTTAATGTATTGTCTTGGAAATTAATTTTTTTAACCAATACGTCACCGATCGCGGCCCGTGCGAAACTAAAACCTGAAAACTTTATTTTCTTACCTTTCATAGACGCGCGAGTGAGATAGCCTCATAATTTAATGAGATAAACAAAGAAAGATTTTATTCGAATTTTGGTGGGGTGGATTTAATTCCATTTTTTTAACTCCATCTATTGAATAAGAGTTAAAATAATTGAAATGGTTTAAAAGGGATCTTCATTTTTAATCAAAACTATTAATTCAAATTAACGCAAATTATTTAATAAAAATAAATCTACTTTAATTCGGTTAATTATTAATTAAAATTGAAAATAAATTAAAATTTAGTGGTTACGTAACAACTTTTATTTCGCCCCCTACAGGACACTTAACGCAATCTCTTCCTGTCACATTTTGACGTATCAATAGAACTTAACATCTCTCACATTTCTTGATTTTTCGTCGAATCCGGTTCTAATCCACTCTTCAAAATGCAAGGAATGAGCATATCCTCCCTCAAGAAACATAGGGCGGTAAGTTTTGGATAAAAAAATCAAAAAGATTTTACTTAAGAAATAAAATGCCAGATAAGGTTATGTAATAACTATTTATAAATAATTTGGTTTATACTAAAACGCAATAACATTTTTATTTGTAGTTGATCCCTTTGTACTTTTGCGTTGGTTTGGGGTGCGCCGGGGCCGTATTTTACACCGCAAGATTAGCGTTGCGCAATCCTGATGTAGCATGGAGCAGAACCCCCGGACAAATTTCAAACGAAGAGTACAGAGATAAACAATACAAGGTGATTAATCCAATAATTTAAACGTTAATTAATAATTTTATTGTTTCAGTTTTATTCTCCCAACGTTGATTATTCTAAATTGGAAAGTAAAGCTCCGAAATTATAAAAAAATTGTTCCAGGATTAGTAAAAATAGATAAACGTTAATAAAATGTATTAATAAGTTGTCCTTTGAGCCAATAAAACTTATTCTAGGTGATTCTTTGTTGCTTAATTGAATTTTTGGTTGAAATAAAAATCCCTTTTTATAAAAAAAACATTTAATATATTTTTTTCTCTTGAATTTATATAATAAACACGTTTTAAATTAATATACTTCGTTTCAGTTTTACATTTATTTCATTTACACCTAGCGCTAAGTGCCTCAGTATCAACAGTTGCAGGAAAAATATAATTATTAAAAAAGGTTCACTTTGGTGAAAAAGGTTCTTATATAAAATTGTATAAAAATAAAAAATAGGTCGACTACTGAACTCGTCGAGTTATTGTAAAATGTTTATATTTTTCTCAAGAATTTCTCATTTTAAAAAGTAATAAATAAAAGATCCTATCAACGAAATAGCCTCAATTAGAAGAGAAGTAAACAAATGTGGAGCTTAAACCTGAAATTATCTAACAAAAATCCTTTATATTTACATAGAATAGAATACATATTATGCAGGTTACATTTAAGTAAGCAGGAGGAAATCACATTTAAAGCTTTTTTCCTGTTACAACATTTATGTTTTTTTTTTATGGGAGATTAAAAATTAAAAAAATCTAATAAATGCAAATAAAACGAATAAAAAATGATATGTTTTATATCTCATGGTCATTTTCATCTACCTAAATACCTCTAACTTTCCTATTTTTTGTTTTGAACACCTAGATTGTAAAAGAATGTCGAAATTACCCTGATTTGTTTTAATAATTTACTAAATCATAAAGATACAACATTATGCAAATTTAGTTGTTGTATCATTTATTTTTGTTTAAAATTTGGCACCCAAAATGAAATCCATAACCAATTTTAATTCCACCTTAAATTAAAAATTAAACTAACAATTTTAATACTTGAAGGATCCAATATAATCAGAATGACCAATAACGATATTAGATACAATTAAATCTTCAATTTCCATAGCGTTCATCATTTGATCCCTTGTTAAAGAAACCTCATAGCTACTTTCGGGGGTTACAAAAACGACTTTTTGGCGCCGTGTTTGCAAAATATTACCGATAACCAGTTTGTGTTTATATTTGTTTAAAGAATCACGAGCTTTCGTTATCAAAATACTTTCATCAGTTTCTAATTTAAACGAAACAACGTAGGCTTGAGGTACCCAAAGACTCACAAGTGGTGCTAAAAGCTTTGGTACTAATTGTAAAGAGATTGTTGGAGCGCCAGCTCCAGATTGGATTTTATGTGTTGGCTGTAATCAAACATTTAAAAACAACATAATTAATAACATTTTTGTGTTACCATTTGATTTGAAGGAATATAAAAATCAGAAACGGCAGCTGCTAAATATAACAGTGCTTTTGTTCCCAACGGTTGTAAGCATTCACATGCCGATCTCAATAACCAAAAATAATCGGAAACGGTTGTAAAAGTTACATAAAGGATTTTACCATTGTCTTGGGCTACCTTATAATTAGCTAAAATTGGTGCTAAAACATCTACGCTATCTGGCTTAACTAGAATTAAAAAGTTTTTATTAATTCAGTTTTTAATGAATTTCTTTTTACCTGTTATAGTTGTATTTGGTCCCCTATCATTCAATTCCAGCATATCCATAAATTTTTGCCCATTGAAATGCCTAGTATAAGGCTCCAAAGATTTCAATCTGTGCATGAATATTACTGCATAACCATGTTCTAAAAAGTACTCAGCCGACGCAGCCCCCCTGGTCCCAGCACTAAAATTATCGACGAATCTAACCGTATTATGCTCTAATGGAACAGTTGTTCCACCACTCTAATCCCCAAAATAAAGATTTCAGTTAATATTTTAACCTTTTTATTTTATTGTTTCAAACTGTTGAACATAACCTTACTTTTTTGAGATTAAATTTTGTTGATACTTACGGTAACTAAAACGATTCTATCCCCGGATTTGTTGTGTCTATCGCAAAATTCTTTTAATAACATGCGATTATCTTCGAAATCACTTGGGGGTAAATGGGTAGCATAAAATTCTTCCCAATGTGAAGCCATTTTGGTCGCAAAGTAATGATTTCCACCTTTGGAACCGAGCGAGATGTTCCATTGGAATTTATTTCGTAATTATTATTGATTAAAACCATCAAAACGTTTTATTTAACTATTTAACAGCTTTTTTTTATATAAAATTTTTATAGATTTTTTGTTTGCCATTCAATAATGTTAAACGGCTTAGTTTTAATAATATGTAAACAACTTATATTTAACTTATAATATTCATTTGTGAATATTAAATATATCATATTTATGTTAATTTTAATAAAAATCAAAAAAAAATTAACCTCACTTTTCAAATTTAAATTTTTATGTGCGCCATCTAATAAGACATTCACACACTAATTATGAGAATATATTTTCGTTTTAGATTGAAATATAAAGCTAAATATCGGTAAATACCGTTATTTATTTTATCTTCTTACATTAATTTATACGTTATTTATAATTATTCTATAAATATTCAAATTGGATTCGATATCACCGCCATCTACTTCTTGTTAAGAAATGAAACGCAGCTTCCTTCAGTACTTCAGTACAAACTTTGAATTGGTGGAAATCGCACCAAAACGAACATAACCTCAACGTGGAGTTAAATTGAACGCATTTATAATATCAACAAATTGTTTTAAGTAGAAAAATGGATATGAAATATATTTTGGTGACTGGCGGTGTGATAAGCGGAGTTGGAAAAGGAGTTATTTCGAGTTCGTTCGGAACGATTTTAAAATCTTGTGGTATCGAGGTGACATCAATAAAAATTGACCCTTATATCAATTTAGATGCGGGCACATTCTCCCCGTACGAACACGGTTAGTTAAATATTAAAATATTTGTAAGAATACACGTGTTTGTAAGGTTAGAAAAACTAATAATTTTGATTATGTCAAATAATTACTTATTACATTACCAACAGTAAAAAATTAAAAGTTACTATAAATTAAAGTTTAAAAATTTCGGTTTTAATTATTTTTATAGGTGAAGTATACGTTTTGGATGATGGTGGTGAAGTTGATTTAGATTTGGGCAATTATGAGAGGTTTTTGGACATCACCTTGCATCGAGATAATAACATAACAACCGGAAAAATTTATAAAATGGTTATTGATAGAGAACGACAGGGTGATTATCTTGGAAAAACTGTTCAAGGTATTCAAATTTGTAATGAAAAGCTAAACAATTTAATCATTTCAAAATTATTAATCTTTTAGTTGTGCCTCATATAACAGACGCAATACAAGAATGGGTTGAAAGGGTTGCTCGTATTCCCGTCTCTGATTCTGGAGAAATCCCAAAAGTTTGCATTATCGAATTGGGGGGTACGATTGGCGATATTGAAAGTATGGCTTTCGTGGAGGCTTTTAGACAGTTTCAATTTCGCGTGAGAAAAGAAAATTTTTGTGTTGCTCACGTTTCTTTAGTACCACAACCAAAAGCTACCGGAGAACACAAAACAAAACCTACTCAAGCCTCTGTAAGGGAATTACGAGGACTTGGATTAAGTCCTGACATCATTGTTTGCAGATCTGAAAAACCAATTGATAATAATGTTAAGGATAAAATATCAAATTTCTGTCATGTTTCACCAGAACAGGTTAATACTTAATTGGGTATAATTCAAGAATCATCATGTCGCTTAAAAATCGACAATTTTTTTTAATCGACTCAAATAAGCTGTTACAAATAAAAAAAAATTGCGGAAACGTGTAAAATTGACCGAAAAATCACTTTAAAGTTTTGATGTGACGTCATCAACCCTGGTAATCATATTTTTTTGGCCGCAGATTTGGTTTAAACGCATATTTTCGGGTGAAATGCGGTTGTTTCTTAGGTTTTCGACGCACAACGACTAAAATGTTGTTGTTTACCATCTATAAACTAAAGATAAGCTAAATCTTAACCTAAAATCTATACTAAAGAGGAGGGCAGGGCATCTGCATACCCTTCTCTTTAAACGTTACATTTGGATCTACTTAATTTACTGATTTATTTCCGAATTTTGTGTAGAAATTCCACTCTGTGTTAGGGTAATTAACATTTACTAGTGCGAATTTCTCAAATATCGGGTTGGGCATGGAGCAGAGGGAGCGTTGTAAATTCTAGGTTGGGACTTCAGACGCATGGCTAAATCCGATTCTTTCTAGTTCTAGTGTTAGTTCTAGTTTTACACTATCACTAGAACTAACACAAGACCTAAAACTAGAAAGTATCAGGTTTAGCTGTGCGTCTCTTAAGGGTAAACCCAAGGTCTATAGAATATAAGGTTACCTAATCTCTAGTCTATATAAAATATATAAACCTCGCATCGTGTTGTGTTGTTCATAGAACCAGCTACGTCACTGATCCACCTTTCCCCTTAAAGGAGGAGATTCGACATTGGGTAACCTAATGTTCTATAGACCTTGGGCTAAACCTGAATGTTTCTAATTCTTAGGTCTAATGTTAGTTCTAGTGACAGTGGTAGGTAGCGCTAGCTATCACAAGATATCACTATGTCTATAATCTCACTTAGTTTAGTGAAAATAACTTTACTTTTAAGTTTATCAGATTGATTTTTTGCGTGGCTATAAAATAAACAATTAGGTGTAACATTGCATGTTCTACACGTTTCAGTACTTTCTTTTTATTTTTAACGTGTTTTTTGGGTCATTTCACATTGATAAAAAAAAATCGTCGATGTTTAAGCCACATGATGATTCTTGAATTTTTCCCTTAATTATTGAATCTAACCTAAAAATTTTTTTAAATTTAGGTTTTATGTATACCAGATTTATCATCAATTTATAAAGTTCCAATTTTCATGGAAACATATGGTTTAATTCAATATTTAAACGACCGTTTAAAATTATCATTAAACCCATTACTTAATAACCGCAAATTTATGAAACAATGGGTTGAATTATCAGATAAAATCGATAATTTGCGACACACTGTTGAAATAGCCCTCGTTGGGAAATACACATTACTTGAAGATTCATATACTTCCGTTACGAAAGCACTTCAACACGCCGCTAATCACTTAGGTTATAAAGTAAACATAACCTTTATAGATGCTTCGAAATTAGAACAGCAATCAGAACGCGATACTCCAGTTAGTTTCCACGAAGCTTGGTACCAAGTTTGTAAATCTCAAGGAGTTGTCGTTCCCGGTGGATTTGGAAACCGCGGTGTCGAAGGAAAAATAGCCGTTTCAAAATGGTGCAGAGAACATTCCATTCCTTTATTAGGGATTTGCCTTGGTTTCCAAACGGCTGTCATTGAGTTTGCTCGAAACGTTCTTAAATTGGATAATTCAAATTCCGACGAATTTGCTAAAGGTGTTCAACATCCAGTTATTATTGATATGCCAGAACATAATCCCGGGGCTATGGGTGGCACTATGAGACTTGGAAAACATACCACAGTTTTTAAAGATTCTGCTGCAACCAGTAAAATGAGTAAGTAAAAAGTACACTTATTAACCCTTTCGCGCCGACTTTCTTTTTGTCGCCCATATAGTATGTTAAGGGTCTCCAAAGGTTCCTTTATTTATCTAAAATCAAATTTGACTCTGGGACATATTGTCCCAACAGTTACAAATCTTTATTCAAAACAATTTTTATATAACAGTATATTGCACATGGTACACAAGGTCTTCCTTCGAAATTCTTTTTTCTGCAGCGAACATTTATGATTAGGAACATTTCTATGATTTGGTAATTCGTCTTGCTGGGGTTTTCTGGTTTTTCGGGATTTTGGGATTTTCTGGCTCTCTTCTTATTGGACCAATAGTCATGAAATGATGGTAGGTGATTGTAGCTCATCACTAGCATACACCTTGTTACTACCATGATCTCAGACGCATACGTTGCAGCACATTGTCTTGTCCGATTTTTCGCATTCTTAATGTTGATTCGTTTATTTGTATTTTTAGTAATGTACAAGAATAAACTTTTCGGAAATATTTGCAAAAAGCAATCAAGTTTGGATGAACTCCTATTCAGCTTTGCTAATACAATTGCGTTCCTAACTTAAGGATAGCTCTTCTGGGTTAAAAATGTGCAATTTTGTTGATATCATACTTTTGGAGTTGGAGCTCTTTATCCGAATCAGAAGAGCTATTTGATGAACCTTGATCTTTACGGAATTTCTTCCTCAGAATGCAATCTTCTTCGGAAAGATTGTAGATTTCTTCTTCCATCGCTTTCTGGGTTAGATATTTTTTAGCCATTCGCATTGGAAACAAACACAACCTATCCTGTTGCTATGAAAAAGCATTGCACACTGCACAAAACAAGAAGAAACGAAGGTAAGTGATCATATGATATCCCGACAACTCCCAAATATACACGACGACAGAAGTTTTTTAATTCCTCCAGAATTTTATAGGACATATACGTACCAATAGGCGCGAAAGGGTTAAGTTTTATTTATTTATTTATTTATTTTTGTGTTTATGTTTAGTGCGTTTATATGGTAGAAAAAAACAAATTGAAGAGAGACATCGACATCGTTACGAAGTGAATCCTAAGTATATAAAAATGTTTGAAGAGGGTGGTTTACAATTTGTTGGGGTTGATTCACGTGCTGAACGAATGGAAATTTTTGAATTATCCGATCAAATGCACCCTTATTATGTCGGCGTTCAATATCATCCGGAATATTTATCAAGACCTCTTAAACCTTCCCCACCATTTATAGGCTTAATTTTAGCATCTGTTAATAAATTACGATTATATCTTGCAAAAGAATGCGATGTTACGCAACTGGATGTGTGTAACGATTTAGGTTAGGATTTTAATTTTTTGATAGACATTTTTTTTTATTTATTTATGATTTTTAGATTCTCATGAAATGCAATCACCGAGACTTATGCAGGTTCCTTTAATGCAAATCGATGATGATTACGAAAATAGTAGCGGATATAGTAGTGAACCTCTTAGTGTTTCTTTAGATAGTACTTTAAGGCTAAATTAAGAATTTCTATTTTTTTATACATTTTTTTTGAGTTTAATTTTAAATATAATTAATAAATTTTTTCGTGACTAATTTCATGTTTATTTACAATATTTTGACAGTTTTAGGTTATGTTTGCTATTTTTGAGTCGTTTCTAAAAAAGATTTCCAAAAATGTTTAGAAAAACGAAATTTTTGTGTTTGTTTAAAAATAGAAACGCTATAGAAAGGTTATTTAACACCGATCAAAAGTCATTGGTACTCTTACACACGGTAAGATTATTTATAAAATTATAAAACGTGTTTCTTAAATGTCAAAATTTTTTTTTTGTAGATATTTAGACATGGGGATCGAACTCCTGATCAATCATCCTCATACCCTAGCGACCCTTATAAAGATCATGATTATTCACCATATGGACACGGGCAATTAACAAATGTAGGTAAAAATTTTAAAATGATAAAACTTAACCTCACAAAAATTTTAGCCTGGAAAATTGCGGGCTTATAAACTTGGGGAGTTTCTCCGTAACCGTTATGGATCGTTTTTGGGTAATTTTTACGTCCCGGAACATATAGACGCGTGGGCTTCCGATTTTGATCGGACAAAAATGACTTTGCAGTTAGTTTTGGCTGCGTTATATCCCCCGGAAGATCATCAAGTATGGCATCAAGACGTTAAATGGCAACCAATTCCTTATATATCTCCACCAAGAGATCGTGATAACGTTAGTTTATTAATTAAACTTGATTGATAAAAAAAAACCGTTTAAATTTAGATATTTTTAGCATTTATGTGTAATAAAAAAGCTTTGGAAGAATACGATAGGCATGTTAAAGAAGTAAGACAAGATATTTTTAAACCATACGAAGATATTATTAAATTCGTGGAAGAAAAAAGTAATTTAAAAATTACAAATCCGAGGGTGATGTTTGCGATTGCTTGTACGTTGGGTACTCAAGAAGCAATGGGGTTAGAATTACCAGCGTGGACGAAAAGTATTTGGCCCAATGATATAGAAGAAGTTGCGATGAAAGAATTTGATGTATTAGTTTCAAATCCGACTTTAAAATCGTTAGTAATCGGGAATTTATTTAAAAAAATTATTGAAGATACTCAAATGAAAATAACTGGAAAATCGAACCGAAAAATTCACATTTATTCAGGACACGATTTTACCGTTGGTTTATTTTTGAGAGTTTTGGATGTTTTTAAATCACATCACCCCGATTTTTGCGCGGTTGTTGTTTTGGAGGTGCATAAAGTTAATGATGAGTATGGTTTAAAACTTGTTTATCGTTCCAAAGAAAGTGAACCTTCGACGGAATTAATTATTCCAGGGGTGCAACATCCTATTGTTCCTTTTCAAAAGTTTAGGGAAATTGCTAATGATATGTTAACTAATAAATTAATCGCTAAATAAGTTTTCTTGAGCAATAAAATGATAAATTATTTGTTATTGAAATGATTTGAATTTATTTGTACCTTGGAAATCATTTTTTTTTATTATACAGGTGTGTCAAATGTCTGGATTAGCCAACAACTTCGCCATTTGTGGTTTTAAAGAAAAATGTTTCAAATACAAGTTTCTTTATTAATCGTCGCGCATTTTTTGGCGATATTTGCTTGTTTGATTTGTTACTATGGCAAGTAACATTGTTATTTTAAACGTTGTGGATGGGTAATTTGGTGTTCCTTCCAAGCAACCAATACATTTTCCTATATTTTAGATTAAATTCTTTTTTGTTTTTCACATGGACTTGCCAGCATAGCCTTGTGTCTAATGTCATGCCCAGGTACCTCGCTGAGTTAGCATGTGGGATCTGGGCATAATTTATTCTGATGGGTACATGTTGTTTTAATTGATTGGTGAAATCTACATGTACAGAGTTGTTTTCATTCAAATTGATACGCTAAGTTCTGGTCCAAGTATTTAATTTGTCCATAGTTGGTTGTTTTGGTTCACTCAATCTCGTGGGTTTCCCCTGCATTTGGTTCTGTGAAGATCAATTCGAGGTGTTCCTAACAAACAGTTCTACTTCTTCAGTTCTTATTGTTCTTATTAACTGTTTCAATGAGTCCTTTTGAAAATAAATAAAATAAAACGAATTTTTTTAACAATTTATTTATTTTTGTTGTTATTTTTTGTTAAAATAATTTTACAGTCGTTTAAAACTACTCGTGTATTGTGTACCTTGGTAAAAAGGATTTTGACGACGACGACAACGACTCGTTTTTCTAACAATTATTTATTTTTTATTAATAAACCAACCCCGAACAAAAATTGGGGTGGCGTACAAAGTTTTTTTTTCTTAATTTTATTTCTGCCTTGTTTTGCACGTGAGTGATATATTATACATGTATAAATACAACCTTAATATAAAGTACATTTTCTTCTTTGTCTAAAATTTTATTAATTTTATTTTTTGTATGGATTCTTATTAATTTGTCTTTTTTTAATTGAAAATCATCGATAAACGTGAAATAAAAATAAATTTATTGATTGTCCGGAAAAATACTTGTTGTAATACTTTTTTATTATTAAATTATGAAAATAACATTAAAATTCAAACGGTCCATCAAAGAAGCCTTTTCTAAAAATATCTCCTGTTAATATTTTCTTCTTTTTATATTTATGAAAAATATATTTACTTATATTATTTTTCTTTTAATTCTTCTCGCACTAACCTTATTTTTATATTTTATTCTTTTCTATCGAGTGTCCCGTTAAAGGTACGCAGCCGTTGTATCTCGACCCCTGTATCTCGTTGTATCTTCACCTCTTTTACTTTTACACTTGCCTGTTCAATACCAAGAAATGAGAAAATTTGCTTGTAAAATCTTATCAATGTTGTTTAGAAGTATCTATAAGTGTGAACAATGACATTGAGTTTGACCGTTGTCGAGATACAGCCGTTTCGTACCTTTAACGGGACACCTGTATAATAATGTTCAGTAAAATATCTAATCAAAAAAAAAAAAATTTTTAATTAAAATACATTTACACAAAAATAAAAATGATATGTTTTTTTTAGTTGATTTAAAAACTTTTTGTTGCAAAAATTCGTTGTTTTTTTTTGAATTTTTTTTAAAAGTTTTAAACATTTATCTTTAACCTATTTTTTTGTTGTTATTTTTTAGAATAAATCGAGTGTTTATTCAACAAGTGCTACACAAACATTCAGGTTTTTTCTTGTATCTTTTATGTTTTTGGTTACATTATTAATTATTTACGTATACACCTAAAAAATAAATAAAGATTAAAATTTAAAACTTTTAACAAACAAAATCAGACCTAATTTATATCACAAATATCTATTTATTTTTTTCAACGTAACCTTAACATTATTTATTGTTAAAACACATTTATTCAATAATTTCTTTTATTTATTTGTGAGAAGTTAAAATTATTTTTCTGTATTGTTCTAAATCGGGCAGTACAATCTAACAGTTTTCTTTTTATTTAATTTTTTTAATTTATTAATATAGGTGTCCCGAAATATGAGAACATACCTATATACATTTTAGATTATTTCTTTTATACGAATTAAGTGATTAATCTAAAAAATGTGCTTTATTAAAGCTTTAAAGAAAATAATAAATTAAGCTTAATATAAATCTATTAATAAGCGTACAGTTTAAAAAGACACTTTACCGTCTTTTATAATTATTCTAATTATTTTCCTTTTTCTGCCTTCGTTAAATATTAATATCATTTTTTTAAGACACGTTTTGGATCATTTTCATCAACAATATCCTTTTCTTAAAACCTCGACGCTTTAAAATCCATCAAACCACAAATCCTTCCAAAAAACCAACTTATTTATTTTTTTTGTGTAATATTTCTTTGATCCACTTCGATTATTATTTTAACACCAATAATTTGTTTCCAAACTCTCTAAACCCCGGTATTATTATAAATATAAGCAACGGCGTTCTCTTGATTCTGAGGTTGCAATTTTTTACTAGAATTATTATTGTAAAAATGCGAAGATTTTCGCATAGAAGTCGACGATGACATTAACGCGACCGTTTCATAATAACGTAAACGACCGCAACATTTTCTCGACTTAATGATGCCCAAGAAACCTCGACGGAATTTTTTATTGAAAAAAGCGTACAGAATCGGATTGATGCAAGAATTTGAAGCCCCTAACCATTGTGCTATCGGCGTTGCGATCGGGAGAATTTCCTCTTCCCACGATTCGATTTCGCCACCCAATTTTATACGGGCAAAAATCACGTAGAGCGGCAACCAGGACAAAACGAATAAAATTACGACGGCTACTAACATTTTTACCACTTTTACTTTCGATTTTTGTTGCATACGTTCCATTTGAGCATCTTTGGTATCCGTTGGAATGTTACGTTTCCAAACCTAATAAAATAAAAAAAGATTTTTAATCATTACAGGTTTGGAGGTGAACGTAGACAAAGCACACATAGACAAAGATCTGGGAAAAAGAAAAATAATGAAGTACGGCTTCAAATATTGTCATTTTATTCTCCTTTTAAAATGTGTGAGTTATTTCTGCCATATTCTGTATATCGATTTTATTGGCCCAACAAGAAATTGATAAACTGATGCACTCCCAAAGCAAGTCTTGATGACAATATTTTTGAAACATACATTTTTGAACGTTTTAGTAAAAATTTGTTAGGGATGATTTTGTTGTGGACGTTTTGTTCCCTCCTTCATTAACCTTTGACCTTTAAACGGTCGATTCGGTAACGTTCCGAGGTCGTAAATTCAATCCTTCACGTGAAGGGGCAATGTGTGCGCCGGACACAAATTGCGCCTACGTAGATGTTTTTTTTGTCGTACTTTTGCCTCTTCTTCTCCTCTTTGACGTTAGATAAACGGGGTGCGACTATAAACTTAAATTAAGAGACCGTTACTAGGTCAATATTGTCGCTCGACGACGACGACGAGAAAATGTGCAAAGTAAACGTAACTTTGCGAAGGGTAAACTGTGTAACACACAGACGTCCCGGATGAGATGATCATTTTCCGGTTGGATACGCTTCGCTAAATAAGGGGATATTTCATGGATTTGATTTCTTTTTTTTCTTTAAGGTTGGGCTAAAAAAAAGATGAAGATTAAAAGAAGAAAAAAATAAAGAAATAAAGAAAACAAAACGAAAAAAGACCACGGTTGGAATTCTATTACCGTGTGCCCCTTTTTTCTCTCCAGCGCAACAAAGCGAAACGGAACGATATTAAGGATTTCTTTTTTTTTCAATTTTTTTTTTTAGATTTGCCTTGAACGTTAATTGGAACTCTTTTCTAGTAGCAGAAAAGTAGTAAAGGAACATTATCTTTATGCGTTGCTTTATTAACTTTTCGCGCAATTCGGCTAAACCCGAATATCACTAATTCTAGTGATAGTGTTAGCTCTAGTTCTAGTGACAGTGCAAGTGTAAAACTAGAACTGACACTATACCTAGAACTAGTAACATTTGGGTTTAGCCGTCTTTAGAGACGTACGGCTAAACCCGAATGTCTCTAGTTCTAGGTCTAGTGTTAGTTCTAGTGATAGTGTTAGCTCTAGTTTTAGTAATTATTGAGTGTTAGATTGTTGTATATTTTTCTTCTTCTGCTTTCTCTTGCCCCCCACTTATACCTTACAGTGTTGGGTTTTGGATCCATCTTTTATACATCTTCCTATCTCTGGTCATAGTCCGTACTTCGGCGAGTTTCTTCCCTCTTCTTTCAACCATCATCTTAATTTCTCTCTCCCATTGGGCTCTTGGTCTACCACGCTTTCTCTTTCTCTCTGGCTTCATGTTGAACATTATCTTACTTATCTTCTTTCATTCGAACCAGATGACCATACCAACTTAGTTGTTTCCCCTATACTTCTTGTACCGGGGGTTTAAGCTTAGTTCTTCTATGATGTTTTAGTTCCGTACCCTATCTCTTCTGGTTTTTCCCAATATCTTGCGTAGGTACTTCATCTTTGCTGCTATTATTTTCGATTTGTGCTATTCCAACATCTTTCAAGTTTCTGATCCATATTTGATAGTAGATTGCACTTGTTTTTATTGTTCTGTATTTCCTAACACTAAACCTAGAACTAGTGTTAGCTCTAGTTTTAAGTTATATGGATTCATCTTTTGTGTAATGTAATGTAAAGTTAATTTTCTCGATTTTGATTATAAAATTTAATTCCAAATTGGTGATGTTGCGTTAAATTTGTAAATTTAAAATGGTGGGGTGGATCGTGTTGGGTTTTATGGGATAAATAAATAATTAAATGGTTCGCGGGGTGGTTCCCGTTATCTCGGTGATATTTACTGCGTATTGCGGCGTACCTTTTTTCCATTAGCCATCGCAGCCGTTCGGTGGACTATTTATGTTGGGACGTTTTAAAAATCAATTTAAACCGTGGGCGTTAAATTAACAGCCCGAGGACAACTTTATTTACCTTGATCTAAAATTAACACGACGAAATAAATTTCAAGTAAATTTTTGAAATCAATTTTTTATGACTCACGCCATATAAAATGTTAGATAAAAATTTCGTGTCATCCGGTATCAATAACGCGACGGAAGGAAACTCGTTACCCATCTTCGTGGTATTCGTTTTTGGCAATATGCAAGGCATGCTTTCGGAAACTCTACTCAAGGAACAGATTAAATTTATAGCCGATCTAAAACGGATCAAGATCGACCCTCGCTGCCCTCCCGAAACTCTTCGGAAGGTTCGCCATATAACTCACCGATTTTATATAGAAACGTTCAATAACTGTAACCACGCGATCAAACCGATATGAAACTTTCATATTAAAGTTTACGTCTTATTTCGGCTTAAAATGTTTTTGTTTCATCTCAATTTTACGAAAAAAGAATTAAAAATTACCTTAATCCAAATGAGCACGTAGCACATGGTGATTAAAATCATCGGCAGGATGTAACAAAAAACCATGTTTGCGATCAAAAAGTACATGGCCCCGTTCCGGGGGTTCGGCCACACTTCGATACAGAGTTGGACATCGGGTGCATCGCTGAAAATCACCACCAAATCGAAAAAGATGGCCCAAGGGATCGTAGTTGTTAATGCGATGAACCAAATAAACATTATCATCAAACGAGCTCGACGTTTCGTTATTTGACATTTCAACGGCCACCAAATAGCTAAAAATCTAAAATAGAAAATAAAAAATTTAATAAAAAAAATGGTATTGTTGAAAGGTTAAGGGGGTGTCGTAGTAGAAGCCCCACGTGCACCACGTTACGTTTTAATGATATTCGCGGCGCGTTGCCGCCCCCCTAACATGGAGCGGCCGCCTTTTGGCTTCCATCCAAAACTTTAACTTTGTAATAACAAGGGGGCACAAACAAGTATCTGTAATTGAAATAACAACGAGAGAGGCGGCCGCCTGGTGCTCCCAAACGCAAACCTCCACCACTTTTAATTGCTCGGCACGTAACGGGGTATGTCAAATCCCTAGTCATTTTCGTAACGAATATGAATTATTATTTAACTTATTTAAAACATAAAAAATGTCAGAATGTTGTTTCATTTCATTAATGTTTTACAACATTATTATTTATTAACTTAATACACTAACAGAATATGAATGCAGTAACCATAGAATGCACTTGCACTATCCCACATAAAATGCAACATAGCTTAATAATACAGGCATTGGATAGTTTTGCTTGGAAAAGGTGACGTCCTTATGATAACTCTGAGTCTCTGTTTTAAGAGACGCACGGCTAAACCCGAATGATTCTAGTTCTAGGTCTTGTGGTAGTTCTAGTGGTAGTGCTAGTGCAAAACTACAACAAACACTAGACCTAGAAACGTTCGGATTTAGCCGCACGTCTCTCAAGACGGCTAAACCCGAATGATTCTAGTTCTAGGTCTAATGTTCTAGAATCTAAGGGCCCATATCTTCGTTATCTAGAAAAATAGCGAAAAACTAAGCACACGGTTGGAAAGCTTGGTCTTTTCTATATCTTAAACCGTGCTTTCCTCCGCCGATATATTAATAATAAGAGCAGAAAAAATAAGAAACGACACACTACATTTTAGTTCTAGTTTTACACTTGCAGTGTCACTACAACTAACATTAGAACTAGAAACTATTGGGTTTACTATTCATTAGTGAGATATTTTTCACGAAATAAAAATTTGTTAATTTGATGTATTATCAAAACTTTCCGATAATAAAATCGTGGTAGTTTTGTTTCATGAAAATACGGGTTGATAAAATTAAAACAACTAGGAGACCAGCGAAGCAGTCAATTTCGAGACGATTGAAGCAATTTGAAGAGAGAAACCGTCCAGAGATATTCGATTTCCGTGTAATTGGAAATGAATTTGCTCTCTCGGTATCGGACTATCGATTTTCCTTTGGATGTCCTGTGTGTCCCATTCTGACCGTTTAACAGTCTCATTGTCAGACAGGCTGCCCACTGTCCAATTACGAACGTTGTGCAAACTCTTTTCGAAACCCAACAAACAATTTTATTTTCCATTTTTTCGCCTCTCTCGGTTTTTCCGTTTTACCAGTTAATTTCTAACTCATCCTCAGTAATTAGTAGCGGGTTACCAAAGTCATAAAGTTTAGAAACTACTAAGCAAACCCAACCCCACTTTGCCACTACTGTCCCTTTGTTAGGTTTACTAAGGGACTTTGTAATTTGAGTTTAAAACGCTTTATAAGCTACGTGACAGCTTAAAGCTGCATTTTGATGGGGAAAAAATCAACTTTCTTAAACATTAATTTAAAATTCCATCTGGATGGTAAGTTTAAGCAACTCAAAATTCAAATGAATGCGAAGTCAACACAGTAGGAAACGCAAAATAGACGATAAGAAACAAACTTATACTTGCAAATATTACAAAACCCCGCGGAAAACTTGAAAAGATCAATAATTTCAACTTATTTTCTTCAGCTTATTAAAACTTCAATTTTTTTCAATTCAATTTAGTTGCCCCCTTTGTATTATTATTCTGGATGTAGTACATTGTGTACGTTTTGTCATGTGACATTGTGGCGTGTGTGCTGAAACGTACAAAAGGGGCGGGCAAGAATTACGACCGCGATGATTTACGCACACACCGGGGCCCCTGCTACGACCGAATGAAATTGAACATTTTTCACGGACGCAAAACCCGGAGCCAACGTTATGTTATTTTACGGCGCGCGACTGGTTATTTTTTTATTATTTTTTATTGTTTTCAACTAGAACGCGTTTTATTACGAACATAACCTATTTTTTTTTTATCGATTTTTTTTCTCTTACCTGTCTAAAGAAACAGCTATCAAACTGTATACAGAGGCGGCTACAGAAACACCCTGTATGTAAGGAACGGTTTTACACATCCACCAACCCAAAACCCAAGCTGAAACAAATTAAATAATAACAAATAAATAATAATTATTTAAAATTAAAAATTTAGTAAAAAGTAGAGATCTTTTTTATTTAAGTAATATACGTATAGATGGCTCTTAATTTTAACATGTATTTATATAAACTTATTTTTATATTAATTTTATTAAAATCAACGAAAAGACTATGTAAAATGGAATATTTAATTCCAGTTATACCATATATATCATTTTTTGAATTAAAATTTAAACAATTTATTTATAATTGTGATACTTTGTTACCTACATTCACATCACATTATGACATTAATACAATTTAATCAAAAGTTTTTTAAAGTCTAATAAAAACTTTTAATTTTAATGTAAAATAAAAATAATTCAGGTATTTACTATTAATTTTTCATTTAATTTTATGTATTAAATAACTTAAATCATCTTATTTAATTAGATCAATAATTTTAATCGATAACATAAAAGTAAGGTTATGTTGTCATTAACCTATAACCTCTAACATATTTTTATTTAATCTTTCAGCTAATTCATGAAGAGGCCCTTACACTTCATTGAAATGTCTTCAAATAAAAAGCCGAATTTGGTGGAATCAAACGACATTGTAAATAACATCAGGTTAAACCCAATTAATCACAGAAAATCAACACCAGGTGATCTAGAAGCTTTAACGAATCAACTTGAAAATTGCGAAACTTTCGTACAAACCAACGCCTGTAATAAATTAAGAGTCGTCGCGCAACAGATGCAAGCTTTAGCCACACAGGCACAAGAAATAATCGAAGAAACGAAAAGAAATCATGAGTTGAACCAAGTCGCTTGTAATTTTGTTAAACAACCTGGTCACATTTATCATTTATATAAAAAGCCATCCGGATTGTTATATTTTGGAATGTTATCGCCTGAAGAATGGGTAAGTTGCCCCCATGAATATGTAGATAGTTTTCGATTTGAATTTGATCGAACTTATACTCCGATAAACGAGATTAATAATAAAGATGGACTTTTAAAAATGTTAAAAATTTATGGAATGGATAAAATGTTGATGCAAATAGAATAAAAATGATTAAATAGATTATTAAATTAATCACAAAAGGATTTTATTTCTTATAAATTGATCTGATTTATTTTTATATTAATTTTATTAAAATCAACATATTATCATTTTTTGAATTAAAATTTAAACAATTTATTTATAATTGTGATACTTTATTACCTACATTCACATTACATTATGACATTAATGCAAGTTACCTCAAACAGTTTTGAGATTAATAGTAAATTAAGTTATTTATGTTATTAAATTAATCACAAAAGAATTTTATTTCTTATAAATTGATCTGATTTCCGTTGGGAAAATTGAAAAGCCTCTTCAATTTGAAACTGGGGGATGGGAAATTCGTTCTCATTTCTGCATTTTGACGAGGGAAAACCGCGGAGTCCTCGAAGGAGGATTCTAATCAGTGCCATCACCATCTCCAACCCCCTCACAATCCTTGAACTTGCCGAACCATTGGGTTTCTCTCAGCGATGGCGGTCCGGGAATGGTCCGATAATGAATACGGGAACAATCGACAAGGCCCCCCTTTGACATTTCCACTAAGATAGAAATTTCTTGGAGCCGATTCTCATTAATCGCGTGAATGTGTGATATTCGATCACAATTAAGATGAACTCGAGAAATCTTCTCATCAAAAAAGGAAATGGAAAAACGAAAAAGTTTTAAAATTTTAGGTTAAAGGTGGCGATATTTCATTTTGGAAAAGACCTCGACATTTGTACTAAATCAACCGGTTTCTCGCGGTCAATTTGCGGCACCCTAGAGAGAAAAATGTGATTGCGATCACCAACCAAGCACCTAGTTTCAATGGGTTCGCATTGTGTGTCTTAGATGGAAGGATGGGGGCGGTGGAGAAAAGACATTTTTCAAATTTGCGCAATTCGGTCGGGGACGCCAATGTTTTAACTGGAGGGGAAAAGCTATCGGTGGCAGCTTGTGCTCTTCCTCGTCCTTGGATTCAATAGTTTGGCCCCTTTTAAAATCCTTTTAATCGTTTTTAGTTCAAGGATTTTAATAAAATTATATAAAAAGATTTAATTATACATTGTTATCAAATAATTTCCACAAAGTCCCATTAAGTTAGATTTCATCGCAACGGACATTCCAGTCTATTATCATATCAAAACCGGGGTTTCACTTCTTCGACCCAATTACGCTCGGAACCAGGAAGGGGTGCAGTCCCACAAACGCACAGCGATATACTACTATAGCCGTTCGTCATTCGCAGCATATTTCAGTCTACCGTGTAATTTTAGTGACCTATATACTGTCGTTGACGTTTCCAGCAATCGTAGTTCCATCCCTCCAAACGTTTCGGAATTGTGCGCGCCTCCCCCTTTGTGGCCGGGCGCACGCACGCTGATTAAATCCGGGGGAAACCGGACAGAATGGACGAATTAACAATTCAATGGAGGGCGCCACCACTTCCTAGTTTCCTACTAAATTGTTATTGTGTGTGGACGAATCCTTTTTATTCCTGTATTATTTCTTTTCTTGTATTTTAGAGCCAAATAGAAATAAAACTAATACTGGTAACTCCTGGGTTATGCCGTGTCCTAACTTGAGATACGGCAATTCATTCAAGACATTTTGTTATGCCATGGATTCAAAACATCGTTCAAAAAATCATAGCATCATTATCAACATTTTGGATCTCTGCAAACTTTGTGCACTCATAATATTAATCCAATTTGCAATACAACACATAGTATCGTGTTAAAACCTTAAATATGTCACCTCGCGACATTTTTGATAGAAACATAGATAAAATCAAATTTCTTTCGAAATTGATTGATAAATGGAAAATCAATTCGATTATAAAACAGGTCACGTTTTCTGTTTCGTACTGAAGACAAACCGTAAATAATAAATGGTTGTGCTGGGTCGAAAAGGGGTTTAGATGGAGGGAGTAGTAGGTAATTGCCGGTACTACTGCTCAGGGTTCTACAACTTCTACCGCCTTGGAGAACGCTTCCGACCTACCTCAACGACTGTTTGCAAACGAAAATGGGGCCAATAATTATAGACAACGTACAGAGAAGAATTTTTGATCGAATTTTATTGATTTAATAAACTAATTTAAACTAAATTGAAAAAAAATCGTCCAAAAAAGAATTAAAAGGTTTAAATTGTCCAAAACTAAAAGACTCCTCCCGGGGGATATTGATTAAGCACTCGGAAAACTTTTAAAACATCCCCGAAACTTTATTTGACCTTTTGTTTTAAGTGTAACCCCATTTCCTGTTTTTCGCTTCGCATATATCATTAAAACAAGGATTTTATTTCTTTTTTAAGAATTGTATCCCCTTTTTCGTGTCTGATTTTTAACGAGAAATTAAAGGGAAAAGGGGATGGATTGCCTTAGACCTTAGGGCATTCTCGGAACGAGACTGACGTTCCTTTTGTTGTTCAAAGCGTGGTTCAAAGAGCTACTTTAGCTTTGATACATTCTCACGAAGTTTATTAAAATTCTTGGAAACTTTATGTTTTCGGTGAAAAATAAGGTTATTATTGAAATGTTTTTTAACCTGACTTGAAGATTATCGTTAAATGACAATCCCTGAGTAGGATTTTCCACGTGCAATAAACTCCCCAACGACCGACCGAGGTGCTTTGACCCAAATAAGACTGATATAAAACGAAACTTGAAAGAATTTTTCTTTTAAAATATCCGTTTTTCTTTGAAGTTCAACAAACAGAAAAATTTCATTATGGTCTTTATCAAGATAAGTGGCGAGACGACTTTGAAATTTAAGGGTTGAATTAAGCAAATGGACAGATTGTCGATAAAGCGACCTCGCTCTTGGGATAATGCACACACGAAATGGAGCCAGAATGCCCAAGTTTTAAAAGTCTCGCATTCGGAATTAAATTCGACAAGATTTAAACCGTCCTCTGTAAAACTCTTTTAACCTTCCAGTATAAGCGCTTACATAGTCACACGCAGCGACAATCTAGCGCTCAAAAATAATTAAAGTTAAAACTAACTCTAGAACTCGAAACATTTGGGATTAGCCGTGTTAAGAGACGCACGGCTAAACCCAAATGATTCTAGTTTTAGGTATAGTGTTAGTTCTACATAGTAATAGTGCTAGTGTAAAACTAGAACTAACACTAGACCTAGAACTAGCATCATTCAGGTTTAGCCGTCTTTAGAGATATGTGGCTAAACCCAAATAATTCTAGTTCCAGGTAGACTGATAATATTGAAAGGTTAAAGGAGAAAATGGATTATGCGAATTTTTAAGTTCCGCAGTTAATGTGATAATAAAAATTATCGATAATTTCTCATCTAATATCCCTCCGATTTGCTTTTCTCGGACGACGACACAATTACAAGCAACCGAGGCGTTGACATCTAATTGAAATTTACTTAACACGGACGAAACACGCAATTAGCGAGGACGTAATTGATCCGGAGGGACCGTCGGTTGAAATCAGGAGGGAAATTCCCCAAGGGGAGGGCTTTAATAGGGCTTCGATTTCGGCACAATTTTACGCCCTGTCAGACCGGAATTTCCGCCTTTAAAAAGATTTTTCAACGAAAGAGATTCAACATTTTTGTTATTTAAATTTTATTATTAGAACATTAATCACCATTTTGAGCTTTTTCCCTTATTTTCGCCCACGATTTTTTTCCCAATTCATTTTTGTCGCACAAATCTGGGAGCAATGATTCGTAAGCTTACACTCGTCTTTTTTTCCGGTTCGTTTCGTGTTTGAATTTCGACGAGATTCCGAATTCAATACGATGAAAAATGTGAACCATTTTATTCTCTCGTTTTTTTCCAACCCCGTCGCGTTTTTCCGTCGACGAGGGAGTTTTTTTCACTTACACAGCACCAAGATAATTAACGATGAGTAAAACTGATGATGTTCCAAGGATACATTTAAATTCGTTTCATTTTAAAGAATTCTCCCTCCAAAAAAAATAACCTTTTAAATTATTACGTAGTTAATCTTGGCTCATTATCAACCCTAATTTGGATTAAAACATATAATTAACCGGTGATACTAACTAATTAGATACTCGTCACGTAAACATCAGCTATACGAGTGTCTAGTCCTTCGCCAACAGTATCTTATCTTCTGCCAGCTATGTCTTATATTTTGCAAGTAAAATCTAGTTTTCCGCAAGCAATATCTAGTCTTCTGCAAGCAGTGGGCGTCGTTATCAGGCAGTATATAGTCCACCAACAGTATCTTATCTAATGCAAGCAATATCCAGTTTAATTAGTAGTGTCTAGTCTTCCATTAACAATCTTCTGTAAATAGTATCAAGTTTCCTGTTAGCAGTATATAACCTTCTGCAAGCAGTATCTACCATTTAAATCCGTTTTGTATTCATGGGTGACTGCACTTCTTGCCACTCTCTGACAGTTCAACACCAAACTTCTTTATGTGGAAAACTCCCGGTTGTAAAATCCTAATCCGGTTTTTCAACAAAGCAAATGTTTTTCAACTCCTTAAATATATTCTTCTTAAATCCTAGAACTTTTTTTTAAATTTTCACTTTAATCATAACCTTATAAAATTAAAATTGATAATTACTGTGGGTAAACCTTAGAAGGGTGTAGTTCAATGGCCCGACCTGAAGCCGGTAGCCTGTTGACCTAAATTCAACGTGACCCGGGTCGAAACAGCTCACGTGCGGTCCCCTCTTTTGCAACGATCACCTTCGTTACCCCCCCGGGTCATCAGCTGATACATAAACCAAGACATTTTTTATTATTTATCCTTTTTTATTTTTCCTATTATTACCTTTCTATCTCGAACTTGTACAATGTTTTCTTGTCAAAATTTTCAATAGTCACGTTTTAATAAACGCAATTCGGGCGAAGTTTTAATAAAACCTTTCGGCAAGGGACTAAAAAAGGGAAAAAATCGTTGCGTTGCATTGAAGACGACGACGACGAAGAAGAAAAAGACGTGAGTGACTTTTTAATATTTTCCAACCCTCCTTTCAATGCGGTTGGATGTATAATACGTATTCTAAGTACGAGATTAACTTTTACCTCGATTGAAAACGAGGTTTTACATAAAAAAGCAAGGTTATGATAAGTATATCTTTTTTCTATTAATTGAAAGATTTATGAGAAATCTAAAAATAAGTAGATATCATTGATTAAATTGGATTTCTGGAACTATTTTCAGATAATCATTCAAATATTTATAAGAATTCCGGGGTTGGGGGCCGGATTCAGAAATAGAGGTACCTAAGGGATCGATAAATATCCTGGTTGCCGGCGTGAGATCCGGTAGACGGGAGTTTCTACCTCCTGTTCGCTCGACGGGAGAGCCGCGTTAAACCGGGAATTATGCCGTTTCGCGGAACACTTTTCATCTCGTAACCGGCGGGAGCCCATATATTGATATATGGGGCACCGGCTGCACGGCTCGTATATTACCACTACTTTTCGGGATTCCTGCGGGAATATATACGGAATATACCTTGTACAGAATATATTGAAATGGAACATGAATGTGCTGATTTTTGATTTCTTTTCCATAATGCCTCAATTCTGTGCGCAAATTGTAGCTCCATCTTTTCGTTGGTCGTCCCTGACTTCGTTTATCTAGCGGTTATATTAATACATAAAAATCCTGGCAATTTAAGCTAGAAGTTGCAGAATATTCCACTTAAACTCATATGATTGAGTGATTGTAAGGTTATGTAAGTTTTCATGTTGAAAAGTAAGAAACTTTTCAAGCTTACCGTACTCCACATAGTACTACAAGTGTAGGAACACGATCGGGGTAATAATATAGCGCAGGCGTCGTGACCTGACGGGGTACTGACCTGAATAACTCTCCTGCAGCCTACGGCCCCCTGCTGCTTGACACAGGTGCATTGATTTATCGTGTTTTTTCCCTTCTTTTTTTGGGTTGTTGTACCTAGATTTACACTTCAACTTGTTATTAGAAAGTATTATTAATTTGTTTAAAACAATAATTAATTACAATTTTTCTGCATTATTTTTGGTTATGTTGCTAATATCATAGATGTTTACATTGATGTGATTATAGAAATCAAATCACATTTTTTACTTCAATTACTTAAATTACTCACCAGTTTGTACTTAATTGAACAAATTTATATGAAATTGAATTTGTTAATTAAAATTAACAATAATTATTAATTTTTTAAATAAAAATGTAGTTATTTTTTAATTTTTAAAGTTGCATCTCTGAAAAGAAGCCATTTTAATTTTAAAAGTTTTAATTATTTTGACAGATTGGTTATGTCAAGAAATGTAAGTATTTTTCAACTTTTTTATGATATAAAAAAATAATTTATTTTTTTCTAGTATTCGCCTTTTGACCTCGGAGTCGATTCCTTATAAATACTTGAATGAGATAGTCTGGGGGTGAATGTAGGGCACGGAGTAGCTCGGGCCGGTGACCCGGTCAATATACACGGGGGCTAAACCAACCACCCTCCGCACGTTTACCACTGCTGAACAGGTAAAGAACTTCACAATACATCCGGTTCTAAAAAAAAGCTAAATATTTGAACGATTTAAAAAATCTGGATAATTCTATTTTCACGTTATGAATTGAAATAGTTTTGAATAACATCTAGTTTTAATTTTAATCGGGATTTTATAAATTAATAATTTCCGTTAAAATGTACAAGATAAAATGTTTCTCTCTCGTCCGCAAATCGATAAGACCGCATCGTGTAAAGCTCCCGCGCGCTCTGCATTTTAGTCTTTCGCAGCAGCAGCGGGGGGCCGTCGAATTCCACCTCCTTCTCTTCGCTACAAAGTCGTAATTTCGAATTAATAACGCTTTCGTGGTAAAACGGAACGATATCAAAAGTTCGTTTTCTGAAGGTTATAATCAAAAAAGGATTATTGGATTAAAATTACTTTAGAATTAATTTTTGATCTAGGATCAAAATTATTTTAATCTCAAAACGTTTTTGATTTATTTTAAAAAAATCTCTTAGTTTTTATTTACAGTAACATATTCGTGTCAGCACGCGACCGATTCTGAGTGCATTTTGTCATGTACATGTACGTTTTCTAAAAGGAAAGAAGACGAAATGGAACTCGTAGTAAACTATTATTATAGTTATTGCTGTCTGGTGGATGTAAATATGTTAGTTTCTGATGTTGCAAAAAGGAGGAAGGAGTTGGCACAGCGTATAACTTGCTGGCACAAGTCCCATGTAAACTTCCTGTACACCAGAAACTGACCGCATGGACTTCCTCTTGAATTCCATTCATTTCCCGGATAAAATGTAATTTCAAATCGAAAAATCTTTAAGATTAAAGATTCTTTTATATGGTTTCTTTTAAAGAAAAATTTAACCTCAACACGTCATCGCTAACTGCGACTTCGTTCTCGTCCTTTAACGTCCATCAGACGTCGGCGTCTCGACGCGAAATCTAAGCCAAACGGGACAGTTATCGGACGTCCTTGACAGAAACGAGAAACAAGAAATGTTTCTACTACTTTTCTAAAGAGAAACTGACAAAGATAACGTGTCAAAACCCAAGAAATGACAAAGTAAAATTAGTTTCTATTTCCTGTTTTGTAAATTGATTATTTGAAAATGTTCATGGTATTTTACGAAAACACAATGATTACGTAAGATGGAAATCACGGAGGGTTTAAAATACGATTTGATTGCCGGTGTCCGGTTATTGGCGGCGTCGCGACGCGACATGCATAATATCTTTCGGACTTCGCTTCGAAACCGACCGGTTTCAATAAAACTGATGGCCCCCGGCCGGCTCCAATCGATGCGAAAGCCGCATACTGATCGCTTTTGCGCCAAAACACAAATCTAAAATATTATTAATTATAACTGAAATTAAAACTAATTAATATGATAAAATTTACCTTATCTTATTATTTTTGGAGTTTAAACATTTTCAAAATACATTTATATGGCTTGAAAAACGCATAAGAGTCGATGGGGGGTGTATATATTTTGGTTGGCGAACGGCCAAAGGCAATTTATTAAATTTCATACTGAAACGCGGATAAAAAAGTGCACGATTTGTCGTAGTGCAGGCAGTAAATCTAGGCCCCCTTCCCGTTAACAGAACTCCGGCTTCTCGCCGGATCGATATTAACAGTATTACAATATTAACATTTATTTATTACTATTAAATTATAATTAGGAAATGTTTTTCTTGTAGGATACTTTAGGTATATCTTTACCAACATGTGTAAGAAACGTTTTTGTCTCAACTCGCCGAGGTCACAAAATTGTCAACTTTCGAGGATTGAGAGTAAATGTCTTTTTCTAAGAGACCTTTACTAAGTTGTATCAGAAACGTTTTCGCCTCAACTCGCCGATGTCGCTTGCGGGCGAGGAGCTGGATTTGATATAACATCACAAAATTATTACAGTTCAAAATCTGTATTCTATGTGGTATGATTTCAAACCTTTTCTTACATTTGGAATTTATGCAGTACAATTTTACACTTCAATTATACAATCAACCCAATTTCAAACGAATTTCAAACGAACCTAAGTTGGATTAAATTTAATCAACAAAACTCAAATACTTAAGATTTCATCAAAATCCAACGATAAAGAATGTTTCAAAATTTATATAGAAGATAAAAAGATAACAAAATTGTAAGATTACTTTTCGCAAATAAAAACTGCAAGCAACACAAATAAAATATCTGTAAAATGTTAAATCGATATAATCCCGAATTCAATTATCTGAGAACCTGATTTAAAAGGAATAAATTGAAAGTATTCAAAATTGTATGAAAGACCAAAGAGGAGGCGAAAAAACAAAAAAATAACAACAAAATGTACGAAATCCGACCATGGGTTTATCTGGAAATAATGACAAAATCAAAAAAAAGGATATTTTAAAGAAGTAATCATCAACTGCAATATTAATCTTTACAAATTCTACGCATTTTATCTTTCTAATAATCATCTTGTAATAACCTTTATTGTTCGCATCGTAAATTTCGATCTGAACCTTTTCTGACGCGGAAAGCTGTTAAAATAAATTTTTACGACCACTGCTATCGTTCGATTTAATCAAAGTAAGTGTAAAAAAATCGACGAAAACCCAATAGGATCCAATCAGTTCGAGGGTGTTCGTTATGAGTTGCTTGTCGCCAAATCCGAGCTTCTAATCTCATTGAGAAAAATCCTTCGGCATTCATACCGGGGCACGTTCCCATTCTCAAAACCGATTCGACTCGCGTTCTTTTCTTAAAAATAAAAAGAAACCACGAAAAAAGATTTATCTCTTTCTATCTCCCACCTTTTACCTCTGTGTGTAAAAGGTGTGGGTGGATGGAGCATCTATTTTCTTCATTCCATATTTGCATACTGCTTTATATTCTGCGATAGTTCTTCTTCGGAAAAGAACCAGGATTTGATTCGAATTATATTCACTTTGTAAGTAGATAGTAATCCTTTCTTTGTATTTGAGATTTTTTGAGTGTTTTGGAAATGTTTTTGAGAATATTTGGGAGCGATGAACTTAAATCTCTTTTTTGGAAGAGGGAGAAGTGTTTTTATTGTAGATAGTTATAGGGGTGATTCTTGTTTTTCTTATTGGGTAAGAATCGACTCGAATAAACCGAGTTCGAGTTAAATTACGTGAAAGTTTGTTCAAGTTGAATTCAACTCGTAAACATTTTTTAATATAATAAATTTACTTACGGACAAAAATGTTGGACATCAATGTTGCTGGTAAACAGAAGACGATAACCAAAATATCCGCTACAGCCAAGTTAACGATAAAAAAGTTAGTAACCGTTCTCATTCTTGGTGATCGAAACACGACGGCTATTACAAAGAAATTTCCAACCAAACCGACCGCGAAAACTAAAAGATACGCGACACAATAAACAACGGTCATCGCCATCGAGTGTCTGTAAAATAGTTCCGGCACGAAAACGCTTTCAACGGTTGCATTTACCGCTGTTGACGAAGACGAGTTCATCACCAACGTCGTTGCTCCTTTCGCTTTAATTCCAATTTCAAAAATTCCAGCTTTTTGTATCACCTCACTGCTACTTTCCGTGTAAGCAACCATCGCTTCCAGAACGTTTCCGTGAAATTCAACAGCCAACATCTTGTAATCTTGGGTGGATAATAAATTTTCTGTTCGAATTTCGTTATTATTATTATTATTAAAAGTGTCTTGTTCGAGGTATAAAGAGGATAAATCGAGCTGGTTCGAATCTTCTGATTTAAATGTACCCATTTTATTTAATCCATTTTATTTAAATTAATTTATTTTAATAAATCTATTTTCCAATTTTCATAATTATCCTAGTTTGTTTTCGAAACGTCCGGTTGTGAAAACGATCGGACGTAGAGTGGAGTAGTTTGGCGTATGGGGTCTCTTTTCCGGGGGAGGGTTGCGTGCGACGAAGAAGTCCGGGCCTGCGCCCCCCATAAAACCCTCATCCGAAGAGCTTCCAACTCTTGAAGGATTCAGAGTGAAACTTCAAAAAAATGTTTATTTGAATTTAATACTTATTTAAAATCGATTTCAATTTTAAAGTTGATTTTAAAATGAAGATGAAGTGACGTGAGGAAAATGATGTTAACAATTGTGTCTATGTTGATTAGGAATTTGAAATTCCAAGTTGGGGTGTTATGCAAATGGTATTTCGGGGTTGTATTCGAAACGCGTATAATTGATATTCACTTTAGTGTCAACATCCGGTGATGGTAATAATAACCGAAGGGGAAATTGTAATAATTTTGCATAGTTCGTGTTAAAATGGAAATCATCGATTATTTATTGATTTGGAATTCTTCAGCTTCTTAATTTCACGTTTTAGGGGTTGTAATAACGATTACGTTTTTAAATGGTTCATAAATTTTTTATTAGCACTACTGTAAAATGTCGTAAAATGTTTTAGGTTCATTCCACTCAATTTTATAAACAAAATTCTTTGTTATTCTTGACCTAAATGAATATAAAACATTCAGATTGTTGTTTTTAAGTAAATACTCGTTTTTTGAGGTCCCTTTTCCTCTGACCGTGACTTCTTTAAGCGGTTTCCTACCAGTAAATTGCCCTGACCTACCGGAAAGTACCGAATTATAAAGTAAATAAGAACAATGGAGGCTCCATTTTTTACCTTTTTATTTTGCGGGGAATCCAAGGATAAAAGGAAGCTTTTAAGTACAACAAAAAACTCTCAACAGAAATCTTTTGGTATAAACATTTAATTAATAACAAGGTTTAAATCGTTTTATTTATTGCACTGTAGGCCTAATTTCTTTTTAATTTATTAATTATGTTTAGTAATGTTATTTAAATCTAACCTTAAAAAGATATTGACTCATTTCAATTTTTTTATATAAATTTATGTACAGCGAAGTCTTAATTATTAGTTTATTGGTAACTTTCAAATCATCTATTTTTTTATTTTATTAAATTAATTAAGCAATCATTAATCGTTCGCTCGATCTTCTTCCCCCAGCAATCATCAAACTTGTATTGTTATTCCCAGCTCTTTTGTGCACGAACGAAGGTCGATGAAGATATTCTTCCGAAAATCCCCGATTCTCACTTTCTCTTTTACGATCATCCCGTTTCTTCATGGGAATCGATTTCAAAGAATCTTCATAACTACTAAAACAAATTAAAATTATTTTATTTATTTTCCCCGATTACACCAATTCAAATACTTACTTACTACTATCTTCTTCTGAAGTTTGACCATTACTGGATTGACCGCCACCGCATTGACATAAAACAGCGACATTATCCACAATTCCAGAATCGTGCCCGCTTGAATGTAGCGAAGTAATCGAAGTTTCCAAACCGGCAAGACTATTTCGGTGATTTTCCCCTCTTAAAACTCGTTTGTTATTTATTAAGTATCTTGGGCATGTAACATCATGGTGGTGGTGGCGATAACCTATCGCTGAGGTACCACGTTGATGAATCGGGCCGGAAGCTACGGATTCGCCGTAATGAATCCCGGTGCCATCATAAGTTGAAGGAAATAATGTTGGTTTTCCGAGGGTTGATGTAAAAGTATAACCTAATTGTTGACCGTATCTTTTTTGAAGTGATCTAAAAAAAATTTTTGATTTTAAAAAAGAAACTTTAAGATCAACTGCAAGCCTAAATCCCGCAGAGTGTTTATTACAGCTGTTACCCAAGCAAATCCGAGTTTAATTGTCAAAATGTCTCGACTAATTAATATTCTCTCGGTAGCTCTCCCAGAATCCTCGTTCCCGACAGCTTTCCCCTTTCCCCCTTTTACTCTAATAAGTCTTATTTGTCTCTGTCGCCCGCAGGCTAAGCACAAGTGCCAAATAATTGTCTTTGGCGGCAACATCATCATAAAGTTTTCGCTTTAAACCTCACCTGCGTTTCCTCCTTCTCAAACACAATATGCCTATAGCTGTTCCTAAAGCACCCACAAACACCAAACAAGCTAAAATTATTATTCCTATTTCCATTGATGTTAACAATATTTTTTGGCTTTTATTTAAGCTGTGTTCTGGTGAACCCGATGATAATCCTAAAAGCTTGTATTGATTTAGATTTGATTCGATTTCTTCTTGTTTTTGTTGTAGAACTCTAAAAAATTCTTTTTTGATTCAATATAATTTTTAACGCTAATATAATTACTTTTGTAAAACATCCGTATCGACGATGACGTTAAGTAAAGGATCGACGGCATATAAATACATATCCGTGCTAAAAAAAGGGATTTCATTTTTTAAAGAGTGTTTTTCGTTGGTACTCACGCTGTGGCATCAATTTGTTTCCGATCTGAATGAGGTTCGAGTTTCCGGACGCGAATATCAAATCCAGTGGTGTTGTAAAGTGCCCTACAAAATGTAAATTACTCGCTTGTTAACATGTTAACAATTCGTTTTCAATTTCAAACAAGATAAATGATCAAATAAATCAACTAAGTCTACTAACTCAACAAGTTTTCTTTTTAACTTACAAAGTAATATTTTCCATCCCATTCTCAACTTTGGCAGGTTCCGATCCCATTATCATAATAAGTTGTTTTTGTTCATCCAAAACGTATACCTGTATAAAAAATATATTTTTCGATCGATTCTATTGGTATTCAGTTCGTGTAATCTTTTAGGAATTTTTTAGATTAAATATTTCACGTGTAGTGAAGGTTTAAAAATGAGAAAATAACGTACAAAAACGTTGGCAATGGACGATTTTCCATCGTCCGCTCCTTTTTTATCGGTCGCTTTTACATCAAATCCATAAACTTTTCCAGCATCTTTAACGAAATTTGAAATTGCTCGTACTTGGCCGCTTACAGGATCGATTGAAAAACGTTTTGTAGCCTCATCCGCGCGACCTATGATTTGATAGCGAATTTCACCATTTATACCTAAATCGGGATCTTTTGCCTAAAATATAAAAAATCATTTTTGAGATAAGTCAACTTATTAAATATAACAAATAAAATTTGAGATCGTTTTTAGACCAATATTTAAAGTTATTAAGCAATATATTTTTGAATTCAAAATCTCGATTCTATGATAGCGCCATCTATTCAGCACGTTTGTAGATAATACAATCGCTCAACTAATTTGTTTAATATTTAACACAACTTGTACTATTTTGTTTTTAATTTCATAAAATGGTTAGATAAGTTATTAATTTCATTTTTTAACCTTATTTTAATTAATTTTATCTAATTTTTTTTAGTCTCATTTTTAATACGCCATCTTGTGACACGCGTCAAAATCAAGTTATATCTGTCAAATGTCAAACTAAATACTGATTTAAGTGCATAAAAGTGAATTGTTTGCTGATTTTGGGTAAGTTTTATGATAAATTTAATTTTACATTATTAAATATAACTTCTTCTCGACTTCAACTATCGCTTAAATGTATATCAGGTAATTTTTTAAGAATTATGAGTGAAAAATTGTATAACCTCACAATTTCGAAGATTTAATTTATTTCTTAAACCCTTTTATTGGTGTATTTTGAAGTAACCCTACCTTTTTCGTCGTGATTCATTTTACATCTTATTTATTTAATTTAGTTTTGATTTATTTTTAAACTTGAAACCTTGAATTCTGTCACAGCGCCATCTATTGAGCGTATATTATCATGTGTCATAATCTAACTACTGATAACGAGTTGAATGAATTTAAACGCGAAATTTTAATCAAATATTTACAAAGATTTTATAATTATGTTTTTTTTGTGAATATTTTTATATAATTTATTAATTAATAATATATGTTTTTGAATTCAAAGCCGCGACTCTATGACAGCGCCATCTATTGAGCATCCGATCAATATAGATGATATAATCACTCAACTAATTTGTTTAATGTTTAACACAAGATTTATTGTATTTTTAATTTCATAAAATGGTTAGATAAGTTATTAATTTCATTTTTTAACTTTATTTTAATTAATTTTATCTAATTTTTTTTACTCTCACACTTAATACGCCATCTTGTGACACTCGTCAAAATCAAGTAATATCTGTCAAATGTCAAAATAAGTTCTGATTTAAGTGTATAAAAGTGAATTGTTTGCTGATTTTGGGTAAGTTTTATAATAAATTGAATTTTACATTATTAAATAACTTTTTCTTGACTTCAATTATGATTTACTTGTATATCAAGATAATTCTTTAAAGAATTATGAGAATGAGAACCTCGCAATTTTGAAGATTTAATTTATATCTTAAATCCTTGGTTTATTAAGTTTATTTTAAACTAATACCTTTTTTCGTCATGATTCATTGTAAATCTTATTTACCTAATTTAATTTCGATTTATTTTTAAACTTAAAACCTTGAATTCTTTCACAGCGCCATCTATTGAGCGCATACTATCATGACTGCTGACACCGAGTTTAAAAACTTTAAATACGATACGTTTTAATCAAATAATGAATAATTACCTGCAATTTTAATGTTTGATATCCATAATTAGCACTTGCCGGAATTGCTGCGACAATCGGTCGTCCAGTTATTGTAAATCTTGGTGCATTATCATTTAAATCAGTAACCCTAACAACAACTTTAACCTCGTTGAATCCAATATCGTTTAACTTTTCGTTTGTAACCGGATAAACCATTACAGTCATATCTCTTCCGATTTTGTATTGATCCAATTTTATTTTTAAAACGTATCGGTCGATTTTTTCTCGATCGGGGCTTTCAATTATGTATAAAGAGCCATTTCGTGGATCAATTTTAAAAATTCTTTTGTTTGTGTTATCGTCTACGATGGTGAATCTTAATCGATAATTTTTGTAATGTTCCGTTACATTTAATGTTAATAATTTTAAAGGAACTGGAACGTTCTCTTCAACTTCAACTTCGTAATAACGGTGATCAAAAATTGGCTTTTGAATAGTTTCATTGGTTTTTTTGATTTCTGATTTTAAGATATTAATTGAGAGTAATGCCGTTGAGCTTAAACTTGGCGATCCTAAATCGGAAGCGATTATTGATAAGTTATGTCGATGATTTTGGTCGTAATTTAATTTCCCTATCGTTGTTACAATTCCTTCTTTAGAGTCGATTGTGAATAAATTTGAATTTTTTGTTGAATATGGAATATCGAAAAGGATTAACCCATTTCCGTTTCCGGTAAAATCAGAATCGTTTGCGAAAACTTTAGTAATCGGAGTTCCAATTGGAGTATTTTCAGAAATTGTTGTTAAATAAATCGGGGTTGTTGATTTAAGATCGTCGTAACCATAAAAAATTGGCTTATTATCGTTTATGTCTAAAACATTAACTACAACGTTGACTAAAGTTGATAAAAATTTTCCATTTTGTGGGTTATCTTTAGCTTGGACATAAAATGAGTATTTATCTTGTTTCTCACGATCTAAAGAATCATTCACTTTTAAGATTCCTTCATATTTCGATATTTTAAACGGTAAATAATTATTTTTTAAATCAATTAAAGTGTAAGAAATATTGGAGTTTTGGCCAAAATCACCATCGATTGCTTCAATTTTTCCTAAAATTTTCCCCGAAATGTTCGTTTCTTCAACATCGAAGCTATAAGATGATTTTTTAAAAACTGGTTGATGATCGTTAACGTCTTTTATAAATATTCTAACAACGACGTGGTCTTTTAGATCATTTTTATCCGTTGCGGAGATGTTGAGGCGAAATTCGGATTCTGCTGGGAGATTTCTTGAGATTAACACTTCTCCGTTTGATGGGTTTACCATGAAAAATTGGTTAAAGTGGAAGTTAATATTATCATATTTGGGAATGTATGTTTCCGAAATTAATTCGTATTTAATTAAGGCGTTTTCGCCAAAATCTTTATCGTGTGCTATTAATTTTAAAATGATTGATCCTATTGGTGTGTCTTCGGGTAGACTTAAAATCGGGGAAGTTTTTTCTTTTTTATTTTTAATTTTGTTGAAGATTAATGGGAAGATTCCATCAATCTTTTCCATGTTATTCTCTAGATTAATAACTTTAGCCCCGTTTTTATCGTATTCAATAATTTGTACCCCTTTATTTAACCCGATATAAATTAAATCAAACTCTGGTGCGTTATCGTTAACATCATCGATAAAAATGTTTAAATCAACCTCATTTTTTAAACCTCCTTTGTCTTCGGCCAAAACTTTTAAATGATAAACATCGATTTCTTCTCTATCGAGTATATTAAAACCGGAGTTGAAAAAAATTCGACCCGAGTTTTTATCGAAACGAAACATTTCCGATCCATTTCCGGTTAAACGCACCGTAAATTCCCCATTTTCATCTTGATCGATGTCTTTGACGTGAATTAACCGATTTAATTCCACTTCGGTTCCGCTGATGCTGTTTTCTTTAATTCGACCTTCGTAGAAATCTCGTTCGAATTTTGGGGGGTTATCGTTTAAATCGTCGATGAAAATGTTTACTTGAAAAACACCGGTTTTTATTGAGTTTCCCTTTTTTGTGTATTCCCCGATTATCGTTAATCGATAAACGGAGGTTTCTTCGCGATCTAAAGGTTTTAAGCTGAACAAAGTTCCGTTTGATGCGATTGATATTTTATCTTTGAAATCGCGTTGATTTGCAATTGTGAATTTTAAATCTTTTAGTGTTGAATTTTTTAATATCGTTCCGATTATTTTTTTAGGTTGGTTTTCTTTTATGTGGAATTCGATTGGTGTGGATGCTGTTGTTCTAAAATATATAATATATAATTATTATGTATATAATAAAGGGAACTTTAGAATAATAATTACTGTTTGGCAAATCTATCTTGGCCGGTAAGTTGCGTAGAACAAGGAGTACTATTATAAATTATTGAAGTGAAATAAAACTAACACAAGACCTAGATCTAGAAAGTTTCGGGTTTAGCCGTGCGTCTCCAGACCCAAGACGTTCTAGTTTTAGGTTTAGTTTTATTTCTAGTTTTAGGCCCACTTTTACCATCCTCCTGATAAACTATCTAGAGGATAGTTGCCATGGTTACGGCGGTTTTAAGCTTTCTCATTGGCTAAGAGTTGGATTTATCTATGGGATAAATTCATCAAGAGGTGGTAAAAGTGGGCCTTAGTGCAATAAAAATATGCAACATAATACACGGACGACATCATAGGTGATTATCCAGCAGGTTTTAGGCCACGCAGATTGACCAGCTATTTACAGTAAAAGAGATGCTCAGACGCACATGGGAATTTGACATTGATCTAAGCGAGATCTTCGTAGACTTTCAGCTATGCCACTGTTCCCAGGATGTAGCAGTCTTCTTCAATTCTACCGTTCTTGGTGTAAATATAAAGTGTGGATAGCTTTGAATATATACAATGCGCACTTCGTTTGCTACGGGTTACCGGCCAAGACAGTTTTGATACTTACTTTAAGAAAATGTCGTCGTCAAAATCAACGACGTGGATTGTGACATCCGTGGTTGATGTGTGATTATTGTTTTCATCTAAAACGATGGCTTCGAATTCGTATAAAATCCGGTCGAAATTTAAAATTTCTTTAACGACGGCGATCGTTCCCGATCGTTCTTCGATCGCAAATGGGACTCCTTCGTGATAACTATGGCTTAAATCATATAATTTAGATTTTCGTGTGTCGCCGTCATCGTTCATGCGGATTTGACCGACACTCGTTCCAATTCCTACGTTTGAGCCGACCCAAAATTCATAAGGGGCGCCGATAAATTCAGGAATACCATCAAAATTGACTAAAACAAATTAATTACTTAAAGGTTATTATTGTATATTGATTTAATTTACTTTTCGAAATGACATCTATTGTTACAACAGCTAATGAAACTCTTTTTTCGCTTAAATTAATCGGTTGATCAGCTGCTTCGACGAAAACTAGATGGCGCCCTACGAACAAATTTCCATTAATTGTTAATCGTCCGGTTTTTGAATCAATTTTAAAAGGAATTAAGCTGTGATTTCCACCGGAAGTGGTCCCTTTTTGAATCGAATATATCACCATTCCATTTCGTCCTAAATCGGGATCGATTGCGTGGATTTGCCCAACATTATCGCCGATTTTGGCATCGTTAGTGACGTTGAATTCGTAAATGTTATTAGGGATAAACGTCGGGTTATTATCGTTCGCGTCTAATAACGTTATTTCAACTAAAACTGAGGATGGAGATGATGAATTCGGAATTACACTCGGCACCTTTTCTTTTGCAAAAACGCGCATTTTAATTACGGAACGTTTTTCGCGATCTAAAACGGTTTGATCTCTTACCTGTTGATAATAAATAATAATATATCAACTTTTGTATTAAATAACCCCAATTAATGTACTTACAGTTAACCACCCACTTCTTGAATCCAAAGTAAAAGCTTTAGTTTTATCATCCAATTGATAAGTAAATTCGCCGTTATCACCTTGATCTTGATCATTTGCGATGATTTGTAAGACGCTAAATCCATTTGGGAGATTTTCAACAATACTTATATTATAAACGTCGACCTCAAATTCAGGCAAATTATCGTTGATATCTAAAATTTCAACTTCAACCCGCGCAACCCCTGTTTTTAAAGGATTATCAATTTGAGATGCTTGAATCTGGAGCACAAACGTGTTTCCGGGTAACGATCTTTCCGCGTCTAAATCAATTTCGCGATCTAAAAAAAGCGACCCATTCACATGATCCAAATAAAAAAGATGTCTTTCATTTCCGGCTAAAATATCGTAACGAATTGGGGTGTCAATTCCAACATCTTGATCAAATGCGAAAATTGGTGGCGTAAATTGAAGGCGACTATGAAGTTTTTCACCCTAAATTTAAATTCAAATTTATTAAAATTACAACTGTTAAATAAAAGATAATTCTAAACTCACCGTTAAAGGATAGTTTTCGGAAATTTTTGTCCGATACACACCTTTTGTAAATTTCGGCGGTAAATCATCACTATCTTGAACTACAATTTTTATAGTTGCGTTCGAGCTTAATTGGGGGATTCCCCGATCAGAGGCGGTTATCGTTAGAACGAAATCGCGATCTCCGTTATCAAAATCAAGTTGTTTTTTTAAAATCAAGAAAGCTTCGTGAGCATCAAGTCCGAATTTACCTTTTTCGTTACCGCCGGTTATCGAGTATTGTACGTCCGAATTAGGCGTGTTCGATTTATCACGATCCGTTGCATGAATTCCTCTGAATATAGTCAAACCTAAAAACAGCAATCAATCATGTTTGAAATTGTGGCAGAACGAAACTTCCTAGTTCCTTTAATATTCTCTTAAGCAATTTAAATTGCTTAAGAATTGTTGATTTTCGTGGTGAAAGGGATTTGTGTATGTTGTGTAAAATGGATTTTAACAATTCTCTTTTGAACTTTAAACGTCTCCGTTTTAAAGAGATAAATTAAAAACGAGAGCGGAACGAATTTCGTTTTGTAACTTAGAATGTTGATGTAATTTAAATTAACAGGTTTACTTACCAACCGGAGTTAATTCTTCGATCGTTAATTGATAAGGTGCCTTTTCAAAAACGGGGGAATGATCGTTTACGTCTTCCACGTAAACTGTCACTGCTAAAGATGAAGAAACCTAAAAGAATTAAATTATTAGTAAATTAAATTTTTTAAACGTTTCTAACTTAGTTTAATTAAACCCAGTTATACCGTAATAGAATGTCTCTATTCGTTAGCCGTTTGCAACAAGAATTGTTCCGATTACGGCGTCTACCGTTTTTTAACTGTCCACCAGATGGAAACCTTAATGCGATATTCTTAACAGTTTTGTCGTATTCGATTTTCTCGATGTTTCTAACGGAAATCAACGTGATAAAGAGAACTAACTAATTAAGATGTTTTTTTTTGTTCTCAGAAATTAGATCAGTATTGAATGGTGAATGCTTGAAATGATTTTAATGATAGAGTAATAATTTTAAAGATTAGAAGCGGTGTTTCCTGTTATTAAACGCGAAAAGTGAAAGCAAAATAGAGTTTGTTTTAAAAGTGTTAAGAATTTTTATAGTTTTACTTACGACATCGTCATTATTGGTGTTGTAATCGCATAAGATCTTGAATTTGAGTACGTTTCGCGGATTGTCTCTATCTACAAGGTCGTCTAATGATCTTGCTAATAGTAAGGAAACGGTTGTTCGATTGAGATCTCTGTAGGTGAAGAAATCGGCGTCGCCATCCTGAAATCATTAACAAGATTAAAATTTTTTTTTCTTAAAAAGGTTATTTACCTTGTCGATGGATTTTAAGGTGAGTTTATTTCTTGGGAAGACATCTATGATAAGGATTTCTTCGCCTACGCGGAAATTTTCAGGAACTCTTACAAATCTTAAGTATTCTCCTGGAGGAAAGAATTGGCAACCTACAAAAAACAAATTGCTTAATCTACTTCCATTCACCCGATTATACTAACCCAGTAATTATTCTCGCATAAAAATTAACGCTGTGTTAAGGTTAAAATTGTATGTGCAAACGATTCGCTTATTAGGTTATAATTAAATATACGGCACGTAAGAAATAATTTTATAAATAACAAGAATAACGAGATACTCGTGATGAAATAATTTCATTATGTGTATTATCTCTGTCTGTTTTTCAGAATAATAACACGTAGGTTTTAGAGTGCATTTTAGAGCACCACGACCGTAACATATAGTTAGTTCGGGATATTAAGCACGACGTAGCGATACGCAGAAGGAAATCTTTCTGTTATGCGGTGAGACGCCCGGAGAACATAAAATGTTTTTCAAGCAATACCACAAAATGAAAGTAAATTGCGAAAGCAAGATTCAAATTTTCGAGTTGAATAATATTGTTGTTGCTTGGTTAAAACAACATTTGATGATAATAATTTAATTATATTATTACTCCATCATTTTCTTTTTAACTGATTTGCATAATTGTTGTTTAGAATCTAGGCCGAAAACGGTTTTCGCTACAGATTTCGCTTCCCGTACTCTTCTATTTAATATAATGATACATGACGACGCCGTAGAAAGTGTAATGCGAAAGAGAAATTCTTAAAGTTGTTATCTTTTTAAGAAAATCTATTTTCCTCATTTTTCTCAAACTCCCTTTCAAAAGAAAAAGATATGATTAATGAGTCATTCAAAGCTTTTAATGGTTTTCCTATAAAATCGTTCATTTCCCTCTTAACCAATACGCCGAGATTGTTGCTTAAAACGTTTACAAAAACGGTTTTCTATTCAATTCCGAAACAGGAAACAAAAAGATTAAACGAGAATTCTCGTTCACTTCTCACGGTTGTTCTAATTGTACGAGTTAATATTTTTCTTTATTTTTTTTTTTTGAGGTGGTAGGCAGATGAAAGAAGGTTGTATGTCAATACAATCGTTCGTTCACATGATTTGTATGCTAAACACGAACATTTTGTGTTTTTAGATTAGTTTTAGTTCAAAATAAATTGAGGTTTAGAAATTTAACACTTAATATAACATTATTAGTGTAGTAAAGCCGAGTGCGTAAATGTAGGCTATTACTCGATATCGACCGACCGCAATACACCGCATTTAGTAGGAAATCACATTACACTGCAAACACTACAAATAACATTATTCAGAATTGTACTAAAGGAGTAATCAAAAAATGTATTGCGTATTTAGACACCATAATTAGTTCCTCTTCTACCATCTACTAGAAAATTATCTAATGTAATATATTAGCGTATATTTCTCATGTATAGTTCGTTTTTTTTCTATAATACTTGTCAATGTACATTTTTTAGGGTTTCTGTTGGTATTATCTAGAACCCTTACAAAATTTATGTTGTTTTCCTGATTTTTAGTAACATTTTCAGTAACTAAATAGTTGAGGTTATACATTTTTAGATAAATTCGACTTTAATAAAGTACATATTTGTTGTAAAAACGTGCTACAAAGTAATTAAATAGAACAAAACACTTTTTCTAGGTAAATAAATGGCAACTAAATACCCCACAAGATTTTTTATGCATCTTTTCTTTTTGAATAACGAAAGCTCAAACGTCAATGTGACATATTTATTTCAAAACATGATAAAACAAAACTCCCTGTTAATTTTGCCAACTTGACAACAATTTGACAGGTATTATAGCAAAAAAATGAACTATAGGTTACTTCACATGTTTTATGTAACTCATACAACATGTTGTTGATGTATTACAGTTTGTGGCTTTATAGTAATTGATTTGGAAAAGTCTGTCATTTTTGTGCCATGGTGCCATCTACCTTTTGCTATTGACCTTTGTCTCTATCATAAGTTTTTCTATGCAGTCCTTCCGTATTACATGACCGAACAATTTAAGTATGTGACGCTTTATTGTTGGTAACAATGCCTTATTATTGTCAATTTACTAAGTTTGCTACTATTTCACATGTTTTCTTCAAAATTCTTTTCATGACAGATTATTGACCACATACTCAGGTATATGGCTATCTATTGCTGCCATACTCGCACTTCGTACTTATCTCTCATTGCTTTATTTGTCCTGATTTGCTTTAATTTATTTCGATTGTTTTCTTTATTGATTATTACTTGCCTCATCGAAGTGACTCATTGTATCCATGGTGTTTCATAATTCTTTTGATTATCTTATATACATTATCTTATAGAGAGAAGTTTATCAAACGAGATCTTACCAAAAACATTCTGCAAATCGAAACAAAATCCAAGTAATAAAAAGATTAGTCCAAAATTCCAATCCATTCTATCGATCGGTTATCGAATTACGATTTAAAAAATTATTCGAAATCATTCCTGAAACAATAACAAAAAAAAATTAATAAGTAATTAATCAATAACCATAACCTATTATTTAACTCAATTAATTACTTTAATTGGAACTTAGATAATCATTTCGATTAAGATTCGATTTTCGATAAACCAAAATCATTTTCAATCGTAGTATAAACTTTACACAAAATGCAACCATTATCATTAACTTTCACTTTAATAACGTGTCTTTTAACATTTCTGGTTTTATTTTCGATTTATCATCAAACAAACCCGGTAAGTTTGATTAATACTCGTTTACCTTATTTATCATTAACATTTTTAGACTTCGTTAATAAACGACGAAGACGTTAATTTTGACGTCGAGTTAAAAGAAATGCCTCAAGAAATATTTGAATTTTCTTTAGCGGCCGTTTCGGCGGCGTACGAAATTTTCGATTCAAATGTAAAAGATATCGTGAAGTTCGTTGGAAACGAATTAAAAGAAGAATATAATGATTTCGAGTGGTTTGTTATCGCCAATTCAAATCGGAGTAGTTTTAATTTAAGAGGACATTGTTATTTACTTTTTAACGTTAAATTTAAAAGTAATGTTGATCATTTTTTGATTGGGAATTTATTGGGATGTACGAAATAAAAGTTTTAAATATATTTTATAAATTATTAATATTTTACAACTAAAAGTAAAGCTAACAACTAGTACTACAACTAATACTAAACCTAGAACTAGAAACATTCGGTTTTAGCCATCTTAAGAGATGCACGGCTAAATCCGAATGTTTCTATTTCCTAGGTTTAATGTTAGTTTTACTTTTAGTTCAATAAAAATATATAACAATTTAAAGCTGAGTAACAATTAAAACTACAACTAACACTAGACTTAGAACTAGAAATATTCGAATTTAGCCGCACATCTCTTACTTTTATTTACCTGTTTTGTATAAAAATCATTTCATAAATATTAACAGGAGTTTATCAAAATGTTTGTATTCATTTAAATCTTGTCACTTGAAACTAGCCAACAAAAGATGGCGCTAGTGTGTAATAAGAGATTTAAATTGGGCACGTTTATTACTAAGTTAATAAAAAAAATGTATGTTATTATGTAATAATTATTATAAAATAGGGAAGAGAAAAGTACTCTAGATCGTTTTCCTTTTTGTTATTATCTAGATCTAGGAAATAATTACTACGATGGTAATAAATGTAATTATTTATGCTGTAAAAGCATATGGTTGGTGATCGTGTACTTTTTGAATTGAATAGGAAATGGTTTAAAGAGAGAAAGTGTTAAAATAGATCAATCGATTTCATAAAATCATCTTGAAATTCCAATTAACTTTAATTTAATTCTCAGATATTTATAATATGCACACGTGTATAATGTTGTTGCTGTCTCTGAAAATAAAAATTCCTAGCTTGTTTTAATGCATCCGAGCAAATTGCCAATACTATATTTGTCGCCGTGAGTCGTTTCAGTTACGCTCAAAGATAAATTAAATCTGAAAGCGGTTTGATCGTAGTTTGCAACCACGAACCAATTTTTGTCATCGTCCCTCTCATATAAACCCTGTTGCACATGCGGAACGATTTTTAAAACGTCCGAATTATGCTGTTCGTAAGCTTCAGTTAGTTTTGATAAGGTATAATCTAATAAATCGTTGGGGAAATTCGATAATTCGACGTAGAAATCAAGATTTAACTAAAATTTAACCAAAAAATAAATTAAATTTAAAAATTTATATTATACTTACATTTTTTTGATTTTCTAAATTTTGATTACAAAGAGTAACAACAAAAAATGTTGTTAAAACAACTAAGACCTTCATTGTGATTTCTCAAATTTTCAATTTAAAATAAACGATTTAAAACTTTATGAGTATTTATACAGTTTCGGTGGGTTTTTTATCTCGATAAATAGAAGTATTTTGTTGACCATTTTACATCTATTTTTTAAATATCTTAAAATCTTATCTTGGATCTAAAAGTGTAATAATTTTACTCAATAACAATAATCTTAAATTAAAACTTTCCTTGCACATTTTCTTTCCCGGTCTAGTTACGTAAAAAAGAAAATCTAACTTCCGCTCGTCTAAAATGATTTATTTACTTTTGTATTTAATCTTTATAAAATTCGCGTAAGCGTGAACTATATCAATCGCGAAGACTTTCACTTTGTTTTGTACCCAATAAAATAAAATTAAATTTTATAATTGAAAAGAAATTCAAGATTTTAGAAATCTAGATTATATTTGCAAAAAATATCTCAAAATAATGATATGAAATAATTTTGTTACAAGAATTGTTTATTAATTACTCAGCGATTTTTTAAACCGAAATATGTTGATTAAAAACGGTATAATTTCCCCCCCTGGAATGACCACAGAAGGTCAACACAACTAAAACGTAATCGCAACGTCACAGCAAATAACACGTTTGTTGCCTTCTCGACGAATAAACGAACAGTTTCACTTCTCCCAGTTGACCAAGAGGCTCTCGGTTTTCATTTAATCAGTTTCCGTTTACAAAAACAGTTTTTTTTTTGTTTCGTGGTGAATTATTATGGCTGCTTTATATAGAAGAACTATAAGCGTGTTAGATAAATTTGTTCCGCCGAAATTGCAACCAATTTGGAACCACGAAGCAGGTAATTTAGTTGAGAAATGTGTATAACTTTGTAATAATATTAATAATTTTTTGGGAAGGTTGATTATTTTTGTGAATTTTAGGGCCAAAAACTGTACATTTTTGGGCACCGGTTGTCAAATGGGTAAGAAAATGAATTAAGTGCAAATTAAATAATAATAAATCAAGATAATAATACATTTAAAAAAATCTGTGTTATCTAAATGACCTTGAATTGTATAAGATAATCTTGATCTATAAATTTTAAATTAGCTCCAATTTATTTTTGTTTGCTAAGATTTGGAAAGTTTTAAACTTCAAGTAAGTTTCATACCATTTTTTTAATGCACTTTATGTTGATTTTCAAGTATGTATATTACGTAACTAGTGGTTTTATTTATGTATTCATAATACATAACGCATAATAACCGGTAAGTGTACCAGGACGCAAGGTGGAACTAATAGGATCCGATGTAATCATGTCTCGGATAAAAGACCATAGAGCATGTGCTGGATGTTCTCTCAAAACTACCGTAATCTAGCGAGAAAAGAGATCTCAAGAAGACCTATTTCATTATTTTCTTGATATAGCTATAAATAAATCTATTATTAATTTCATAAATAAAAATTCTTGAGCTTGGGGATCGATATACTAATCACTGAATATTATATTGGAAGTATTAAGTTGGAAAAATATACAACAATTTAAAACTGAATAACAACTAAAAGTGTAGAGCTAACACTAACACTAGAACTAACACCAAACCTAGAACTAGGAACATTTCTAGTTCTATGTTTTTTACTTTTAGTTCAATAACTACGCTGAATAACAATTAAAACTAGAACTAACACTAGACCTAGAACCTAGAAACATTCGGGTTTAGCCATACGTCTTTTAAGACGGCTATTACCTATTACCATATTATTTGGTGTATACAAAAAGTAATTTAAATTGCTTCTGAATAATATCCAGACATGAATGATCACTTATATTTATTTAGCCACGTTCCAATTTATTTTTGACAGAAATTTGAAATGTTCCTGAACACGTATAAAATGGTTATATTTATATTTATTTTGCCACGCTCTAGTGTAAGCCAACATTGTTGTTTAACATTTCTTATTTACGTTTTTAACGTATAATGTATATGAAAAAGTGATCGTGTAATGTGTCAATAAATAAATAATAGAATTTTGATATTAATGTTATTTGAGGAGTTAAAAAATCAAGGACTTTATCGTTTATCTCGCGATTCATTCAGTGATTTGTAATAAGTTTCATTTAACGTTCATATAACGGTCACTAAGATATCGATCTCTAAAGTAGAGCTCTTTAGATGTAACATCAATACTGGTTATTATTTATTTTATGACTCCTATGAGTGCAATTGTTATTTAGTTCGACCTGATTTCCTGATTTTCTGGATGAGAAAGAAAATTAATTGCACTCACTTCTTCTGAACTAAAATAAATTAAACGTGCGTTTCTAATTGCTCTTGGGGAGGAGATTACAAGGAGCAATTGACATTCTTTAGAGCGATGTAGTTCAAAGAATCTTCTTTCTAATTATGTATAGACGTTTCAAAACGTGTTTTGATCTGGGTTACGACCACTTCTAAAATTAATGTACAACTTTTTTTTGTTTAAATTCAAAAAATAATTATTTTAGGGATTAGTCGTAGCTGGGATAAGCGACTTAGCACGTCCGGCATCTAATTTAAGTGTGCAACAATGCGGGGCTTTAGCGGCTACCGGTTTTATCTGGTCGAGATATTCGTTGGTAATCATCCCTAAAAACTGGGGGTTGTTTAGCGTAAATTTCTTCATTGGATTAACGCAATCGGTTCAATTATACCGAGCTTACGAGTAAGTTACATTTAATTTACATGAAAAAGCTTTCTTTTTCATTTTTTACGCAATTTCTGATTAGTTTCTTTGATTCTTGTTTTATAGTTATCATTACAATGTAAAAGGCAAGGAACAACAGGAAACAGAAGCAGTTTCACAAGAAAAAGTTGTTGCGTGACATCGCTATTAAAAGATCTTTGTGTAGTATAGTTAAATTTTACGGTACATAAACAAGATTTTAACTATTTTTTTTATTAAGTTTTAATTTAATTGTATTTTTTATATAAAAAATAAATAAAATCTTATTAAATTTTGTTTTCTTTTCTAATTTGGATACAGAATGATTGAAAAGGGAAAAGCAACCAATTCTTTTTCGTTTAATTCACGCAATGTAAAAAAAAGTTATTATTTAACATCAATCTATTTGTTGGATCGTTCTAGTTTCGTGTACGTTGTGGTTTGTTTCGATTTCTCAAGGGAAAGTGTATCAGTTGTTGGTGGTAATTAAAAAAAATTGTGGTTTTGAGGTATTCATAAAAATTAAGAAATGATTTATATTGTATCGTTAGTTATAAAATAAAGAATTTTAATATTAACTGCTATTTATGTTTGACACACTTTTGCGTACTTGTCCTTTGACTTTCAAAGAACCCCGTTAACTTAATATAACAATATTATTACTTACACTTTACAATTTAATTTTTTTTTATTATCCGACGACGTAAAAGGTAATAAGAGGACATAAAAGCGGAATTACATCTTTATTTCAACACTTCGATTGTGTAATGTGCATAAAATCAATTTTTATTTTTTCAAAAATTAAGAAAAATTAAATTAAATTGTGTTGTTTGAGAAACTTGTTATTATTAAATGGGCTCTAAGAAAAAGAGAAAATTCGGAAAAGTGTTACACGTAAATCCTAATCCGGAAATGCGAACTGGATTTGTCGAACCGGTTGTAATTGTAACGTTTTCCTGTTAAAACTTGAAGTGAAATTGCAAAAAGAGGTTTCTTTTTAATTAATTCATTAATTAATAAAAAAACTTACCTATATAAAAAAACAAATAACTTCAATTAAACGTTTTCAAAATTTAACAGAGAAAATGTATCACAATTAAATAGTTCTTCACACACAATATTTTAATTTTTAAGTATTAACTACTACTTTATTAATAACTAATACTTTAACAGAGAACGAGCTCTTAAGAGTTGGTCTACCAATGAGGAAAGTCAAGACGCGAATGTTCTTCGGCGCGGAGTCGGTTTATGGTGCAAAAGCTCTTCCAACGGTTGTTATACAGTGAAGAAGAGGAAGGTAGAAGGTAGTGGAAGTGAAGTTTTGCAGGTGAAATAAATATCCGGTTTTATATAAAAAGATATGGTCCTCAAAGTAACGTTTCTTCAACAGTTTTAGCAAAATAATATTAAACAAACTGTAAAAAGTCATTTAAAAAAATACCATATGGTAAATGAAGATTTAAAGAGTTAATTTGTCTTCTTTTAATCAAAACTAACAGTTATTTTAATTTTATTTTAAGAAACAACCCTATTTATAAGCTATGATCAATTCAATTTTTACTTTTTATAAACATTTATCATTTATATTATGATATAAATTCATTTCTTAATCTTTATAAATATAGTAGTACTGATTATTTAAGTTTCTTATAATATTAAACTTCCAATACACGCGCTTTCTTACCAATAGAAACGATCGCCGGGCAAAAGATGGCGTTATTAAATTTAAAACCATATAACTTATGTTTCTTGTTCTAGGTCTAGCGTTAATTCTAGAGCTAGTGTTAGCTGAAAATATTTCCAGTGAATGTTCCAGAATGTTGTCAGTTGTAATATTAGCTCTAGTTTTAGTATCTAGCTCTAGGTGTAATGTTAGTTTTAATGCTGGTGTTAGTTCCAGTTTAAGTTGTTATTCAGCACTAAATTGTTGTATATTGTTATTGAACTAGTGTGAAATTAAAAATTTAAATTGCGCAGGTTGAGTATCCGCATTGAAAACCAAACGATTTATGTTTTTTTTTTTTGTAACCAATAAAACTAACTGTTATTAACAATAAACAACTCTATGGAATGCTGTCAATGACCGGTTAATACTAAAAATATTAAAATCAATCAAATCGTTTGAATAAAAATGATGTAATTTACATAATTCAGTAATGTTATCATCCTAATAATTTAATAATTAAGTGTTAAAAGTTATCTATTGGAAAACTTACAAAATGTCAAAGTAACAAGGCACAAAATTCCTAAAACGACAACTAACTTGTAAGATGAATCTTTGAAAAACCAAATAAGCAAATCTTTTGCTTTCACCGAATAAAACTCGCATTTGTACAACGGCGTAACGAATTTCCTCAACAATTAATTTAATTTTTAACACAACCTGGAATCGACGTTTGATTACCGCGACTTATGTAATTTTTTATTTTTAAAATTACATCCCACTTAGACTTTCTCTATTTTTTCTCTACGCGGAAGAAAAAAAATCGGAAAGAAAATCACTATTAAAATCAAAATCCTTTCTAAGTTAGTAATAAATAATTATTACTTAAACAAAAAGTTTTCTACATTATATTCAAAAAAGATTTGTAACTTATAACACTCATTCATAGATGGCGTCTTATTCACTTTTATAATTCAAAAATTACTTTTATAATCCAATTTTATTAAGATTTTGAAACCGAAATAATTTCTCTTGATGCATTTTAAGCATCATAATTAAAGTCTAAATCGAATACATATACTGCTTATCGAACGGTTCGGTTTTAGTTCCATATGTAGTCAGGGACGAGCAAATTCTATTACAAGAGACCGGTGGTTTTGGGCAGCCCCGGGTTCAACCCCCAAGAGACGCAATTAAACGCCCGAACTTGATCCTACGTTAATGAAGCGTTCGATCAAACGAACTTTGACCCTCCATGAAATCCTCATGGAGGGAAAAAAATGCTTAATGTTTAACAGTCAACGTCCTATTGATTAAAGTGGCTATAAAAATAAGCGAAATCGGATTAAAGTCGTATTTAGTTTTAAGTGTATTCGGTTAATCCATTAATTTATCTAATTTAAAAGTAGATAAGTTCGTTAGAGCTTTATACAATAATCGAATTTGAGCTATAAATTTATCCGGGCGAGATAACTTTATAAAAGCAATATATTAATGGTTTTTTTGAGAATGTTTCGTTTGAAATTGGGACGAGGATTCGAGAATTTCTCGTTTCGGTTGTAAATTTCGTAGCCGGAGGCTCGTTCACGATTAATTGCGGCAATTAGGCCGTAGTAGTTATGCGATTCCGGGTAATACCGAGTAATTTCTAAGTAATATTTACTGTCCGTGACCGCAAACTACCCTCTCGGTTACACGTCAAGGCAACATTTTGGGTCACACTCCGCGTGAGTTACTGTTAATTGCATCTTCCGGTCGGATTTCTACTAGTATTCCCATTACAATTTGATTATTCTATGATCATTTTAAAAATCGATATTTACTTACTCGAAATTCGACTCATTCTCATTTCGATGGTCCACCATTCCTTAGGGGTAAGAAATATCCAGAACTAACGTTGCTTTACCTTTAAAAGAAATATGTATTAATAATAATCAAGTTATTTCGATAAGATATTCTTACTCATTCTTAACACAATAAGTACATAAAATATTTCTTTATGAACGCTTGACGAAATTATATTTGCTGCGATTAAGCAAGTGATATTATAGTAATATTAAATTCTACTTAATTTAATCATTTATTATCTGATTACCACATGAACTATGATTAAAGCTTTTCAATAAAAACATCAATTTAAGTTTTAATAAGTGTTCAATTTGTGAAATAAGATCATAAAAAGCAAAACCTACTCAATTTCCGTAATGGGCCAGACACAATCGAGACCAATTTCATTAAATATTTGCCACGTTCGATGTAAAATACTCCGGGTGGTTACGGAGTTGGCTCTGTTTTCTAAATTATTCGCCTTCGCTTCGAACGATTTCAAGTAAATTACCCTTTGTATATCGACGACGTAGAAGAATAATAATGATGATCGCCCTAGGGGGGCTTAAAGATAGATTTTAAACTCATTTCGGGGGACTTTAAATTTAGTTTTAAAAAGAAATTAGAATGGAGACATAAAAAAATAACTAAAATTGAAATTAAGGGCCGGATTAGTCATTCTTTTTTTTATAATAAAAAGTGATTCATTTAAAAGGAAATTTACGTTATGAAACTTTGCGTGTTTAGATTTATATCTATAAAAGAGTTGATTAAAGAAAAATTTTATTTTAACTTTTTCATTTGAAATCGTCACTTTTAATTAAAAAGAACCTCCTCTTTGAGTTGATTTATCGTTCATTGTGTTCAAAATCAAGATAAACCGCTCCTTAAGATGAATATCTCTATTGTTCACCAAGATCAGTATTAATGTAGGAAGTAGTAAAACTTCTTAAAACCCTTTTTAAAATTTACTTTCCTAAAAAAAAAATATCTTCTTAAACTAAATGCACGGATTAACCCGAAAATTTTTAGTTATAGATGTACTCGGTTTTTGTATATTATGATTGAAATGAAAGTAAAACTAACAATAGACCTAGAATTTAGTTCTAGTGACAGTGCAAGTGTAAAACTAGAACTAACACTATACCTAGAACTAGAAACATTTGGGTTTAGCCGTCTTTAGAGACGTGCGGCTAAACCCAAATGATTCTAGTTCTAGGTATAGTGTTAGTTCTACATAGTAACAGTGCTAGTGTAAAAGTAGAACTAACACTAGACCTAGAACTAGAATCATTTGCGTTTAGCAGTCTTAAAAGACGTACGGCTACACCCAAATGTTTCTAATTCTATCGGTCTAATGTTCTTGTGACAGTGCAAGTGTAAAACTAGAACTAACACTGGACCTAGAACTAGAAACATTCAGGTTTAAGTTAATTTTAGTTTTAATTATTAATATTATTATTCAACCCCAAGTTGTTATATATCTTGTATTCTTGGAGCTAGATTATAATTGTGCAAATAATATTTACTTCGCTGCCTATTACCTATTAAAAGCATTAAATTTTATTTTAAATGAAAAAAAAAATCTTGTTTACTACTTGACTGCACTTTGACTGAAGTAGACTGGAAACAAATCTCTGAAAAATCCAAAGTCGACGTTGACATCTAAACGTGACAAGGCAAAATAAAAAGGGTAAAAGGCGAAAATTTAAATCGCAGGAACGCGACAGGATTAAGGTTGTCGCTTTGCGAAGAGTCCGACTGACGCTTATTGGAATCTCGAACGAAACGAAAGGGGGGCCTTGTTGAATTAAAATCGGCCTCTGGGGACATCAGGACGTATATTGAAAAGATGTCTTTTACAACAGGACTCATTCCTTTTATACGAACGGAAAAGACAACGGAAAATAGACCGGAAAATTACAAATTATTACGAAATAAATTTGTTTCGACCATCAATAAAATCGAAATAAATTTGCCAATAATCGAGTGAATTATTAAGATCAGTTGATACATGTCCGTTACTTACCATAGAAGATTTATAAACTCAACGCGGACAAACCGGACTAATTCCTCCGTTAGCCATTCCAATGTGTCGATTGCGCAATTCCAGGCATTATCCTGGACTCGTGTAGGATTATTCGATTGACAAACATTCCCGTAATGACGTCGTTCAATTCAAACCAGATCCCGGAGAGTACTCCCAAATGACATTATAGCCGAGGAATTCCTAAAACATATATAAAAAATTCTTCAACTTGACTACAATATAAAGAAAAAAAGTTGACGAACAAACGAGGTCGTTATCGGATCGAGGAAGTTCATTTCAAGAAGAGTACAAGGAGATCTTTATCTGTTACGTCTTTATATTACTACAGCAACTTCGAGTGTCTATTTAGTTTAGAAAATGAATCTGTGATGTTAAAAAAAAAGTTTTTGAAAGGTTAAAAAGCTTGTATTTAGCCGTCATAAAATATTTAAAAGTGTCCAGTTACAGGTGATTCAAGGAAGAAGATAAAGACAGGTAAAGTTCTTTTTTATTATTATTGTGAAAACACCCAGCACGACTCTATTATGGCCCTTTTGTCCTTTATAACATTCCGTGGAATGTCTGGGTTTTGTTACAAAAGAAATCAGATAAAGATTATTGCCTTAAATACGTTTTCTTTTACATAGAGATGTCTTTATAAGAAAAAAAGTAACTTTTTGATTCTTCCTCCATATATTTAACTTAAATAAAAATTTAAATTTTAAATAACTTACTTGTAAGTTGATGTAGTTTGTTTATCGAAAACTCTTAAAGGGAAAGTAGATTTTAAAAACATCTACAGAGTTTTCCACTTAAAAAACCTATTTCGACTATCGCTGTAGGTTTTAACTTGAAATCCCGCCCTCTAACTTTCGATTTCTTTTTTACATTTCGTTTTTCTTCTTCAACGTTCAGTTTAAATGTAGTCATCGCAAGCTTACCTGAAACAATGATAAAAATAAAATTATCCCATGGCAAAATAACGTTTAAATCTTTAATAATTATAATTTTAACAACAACAGTTGATTTAAGCGACGTAAAAACTATTAAAATCAACCCGAATTTACAACAAATCAAAAATATTGAACTTCAATCAAGTTCTTCAAATCAACAAGTTCAAAGTGCTTTAATTCCAATTGAACATGTTCATCTTTATAATGAAAATGGTATGTTTTAATAATAATAAAAAAATTAATTAATGTTTAATTTTTAGTTCCGCCCTTACAAGAAAAAGATGTAGTTTCGGTTCTTCAAGCTGATCCTTTACTTGCAACGTTAATTTTAAGTTACAATTTACATTTAACGCCGAAACCTATAGGATTCAATCATCCGCAACATCTTCCGGTGAACCCTTACGTTTCACTTTTATTATCGCATTATGGCCGTTACGTTCCGGCTCATGGTTATAATAGAGGGATTTACGGTTACGCAGCCGCTAACAATTATTTAAATAATTTACCGTTCGGTTCTTATAAGCTGTACGAAGATGTAGATGTTTAAAATTAAAAATTTAAAGTTAAGATTGTGCTATAATGATTAGTCGGGCTTCAATATCCTTTCCCAACTCTTTCTTCCTCAATCAGCACTATTTTGTCTTATAACTTTTCTTTCAAGCTTCTCACTATGTAATTCGCAATTCTCCACTCTATACTGCTATCACTATCATAATGTCTTGATTGATCTTTATTTCTATCCCTCCTTCGTTTCTTCTCCCCTACTCGTCAATGCCGAAACGTATCATCCAAATCTACCCCTTTCAAACACTGTCTGTAGATGCCTGTAGATGATGACCAATTGATGAATAGTTGAATATATGATATTACTCAAGATGTTGAGTCTTCTGTAATGCAACTCATATTATCAACGTCTTGTGTGGGCCTTAGATATACTTAAGAGATGCATTGATTCCTACACGCCATAATAAAAGCTTTATAAGCTCATCAAAATAACCTGTAATCATCAAGCAACCTTTCAAAATAAACGCTCATATAATCTTATTATACAGCTGCCGTCTCCAGTATGCCTCCAGAATGTTGGTGATTTTAATGCTTCGTAATTCATTTTGGAACTTAAAAAATAATATTTTATTTTTTACCACTTCTTACTCACAATTAATTAACATTTTTAATTTTTCCCCCTTTTCAGCTTTTTTTTATATTTCATAAATATGCTAGAAAATTGAGTGTAGACCATTCGAACATGTTTCTCTTCGTTTCGTTTTCTCCTTACGCAGTTTATTTCAGTTTTATGGGGTCCAATTTATGGGTCCACTACTAAAACGAACTCGAAGTTGGGTTCGGCGTCGGTGGAGAAAGAACGTTGGCTTCAGGTTCGTTCGTTCATTGCAGCAGCAGCGGTCAACAATCCGCAGTTTACCATTCATGACCACATCCAGCCAGATTCTACGACCAGAAACGCACAATTTATACCCTTTTACCAACACGATTTAATCATAAATTACAAGTTTTCACATAAAAGTAAATAAATTATTTAACTTTATTGATGTTCATTAACATTAAATTTTATTTGTTTTAATTTAAATCAAATTAATCGAAATCTTTTTTAAGCCAAATTTGTTAATGAGAATTTGAAAGATTGTAAACTTTCAAAGAGAGGTTCGTATTTTTTCGTGTACATTCGGATGTCGATCGTAACTTTTCGTTCGGAATCGTTTTACCCTCTCCACCGTTCTAATCAAGCTTGTTTGGTTTTCGTCCCTTCAGTATTGCCGTAACTGGCGTCGGTGTCGGTTGTTTTAAACATAAAACAATCGCGATTTTTCGACATGCACATGTTTAGTACGCGCAAACGTTAACGTGATTAAAAAGATACAAAACAATTATTACAAAATTCATTAGCAACACTCCACAATGCCGAATAATTAATAGAATTAGAATAAATTATTAAAAAAAAAAGAAATGGAACCGGATCCTTTAATCGAGAGTAACAACGTTTCGTCCCTTCCAAAAGGGTCGTCGAAATCATCATTGAAATCGACTTTCGAGTTTCCAAAATGTCATCAAAATCATCATTCTATGGTGACGAGCTCCTCCTCATTTTCAACGTTAAAGAAAACGAAAAAACACTTGGTGGTGTGTGGTGTGTGTGTAACTTTAGTGTGTTTCCTGTTAGCGATTGTTGTGTACAGCTCTTGGCGTGAGGTGATGTTAAATGATCGCCTCAATCAGGTCGAGGAACGATTGGTAGCTTTGGAAAGGAGATCAACGTCGCCGTTTCAACAGGAAAGCTTGGACGTTTTCGTGGAACGTTACAGGAGGAGCGTCGAATCGAGACTCAAACAAAGGGTGACCAGGGAGGTTCTCGGACATCAACGAACCCTTTTTGATCAAGAAGCTAAAAGAAGGGATGCTAGGGATGTTAATGATTGTACATGCCCACCGGGTAAGTTCCAATTCCAATTTGATTATTTTATCTGAATTTATTTATGCCCATGCATCCATATAAATACATTTTCCGCATCCGGGATTCGATTGTAATTCAAATCCTTTTATGATTTGTATGTCATTTGTATTAATAATTAAATTATTATATTCAAACCACGAAAACAGTAAAAAAAAAGTTATTTCAAAGCTTCAATTCATTTTTCAAGCAGGTAAGAGTATCTTTTAAGTTTGTTTTTGGAACCATAAAAGCCCTTATTTTGAATAGAAAAATACAATAACATTAGGGGACGTCTCCTTTTTTTGGGGAAAATGAATTCTTTATAAAATCGTTCCAGTTGATTTACATTCTTTTGTAAAAATTCTTTATGGCATCGCTATACAACACGACAAGAAAATCGATTGTCTATCGTTAAACAAAGATTGATCCGTTGTTATTTTCTCGTTTATTATTAACGGTTAATGATCGATAGAGTTGCCCCGCTATTTTGCATACATGATTTATGGCTGGCGAAGCACAAATAGCGTCGGTCCTGCCGCAACAGGACCGAGAACAGAATTGAACACGACAAAACTTTGTCTATATAAGCAAGGAGAAGCCGAGAGGAAGCCGAATCTCGGTCTCGTTTCCAAGCTTGTTTTGTAGTTTAAGGCCAAACTATTATTAGAATAAAGGTTGAGTCTAAAAAAATATTGAAAAAAAATTATTTATAGATTAAAAATTAATTTTTAGGTTAACTCACCAGTTTGAGGTTATGTTCTCCAAAAGACTTTCATTAACCGATTCTTCTTTCATTCATTTTCCAAAACTTATCACAACACTTAAATTAACACCCATGGAACTGATTTAGATGGAATTTGGATTTCTGGAAATAATTTTAAAAGAAATATTTATTATTAAATTTATAACTAGAAGCGTCTATATACAAACAAAAGAAAAACGAAGTAAAGTTAGCTATTAATCAAAATAATCTATATTTATTTATTTTTAAACTTATAAAAAGTTTATTTAAAAACTTTATTTTAATTGTAAATGTATCAAATTTGATTGTTTTTAGTAAATTAATTATTAAATAGTTATCCAAAAGCTCGCTAATTTAATATAATCGTTTCTAACGTCATTGACAAAATTAAGTCATAATAAAAATCGATAGATGGCGATACTTTTTAAAAATATTTTTTTGATTTTAATTTTGATTTCAATTAACACCGTGTTTTTTAATAATAAATTTATTTTTTCATGGTTAACACTGTCTTTAAGTAATTAAGGTGAATTGTAAAGGTATGCGAACGTGTCGCTCTTAATCCCTCGAAAAAAAGTGGCAATCAAAAAGAAAATGTAAGACAAAATAAGAATGAGCAAGAAAATTAAGTGAATTAAGCCGGTTAATTAAGCCAAGGAATATTTATGACCAATTTACTTTTTGCATTTTTAATCAACCGGATGAAAGAGACTACCACCAGTATTAAATGTTTTCACTAATTTATTCATGATACGTTTCGGTGTATCTACTGTTTTTAAAATAATTAACTCGTTTATTAACTTTTTTTTTGAATTATTTGTCTTTTAGAGAAGTTTGAAAATGTAATAAAACGTTTTACGACGACGATTAAATGGAGAATCGAAACTTGGAAAGTTTAGTTCTGCAAGACACACACACATTCTAAGAGAAAACTCACAAAGCTTTGCTCAGTTGGGGCAAAGAGAGGGGAAAGAGACGATTATTTAAATAATTCATGACCAGAGCTGTTTGTTCACCTCAGGCCGATTCGAATTAAGAGGTCAAAGCATCAATTGCCATGAACCCAACCCAAATCCAATTCGAAACGAAACGTCGAAAAGTGACAAAAAAGCAACATCTAATTTAGTTTAAAATTTGGAAACAAAAGCTTTAGTTTTAGTTTATCACAAAGGAACTTAAACAAAGACGATGAGAAACTGAGAAGGGTAATAATGAGTAAAAGGGCGTTGGTGATAAAAGCGGGCGGAAATCAACACTTAAGAAGAGAGTAGGTAATTTGAATAGGTTTTAATAAGACTACAAGAGATTGAATTAATAGATTGTGATGTTTAAAAAGAACTAATCACGTTATACCTAGAATTAGAATTTGAAATTTTCAAAATCGGATTGTCTCAGCAACGCAGGCAATATAATCAATCTTACTTAATTATCCGGCGGAGGATTCATTAGTCATGATATTGTGCGGGAAACTAGAACCGGAGGGCGACGAAACTTTCCTTGTTGTTGGAGAATTGTTTGTACCGCTTTCCAAACCCAAAGCTCGTAAAATAAATTACTCTTTTTGTAACTCTCTGTATAACTCTCCTTTTTTTTCTATCAAGGGTTTGTTTCACTCAAATCTAATGTAACTAAAATAAAATTTTCAACCAACTACAAATGAATAAAGCGAAGTTAGCTACTATTTACAATATTTGATTAAATTTATTAGCCGATAAAATCCGGTTCTGTAAAATTATTTAAAAAAGTAATAGATGGCGGTAACATATTTTTTGTTATTGTTGATTTATTACTATTGTGAATAAATTAATTAGTTAATCAAACAATTCATTTAATCATATCAATTTTTTAACAGCGTAATTTATCAACATTTCCTGGGTAAATTGTATTTCGTGTTGATTTCTTCTGCGTGATAATGACAACTTTGTTTTGTTAATAGTCGAGAATTCAACCCATTACGTTTTTTTCGACTAAAGTCTTTTTTGTAATAATATATAGATTAAAAAATAAAATAAACAAGTCTAAAAACCGATTTTTCATTTCGTGTTAAAATCATCAAGATCAAAACATGACATGGTTTTAAAAAGCTCTCGCCAGTTAAATTAAAGCTTCCGTTTAAGATTTGTATGTTGATAATGAACATGTAAGGCACGCGATTACAAAAAATTTCTATTTAAATTAAGAGTTTCATTTATTAACTTTCAATTGATGATTTAACATGATCCCTGAAATAAAAAAAGAAGATAAAAAGATAAAGAGAACGAGAATCGAGCCGAGAAGATTTGATCCCCCCTAAAATTCCTTCCTTTTCGCCCCCCTTTTTGTCGTTTTCCGTCTATTTCCACAAAGTTCTATTTCTTCGGGAGTAATAATCGTTTTCCAGACGGAGGTTTTCGCCCATTCTCTTCTGGCCGAAGGAAATCTATATATCTTCGGGATTCCCCGGGAACTCAATTTTTCGGTCTAACAATTCCATATCTCCGTCAGGAAATTCCTTTTTAGAAACCCAATTATCGATTCGTGGAGGAACCGAAAAACGGAAAAATCGAGCTTTGCGCGCCGGATAAAAACGTTTTTGTTCTTCGAGCACATTTTATTGATGGCTGACTGCGGTCTCCCTCTCGTAAACGCAAAATGCGAATGATTAGAACATCCGGGATGTTCTTCGGGGACGAGAAACGAGACACAATCATGGTTCATTACGACAAATAAATTCAATCCACAAAAATTTTTTCATAATTAGAGTGAATTTATTAAAATAGGATAAAAATAGAGTACATAAAAAAAATTAAAAATCGTAATAGGTCCACCACATAACTTCGCGAAGTTGATGTGTACCATCTGTTTGTGTACTCTCGTACGCGGTCGTAGAAACGTTCGTTTTATTGCCCGGTACATAATTGCTTTCGGTCTGGACGTCTGCAAAATTTCAGGCGTCAATTTTAGCAATTACTTTACCCCGGAGCAGAATGTGTGTGTGGCTCTTAGTTTTTAGTGTTACGTGGTCGTTAGAACATTATGATTGATGGGCGAACGCGAAATTTGAGTGTTAATCCAAAATTAACTGTTTAACAACTTTGCTATGTAGAAATAAACCCAAAAAAACTTCCCTAAATATAAACCAAAAACAAAGCTTTTGTTCGATGATGAGTAAAGTCATTTTTAGAGCACTAAATATAGAACTAAAAGTTTTAATTATAGAGAATGAGACACTTAAACTGGCTAAAATAAAATGTACTTGAAATGTATTGTAGGCTGACGTAATAAAATTCCTTCCATTTAAAAAAGTTAGATAGATTTTCGTTTCTGACATTACACGAAAAGGTTAAGATAGTCATTAAGTAATTAGTTAATAAGATTAACTAATTAATTTATTCACAATATTAATAAATCAAAATTAATAAAAAATATGTTACCGCCATCTATTAATTTTACAGAACCGGATTTTATCGGCTAATAAATGTAATCAAATAGTAGCTAACTTCGCTTTATTCATTGAGGGTTGTTTTGATTCAGTGACAGTTTTAAAATCGTTCTAATTTATCAAGAAATGCTGAAACAAACTAAGAATTTACACGAAAAGACTTCGACCGTCTCAGATATTACTCGGAAAACTGGGTTACCTTCAGTTATGGTCATCAACAAGATTCAATTCTCTCGGTATGTTTTTCATCTTCTATTTGGAACGTTTATTGTTCCTCTAGGTTAATTCATTTATAAAATTAGGCGGAATTCAGCTTAAAAAACTGATTATTAAACATTACAAAAAAATATTTATCCAAAAAGTTTATATCATAGTGTAGCTAACTTCACTTTATTGACATTTAATGGATTAAATGACAGTTTTAAAACTGCTCTAATTCAGCACGAAATCTGACACAAACTAAAAATGGATTTGCACGGACAGTCTCCGACGATTTCTCGGAAAACTGAATTACTTCATGTTATGGGTTTCAACAGACTCCAATTTTCCCGCTATTGAGAAAAGATTGTGTTTAGTTCAAATTTAAGTTCGAGTCTGATGTTGTTAGAGAAGATGACCGTAATTCGCACTCTTTTATAGACATTTATAATTTGTTGACATTAAAGTCATTTTCTTTTTCCATCATAAATATGTTTTTATTTTCTTCTTTAATATTAAAAAGATGCGAATACGCCATTGTACCTCGAGGATATTCACGGTAATAGAGAAATCTTAATTTGCGGTTACCACGCCAAAAAGTTCTAGTAGTAAACCTTGCGGTTGTTTGGCAGATAAGCTTTTAACTACGACCATTAGAACTTCGAGACTACTAAAACGGTTGAAACAGATGCAATCTTACCATTTCCCTTTATAGTTTAAGTTTAAACCTTAAATTCTAATTAAAAGTGTCAAAAAAATGTTTTAAAAACATGTATTATACTGTAACAACTGTGTCACAACGTGGTGAAAATGTGTTTCGTTTTAAACGAGGGTGGGTTGGAGGTGAACTTTTCTAAGGGGTTGAGTTGGAGTAGTTGGTGTGGAGCTAGATATTAGTTTTCGAGCCAACTGGCGCCTCTCGGTTTTCTATTCTTTCTTCCCCCCAAAAACGAACGTGTTTGCGTCACGTGAGACAAATGACCTGTTAACGGACGTGCTAAAACGTGTTTTCACAAAAAACTAAGTTTAAAAAAAATTTTTTTATGATCATAATTCATAAATAAATCCTCAAACAAATTGCCGTTCGAGTGGAGGAGGATCGTCTTTCAAAAGAGAAATAAAAATAAAAATAAATAACGGGTAGAAAGAAAGGAGGAATGGATGAAAGCCCGTCGGGTTATGGAGAGGACCATTAATGTCACCGAAAGTGATAAATTAAGACCTTATCCTTCGACGCTCACTTCCAATTTTTTTATTTGTTAAAAAAAAGCGTGAACAAACTTAAAAAGAAATTTAAATTTATACAATCAAAACTCAGCTGAAAAGTTACAACAAAAAATTAGTTTAAAAGATCAAAGTAGAAATGTTGATACGGAAGGATGAGTTCTGGCGAGGAAGCATTCCTTTTGCGTGGCACCGAGGCCACGCCTGGATGCTCGAGTCAATGGCTTGGTAAGTCTCGGATGGCAACAGATGCCCATTTCACTCTTTTCATTTCATCTTCATCGTACTGGTTCAAAAAAGATAAAAAAATTATCAACT